AAAGAAAAACTAAGAGAACCAATCAGATATAATGACTAGAGAGACAAAAGACAAATCCAACAATACTTATGAAGAACTAAGCAGGAGAAAAAAAGACTAGAAAACAACTGAGCAGACTACACAGACAAACTGGTAAAAATAACAGAATATAGCAACATATAGAGAATTCAAAGAAAACCACAATGTGACCTGCAGGACCTGACAGATACAGTGTCATCCTTCCTTTATTGCGAAAATACGACCAATAAGTCTGGCTTCCATAGATAAGTTACACATAAGTTATGGACCTGTACAGCTCCTCTAGATTTACTGTTGCTGTCTTTGCTGATGATTTTATTGTTTCTCATTTTGCTAAGCTGACTTCTGCAGGAAAGTTTTCCCATTAATTGTATTTATCAGGGTAAAGGGGGCTGAAAACAACTGCATTACTCCCAAGCTTTCAAGCTGATCCAGAAGACGTTTTGTCTCTCATCCGAGAGGCTTCTTCACTTCTGGTTGGGAGCACTGAGGTTAATATACTGTAGTGCTGCCTACTGCCTACCGGGTTGGAGAGGATGTACTGCCCCTAATGGAGGGGTTTAAGCATCTTGGGGTCTTGTTCACGAATGAGGGGAAGATGGAGCGGGAGGTCGATAGGCGGATTGGTGCGGCGTCTGTTGTGAAGCGGGCCCTGTACCGGTCTGTTGTGGTGAAGAGAGAGCTGAGCCAAAAAGCAAAGCTCTCGATTTACCGGTCGATCTACGTTCCTACCCTCATCTATGGTCATGAGCTTTGGGTCATGACCGAGCGGCTGTAATGAGTTCTCTCCATAGAGTGTCTGCGCTCTCTCTTAGAGACAGGGTGAGGAGCTCAGTCATCCGGGGAGGACTCAGAGTAGAGCCACTGCTCCTCCACATCGAGAGGAGTCAGTTGAGGAGGTTCGGGCATCTGGTTAGGATGCCTCCTGGGCGTCTCCCTGGTGAGGTGCTCCAGGCACGTCCCACCGGGAGGAGGCCCAGGGGGAGACCCAGGACACGCTGGAGGGAGTATGTTTCTCGGCTGGCCTGGGAGCGCCTTGGGATTCCCACAAAGGACCTAGCCCAAGTGGCTGGGGAGAGGGACGTCTGGGCCTCCCTACTGAAGCTGCTACCCCCACGACCCGACCCTGGATAAGTAGAAAAAGATGGCTGGCTGGCTCCCAACGACTCAGTGCTCCCCAAAACTAGTTAGAACTCAAGAAGCCTCTTGGATGAGAGGCGAAACGTCTTCTAATAAAACTTCACATCTAGTTGCCTAAACTTAACCTTTCAAGCTTGATCATGACCTGGATGACTGAGAATCTTCGCAGATATCTTTTCCTCTTTTTAAATTTAAATTTTTGTCATCTTCTTTTCATTTCACAATCTTTGACTGCTTTGGTTGTTGGTCTATGCTGCCATTAGAGTTTGAAAGCCAGTTTGGTCACAAAATGTGGGAAAAGTTTAAGGGGAATGGATACATCAAGCCTAGATTCCACTGAGAAGTTTCTTGATCTGTCCTCCTTATGCTGCTTTGTTTTATTGCAGGGAAACGGTGTGGCCCTCGCCCAGAGTGTCCTGGCAGAGCTTCCTGATCAAGTGTCATCCTTCTTCAATGCTTACAAACTAAAACCACCAAACACCTTCAATAACCCTCCGCCATCCTAATCCTTCCTAATGGCAAGAGGTTATACACCTATTCTGTTGATCAGAGATCACCCTTGCTTCTTCTCCAGGCTTTATAGCAATTTAGCATGAAACTGTGCAAAATAAAACACCTACCTCTCTGACTGAAGTTGAATTAAATCAAATAAATCCAATCAGACCTAACTGAAATTCTGGTGCCATACCTGCAAGATTTTACAAAAACTCAGTCACAATATTTTATGTACTCTGTCCTATTTCCTGTATCCGTCTTGTTTACATTTCTCTTTTTTTCACATGCGATCTCTGTTTTTTTGTTGCTTTTTTCCATTGGAGCTGCAGACTTCATGTTCATGTTGCAGAAACATGGAGAGTTCACTGAAAAAAATAGTGCAACCGCTTTTGGCATTTACTTAATCATATTTAGTTACTTTAACTAGTGTTGCACCGATACCAGTATTGGGCGGGGCCCTGATCCAGCACTAAAATGGTTGATCGGTATTGGTGAGTACCAACAAATAGGGCACCGATACCATTTTGAGAGCCTGGAATGTCACCCATTCCATGTAGGCAATAAAAAGTTCTACTGGATTCACTTTGTTTTAGTCTTTTTCCTGCTTCACAAAGGTAGGCAGCAGCTTTACAAAGCCATGATGGCAATTATTTTACATCCAAGTAGTTTGCAGTTCTTCATATACACACACATCAATTTCAAACAGATGGCATCACTATCGGCCAATACTGCACAGCCAGGTTTCGGGGCCAAAAATCGGCGAAACACTAACACAATTGTTTTATGTCCTACCCTGCTAAAATGAAACAATTGTGTTAAACTAAATAACTAAATTTAAACTAAATTTCTAACTAAATATGATTAAGTAAATGCCAGAAATGGATTGCTTTATTTTTGTCAGTGTTGTTAAGCTAAAGAGCTTTATTGTATTTGTGTAGATCATCTGGATAATATGGGAGAATTTCTGCTTACTTAGAAAGATGAACCCTTTCATTCTGCCTGAGGTAATGCGGGGAGAGCAATTCAGAACAAAAATGTTCTTCAGATATTATCCCAAATGTTCCACAGAGCTGGGCATTTCTAACGATTTGTAAAAACACTGATGTGTAGGTGGGTATCTCAACCAATCCGAACTCTTCTTGGATCTTTGCAAAACATTTCCAGGAACCTCTCCGCACTGCTGCATAATTCATCTTGAAAAGGTTAGAAATGTATAAAACTGACTTATTCTTTCCATCCAGAGGGGAACCAGACAGGATCAGGAACTCTCTCCTCTCTTCCTTTAACAACACACAAATAATAATAATAATGCAACCATTTTTGGCATTTATTTAATCATATTTAGTTACTTTAACATAATTGTTTTATGTTAGCAGGGTAGGACATAAAACAGTTGTGTTAAAGTAACTAAATTTGATTAAGTAAATCCTTAACGTGGTGGCATAATTTTTTTCAGTGAAGAACAAAACAGGTTGTTTGGCAAAAACAGCTCTAAGGACTGCATGCAGTTTTCTAGCCTACATGCCTATTTAAACATAAAAATAAGAGTAAAAATTTCATAAATTATGTGTATTTACCCTTCATTTGAGAAGGTAAATATGGTGATTTTCCAATGGATTGAGTTTTATACTTAAAATAAGATAATTAGATAATATGCACTTTAAAAAAGACACTGCAATTGTTTTTCTTTATTTTAAATGTAAACCGTCTTGATCCATTGGAAAAGTGTCTCACCTTCCTTCTCAATTCAAGGAAAATTTTACTTATTTTAAGAAAAAAATTACTTATTTAGATTTCATTTTTTTCTACAGTGAACCCCACAACCGTCATCAGGAGTTCTGAGGCTAAGTGAGTGTCTGTTCTCTCAGTCTGATGTGAAATAAAAGATCAATTCATAAAACTCACTGTGCAGCTGTGCCGTTTGTCCTGACAGCTTTAAAAGGTCGGGAGATGGAATAGGCTGCTTCTTAACTCTAATGACCATCATCTTTAGTCACTTCTTTTCAGTCTTAACTGTGTGTTTTGATTTATGGTCCCATGAAAGACTCATCCATGACCCATCGTTAATGTAAATTACTCTAACGCAGCGGGTGAAGTCCCATAAGTCAGCTGAGCAGAGCCTGAGATCAAACAGAAATGAAGAGAAGCAACAGCAGAAAAAAAACAACAAAGTATGCATAAATGTTTTATAATTAATATCACCAGTTATAATCATCATTAAAGACATTTACTATGCTATTTTGATTAATTTATTTAGTATACTGTATAATTTGATGTATAGAGAGACTCAGTTTATATCGGTTTTCTGTGTCAATAAGACTTAGAGTGTATACAAAAATAAATTTACTAAGTTTAGTACAGCTCTCAAGACATTTCCATTTTTAAAGTGCAGCAGTGATAAATGTAAACATGGTGAACAAATGTAAACATAAGACTGGTATATGATTTACAGTTTTACATTCAGGGCTTTTTTTTTTTAATTTTTTATAAACCCATTTTATACAACATCCTGCAGCCTAATGGCAGTGGGGAAAAAAGCTGTTCTGGAATCTGCTGGACCTGCATCAGATGGTGTGAAGCTTCTTCCCAGAGGGCAGCAGGGAGAACAGTCCATGATGGAGGTGTGAGGGGTCATTGATGATGTTAAGGGCTTGGGACATGCAGCACTGGGAGGGTATGTCTTTTATCGAGGGAAGAGGAGCCCCCATGATCCTCTCTGCTGTTCTCACCACTCTTCTCACCTTCTTCCAGTCTAAAGTGCTGCAGCCTCCACACCACACAGTGAGACAGCTGGTCAGAACGCTCTTTATGGTGCTTTTGTAGAAGGTGGGGAGGATGGGTGGGGGCCGGTGGGCTCTCCTCATCCTCCTCAGGAGAATGAGGAGAGCCCACTTGCTTAATGAGGATAAAGGGGCACTTGAGAGTTTAGTCATTATAACTTAACAATGTGTAGATATAAAATTTGCCCAACAACAATATAAAATTCCATTAAAAGAAATGATCCGTATTTTTAATCATTTATGACCTCAAATAAAACATCCTTAAAGTGTATTTATATATTCTTAATGACAGTAATAGAACAGTTAAAATTGGCATAGGAGCAAAGACCGGAATATCATCATCATTTAGTTGGCAAATTGCCTGCTGAAATCGAGGGAAAATGACACTTTATTAAAGAAAATAAATTGGGCTGCTTAGTGGAGCAGTGGGTAGCACTGCTGTCTTGCAGCAAGAAAGATCTGGGTTCAATTCCCGCTATATAAATAAACAGAAATTAAATATGTAACATATTTCCTTGGTCCAACCGGGAATCGAACCTCTCTCCTCTCCTTCTTCTCCCCTCCCACCGCTAACAGGAAGCAGTAGACGCCTCCCTCCGTCAGCTAGCTAGCAAAGCGCTCTCCGCTACGTTCACGGAGGACTGCCAGCGATATAAAGGTAGGCTAAAACCCGAGGAAACCCTTGACACGAATGAATTACAGGTGCTGGTCATAAAATTAGAATATCATGAAAAAGTAGATTGATTTCAGTAATTCCATTTAAAAAGTGAAACTTGTATATTATATTCATACATTACATACAAACTCATATATTTCAGATGTTTATTTTGTTTAATTTTGATGATTACAAATGACAACAAATGAAAATCTCAAATTCATCATATCAGAAAATTAGAATATTACTGAAGACCAATAAAAACAAAGGATTTATAGAAATGTTGGCCAACTGAAAAGTATGAACATGAAAAGTATGAGCATGTACAGCACTCAGTATTTAGTTGGGCCTCCTTTGGCCTGTATTACTGCAGCAATGCGGCGTGGCATGGAGTCGATCAGTCTGTGGCACTGCTCAGGTGTTATGATAGCCCAGGTTGCTCTAATAGTGGCTTTTAGCTCTTCTGAATTGTTGGGTCTGGTGTATTGCATCTTCTTCTTCACAATACCCCATAGATTTTCTATGGGGTTAAGGTCAGGAGAGTTTGCTGGCCAATTAAGAACAGGGATACCATGGTCCTTCAACCAGGTACTGGTAGCTTTGGCACTGTGTGCAGGTGCCAAGTCCTGTTGGAAAATGAAATCTGCATCTCCAAAAAGTTGGTCAGCTGCAGGAAGCATGAAGTGCTCTAAAACTTCCTGGTATGTGGCTGCGTTGACCCTGGACCTCAGAAAACACAATGGACCAACACCAGCAGATGACATGGCACCCCAAACCATCACTGACTGTGGAAACTTTACACTGGACTTCAAGCAACGTGGATGAAGTGCCTCTCTTCTTTTCCTCCAGACTCTGGGACCTTGATTTCCAAAGGAAATGCAAAATTTACTTTCATCAGAGAACATGACTTTGGACCACTCACCAGCAGTCCAGTCCTGTTTCTCTTTAGCCCAGGCAAGACGCTTCTGACGCTGTCTGTGGTTCAAGAGTGGCTTGACACAAGGAATGCGACAGCAGAAACCCATGTCTTTCATACGTCTGTGTGTGGTGGTTCTTGAAGCACTCACTCCAGCTGCAGTCCACTCTTTGTGAATCTCCCCCACATTTTTGAATGGGTTTTATTTCACAATCCTCTCCAGGGTGCGGTTATCTCTCTTGCTTGTACACTTTTTTCGACCACATCTTTTCCTTCCCTTCGCCTCTCTATTAATGTGCTTGGACACTGAGCTCTGTGAACAGCCAGCCTCTTTAGCGATGACCTTTTGTGTCTTGCCCTCCTTGTGCAAGGTGTCGATGGTCGTCTTTTGGACAACTGTCAAGTCAGCAGTCTTCCCCATGATTGTGTAGCCTATAGAACTAGACTGAAAGACCATTTAAAGGCTTTTGCAGGTGGTTTGAGTTAATTAGCTGATTAGAGTGTGGCACCAGGGGCCATCAATTTTGAACCTTTTCACAATATTCTAATTTTCTGATATGATGAATTTGAGATTTTCATTTGTTGTCATTTGTAATCATCAAAATTAAACAAAATAAACATCTGAAATATATGAGTTTGTATGTAATGTATGAATATAATATACAAGTTTCACTTTTTAAATGGAATTACTGAAATCAATCTACTTTTTCATGATATTCTAATTTTATGACCAGCACCTGTATTTCCCACACTGTTTAAAAAAGAGAAAAACAGGCGTCATTTCTCCGTTTCTCTTCTAATTTGAATGTTTTATTATTTAAAAGTAAGAGCGCCGCTGGCTCTGACGGAGCGACGGTTGAAATAACTGGTACACAGCGCTCTCTATTCCCTCACTTCTACTCAGAGTTTCCATTTAGTGTTAAAAACACCAACCTCTCTATAGGGAGCGGTGTTCATGTTGATTTTATTTTCATTTCTGAGCGATAATGTTCGCTTTACTGAGCAGAGCATGCTCCATATTCCATCTCTGAAATAAATAACTGTATAGTAGAGTTCAGTTTGGCCTTTTTTTCTATTATACACTGCAAAAACGGTCTGGAAATAAGTAAACATTTCTTAAATTAAGTGTAATTAGTCTTAATTTGAGCAAGTAAATACGATTATTTGCCAATGGAATGAGTATTTTACTCTGAAAATAAGATAATTAGGTAATATTCATTTGGAATAAGACAATGCATTTGTGTTCTTTTAAATGTAAATTTAAAGTGCCAAAATGTCTCTTTTACCTCATCAATCCAGAACAAATGCACTTATTTAAAGAAAAATTACTGGTCTATATTTTGATTTTTTCCAGTGCAGAGTTTTCACTGGAAAAACAATCTAGAAATAAGTACAAATTTCTTAAATTAAGTGTATTTACCCTTAATTTTTGTAGGTAAATGAGATAGTTTCTTAAAATAAGATAATTAGGTAATATCCATTTGGAATAAGACAATACATTTTTTTATTTTCTTATTTTAAATGTAAATTGTCTTTTTCTATTGGCAAAGTGTCTCACTTTTTTTTTTCTGGTGTTTCATTGTCATTACACTGTCACAAGTACAGAGCAACGAAATGAACTCTATGCGTATAACCCATCCTCTAGGGGAGCAATGAGCTGCCATGTTGGGGCTCCTGCACTGGAAAAACAACCTGGAAATAAGTACAAATGTCTTAAATTAAGTGTATTTACCCTTAATTTGAGCAGGTAAATGAGATAGATTGCCAATGGAATCAGTATTTATATTCTTAAAATAAGATAATTAGGTAATATCCATTTGGAATAAGACAATGCAATTGCGTTTTCTTATTTTAAATGTAAATTGTCTTGTTTCATTGCCAAAATGTCTTTTTTACCTCATCAATCCAGAACAAATGCACTTATGTTAAGAAAATATTATTTATCTAGATTTCGATTTTTTCCAGTGCAGAGTTTTCACTGGAAAAACAATCTAGAAATAAGTTCAAAGTTCCTAAATTAAGTGTATTTACCCTTAATTTGAGTAGGTAAATTAGATAGTTTGCCCGTGGAATGAGTATATGGTAATATCCATTTGGAATAAGACAATCCAACCCCCCCCCCCCCTTATTTTAAATGGTGTTTCATTGTCATTACACTGTCACAAGTACAAAGCAACAAAATTAACTCTATGCGTATAAACCATCCCCTTGAGGAGCAGTGGGCTGCCATGTTGGGGCTCCTGCACTTGAAAAACGATCTAGAAATAGGTACACATTTCTTAAATTAAGTGTATTTACCCTTAATTTGAGTAGGTAAATGAGATAGTTTGCCAATGGAATCAGTATTTTTACTCTTAAAATAAGATAATTAGGTAATATCCATTTGGAGTAAGACAGTGCAATAGTTTTTTTCTTATTTTAAATGTAAATTGTCTTGTTCCATTGGCAAAATGTCTCTTTTTACTCCTCTATCCAGGAACAAATGCACTCTTTAAAAGAAAAATAACACTTATCTAGATTTAGTTTTTTTCTAGTGTGCGGAGCCGTGTGGGGTTAAGGGTCTTTGCACAGAGACCCAGAGTGGCAGTCTGTGGGAGTGGGGTTAAAACTCAGAAATCCAAGCTCTATGCCCTAACCTCAATGCCGCCACTCTCCACCTAATAATAATAATTATTATTATTAAACTCAATGCATTTTTTTAGGGCTGTTCTTTATTCTTATGATACCACATAATAACCATGAATGTATGTATCTGCAGAGCTTGTGTGGATGTTGTTTGTAGGCATTCCTCTGCTGGATGCTTTATCCCATAGACTCAGATCTGTTATAATAACAGTAATAATACTAGTAATAAAAATAGATCTTATCTGAAGTAAAGGGTCAACCTTCTCTGCTGTCCTCTACATCGTTTTGTGACGCCATAAAAAAATCCCGTCTGATTCAGCAGAGATGACTGTCTCATTTAATCTGTTGAATCTTGCCCGTCGGCATTTCTCTGATGCTTGCGTAGTTTTCAATGGAACTGATTTTGCAGACAAACCTGATGTGTGAAAGAGATGAAAGGATGTGGGAACATATAAGGTATTTATGAAAATATAAAATGGCACTCAATATTACGGTATTAGAAATAAGGATGAGAAGAAAGTGCAAAAAGGGCTGTAGGGATTTAAATTAAAAGATACGGTTTTAAAATGAGTTAAAATTGCATCTTTCTGTCAATATAAAAGCCCCTTAAATTAAACAATCCTTTCAATTTTAAACTATTATAAGAAATAAGCCAGATTACCAGCTCTCTGTATCAGATTATTCAGGTGTTCAATAAGTGAGCGCTTGTCTTTATTCCCTAACATATACATATTTTTCCAGGTTCGTCGAGGTCTCCGTGTCCCCCTCCCCCCTCGGACAGCGATGGCATCAGTTGGAGTCCTTCCTCCCGGCCCGGCAAACTGTGTGACCAAGGTGGCGTTGAGCATCTCCTGTGATAATCTGCTGGACATGGATGCCTTTTCCAAGTCTGACCCCATGTGCGTGCTTCGGCTGAACTCCTCAGGGTCTTACTGGCAGGAGGTAAGGAGATGGATGAGGGTTTATTTGGTACTGCTAATGAAACAGATCCTTATTTCTTTTTATTTAATTTTTTTGTATTAGATTGGCCGAACGGAAAAAATACAAAACTGCCTAAATCCCAAATTTTCCAAGAGGATCGTCCTTGACTACTACTTTGAGATGGTGCAGAAGCTCAGGTTTGAATTGTATGACATCGACAGTGAGAGCTGCAGTCCAGAAGAGGCCGACTTCCTTGGACAACTGGAGTGCACCTTGGGACAGGTCAGTCTCGCTTTGCTCCGAAATATTACCTAAACATTGCTAACGCAACCCACACAAATGCTCTAAATATTTAAACCTGGACTAAGATGCATCTGGATTTCACTAAATTGACCTTTTCTCTCTGTGTTCAGATTGTGTCCTCGAGAAAAATTACAAAGCCGCTTGTAAAGAGAGACAAGACGCCAGCAGGGAAAGGAACAATAACAGTGAGCTTAGTTTCCATATGCTTTGGTCTTCTTTCTTTTTTGCAGCAACAAAATTCCTGGGATTTTTTATGGAAGATCAAAATCAAGCAATTCATATGTGAAGTAGAATAATAGGGATGCTTTAAAAACTGTAATGATATACATCTGAAAGGTAACTTGCATTTCTAATGCACAATTTATTGCTTTGATCTAAACTGTTTAATTTTAGATTTGTACACTGGAAAAATGATCTAGAAATAAGTAAGAATTTCTTAAATTAAGTGTATTTACCCTTCATTTGAGTAGGTAAATGAGAAAGTTTGCCAATGGAATGAGTATTTTTACTCTTAAAATAAGATAATTAGATAATATGCACTTTAAATAAGACAATGCAATTGTGTTTTTTTAATTTTAAATGTATACTGTCTTGTTCCATTGGCAAAATGTATCTTTTACCTCCTCTATCCTAGAACAAATGCACTTATTTTAAGAATAGTAAGACTTATCTAGATTTAGTTTTTTTCCCAGTGCAGCACTGGAAAAATGATCTAGTTTCCTCTTAATTTGAGTAGGTAAATGAGATAGTTTTCCAATGGGATTAGTATTTTCACTTATAAGATAAGATAATTAGATAATATGCGCTTGAAAAACGATAATGCAATTGTTTTTTTTTTCTCATTTTAAATGTAAATTGTCTTGTTCCATTGGCAAAATGTATCACTTCCCAATTCAAGAATCAATGCACTTATTTAAAGAAAAAAATGACTTTTTTGCAGTGAGAGAGTTTTGGAGCAGAGACGCATTTACAACATGTAGGACAGCGGATGATAAGGACTCCTGGTGTAGAACAAAGTAAATTACATCTCCAGTAAAACAAACATTCTCCAATATTTTACACATAACTTAAACATTACATTATAAAAAGCAAATAAACCAAGCATTACAATCCAAATCATTTTCCTCACATCCAGTGTGGGTTTTGTTTCCAATGAGGCTGATTTCACACCCTGGTTACTTCCTTATCTGGCTTCTCTGTTTCCATGGCAATCCATGACCAGGTCACTTCAAACAGAGTGCAATGAAGAAAACATCTCAAAGTTCAGTTACCAAACGGATGATTTTTCCTCTGGCAGATCCAAATAAATCAAACCCCAATAAAAGGCACTGAAGCTTGTATAAGTGGGGCGATAAAATGGAAACGCTCAGGTTTTAATTATATTTTCTGTTTTTGCTATTTTTAGATTTGTGCAGAAGAGATGACTGACAACAGGGTGGTGGCATTTGAAGTCTCTGCCAGGAAACTAGACAAGAAGGTGTGGATGCCCGATTGTTCTGCTTTTCTATCACTCAGCTCAGGTCCTTCTTATCGATCCATATTAAATCTGACTCAGGTCTCTAATTGAAGCGTTTAAATTAGTGCTGTCAAAATTATTGCATTATTAACGCGTTAACGCGAGGCCATTTTAACGGCGAAAATTTTTTTAACGTGAGATTAACGCTATGTGGTTTTATGGTACAATTTTCCAAGTACATCCCGCTGCAGCCTGCGAGAAGGCGGGGCTATTTTCCCCCAGTGTATGCATTTCTCATAGGCTTCGAGAGCGGAGCTCCTCAAGGGAAAAAGACGCTCATACACTGGGTGACGCTAGTGCCTTTTCTTTAAGCCCCACCACCAACAAACAAGTTGAGTGTCTGGTAACTAGTAGCAACCTGAAATACGCTGAGAAAACAGATTACTGAGGTGAAATGGAATCTGCTACGGCACTCTCGCCGTCTGTGTACGCCACAGGTCAGTATCGCGTGTGTGTGTGGGTGGGTGGGTGCTTGTGTGTGTGTTCTCATTTTTGTTAAGAGTCTGAAAAGTAACTTTCTAGAGCATAGACTACCTCCATCTAGTGATGTCGGTCTATTGATTTTGATGTATTGATTGAAAATTGTTCATTATTATCTTGGTTAATTAACATCTAATGTTAACTGTACTACATTTTATAGCAGTAGGGTAAAATGCTTGTCTTTGTTCAAAAGACTGTATTAACTGTAAAGACTGTCTTTTACATCAGCCTGTTTTCAGGGCCTTTTTTTTGGCTACATATTTTTTATTTTTTGCTACATGCCTCCCCATCTTCTTGCCATATGTTTCTATGGCATAAATCAGTGTCTGTGACCTGTTCTCATTTAAAAAAAAGAACATTGGCACAAACCTAGCCTGTATGTATTTTTTTGTATGTCATCGAGAGTATTTAAATGATTTTCAATCAGGAAAAAAATGTGCGATTAAAATGCGATTAATCGCGAGTTAACTTAGGCATTGATGCGATTAATCGCGATTAAAAAAATTTAATCGATTGACAGCACTAGTTTAAATATTTCATCAGCATTATCTCCCCTATCAGATTAGATATAGAGTTGTTAGTGATATCTGAAGAAAATTAACCATCTCATTTGACCTTATCATGGCAGAGAGTACAGATTGTTTTTGCAGTTTTACAAAAGAGAATACTAAATACTGAATAACATCTTAATACTTTCCATTAAGTGAAAGTGCTGAGGATTCATTTCATAGGATATGTCTGAAGTCTTTCACTTGTTAGATTTAAAATGTTTGAACTTAAATACTTTTTTTTTTTTTTTTTTTTTTCCAGGACTTTTTCGGAAAATCCGACCCATTCCTGGAATTCTACAAGGAGACGGAAACGGGATGGCAGCTGGCTCATAGGACAGAGGTACATAAAAAACAAATTGTCAGTTCGTCAACCAGGAGGATGACGAAAATATTTTGTTAACGCCCCCGTGTTGATGACGAGATGATGACGCACAAAAATTGTTTCCAGAAAATAAAAATATGACGAGAATCAAAAATTATTTGCATCAACAAGTCTAAGACCAGACAAAATTCACAAGCCATTGACGATGGACAATAAAAAATGTAATTGTTTATAAATCATTTGTAATTGTTAATATAAGTGTTTCTGGAACTTCATAGAATATTACGCGTTGTTGCCCTGTTTGTCCTTACATGACGCCTGTCCCACAGTGCCTAGCGCCGCTCATTCAGTAGTAGCAGAGGGCTTATACTGGTTAGAGGACTGCGGCAACCAGTGGACCTCCGAGCCTAGCCGCAGTCTGGGCTAACCGCACCCCGTCTGCACTAGCCCTCTCTCAGCATAGCCGTGTGTGAAGTAGCGTAGAGCCCTATAAAATCTGTTTTATTTTTTTGCCAAATTCTGTTTTATTTTTTCCCAAATTCCGTTTTTTTCCATTTTAATTTTTGAAAATTAATTTTTTTGCGTTTTATGTATGTATTTTTGCGCTTCTAATCAATGGAATGTTGACAAAACTTGCAAAACAATAGTTCACCTGACATGTAAAAGTCACGAGGGAACTGCTCGGCTCTGTACTCAGGGCTTAGCGTCGTGTTTCTCAACTTTTTCGCCGAAAGCGGAGCTGTGGAGAGCCGCTTCGCCATTTTTTCAATGTTTTGACGGGGGAGGGTGAGCGGAAATGGCGGAGCGGGAGGGGTTGTGTTGCACAGATTTGCGTCCCCCGGTGTGCATTTCCCCCGGACGTACCTTCTTCTCCCACACAAAAACAGAATTTCATTTCAAATGTAGAAATTCAGCGTTTACACTAGATTCCGCGTTAATTTGCCAATTCCGTGATTCCGTCCGCGATTCCGTGACTGGCTCTTACTGCGATTTTCTGTTTGTTTTATTTGGCAAAATGTTAATCTCCTGTTCTCCCCAAGTCCAGACTTTCTTGTGTTCTTCTCAAAAACATACATGGCGAGGACACGAGTCCGTACTCGAGTTCTTGTGAATTAAGAAACTGCCCTTCTTTTCCGTTCTTATGAACTTTCTGGAAGTAAAGTTTGTTAATCGATTCCTGCTCGCACCCTACTGCCACCTTCTGTCCTGGAGTTATTAATGATATTTGATATCTTGCCCAATAAGCATTAGGTTCTTACTGAATTTAGTACATGTTAAGTTATTCCACACCATCTTAAAATAACATTTCTGAATGATGTTCGACTACAACGCATGACTCATTTAGTAAACACCCAATCTGTTTTTTGAGTGTCCAAATACGCAGTAATTGTTTGTTATTGTTTTCTTATTCCTTGTTTAGGTCGTGATGTACAACCTAAACCCGACATGGAAGCCATTCAGAATCCCGATGCAGGCCCTCTGTGGAGGTGAAATAGAAAAATCTATAAAGGTAAATACATTAAAACCTCAGCCTGTGTTTCTAAGAATAAATATTAAATTAAGGAAGAAGTTAAAAACAAAACTTCCACATATCCGGGACTTCTTCTTGGCTAAAATTGGGAACCCAATGTGTCCCCCCCTACCCAACCCAACCTGCAGGCATGTTTTATAACGTCTTTGTGTGCATTTTTAAGCTCTTTATTGTTGGTTTTTTTTGTTGTTGTTTTTTTTTTACATCCGTTCTCTAACTCTGTTAAAGCACACTTATCTGGAACAGATGCTTTCCAGGCAGCAGCACAAGTGAGTTAAGTGTTAACAGAGTGAATGCACGTCACGTGAAGGATGCGGTGTCTGTGACAGGACCGGCTGAAGTCCACGATGCATCTGCATCCGTCTTAAAGGAACACGCACACTTCTCAGGAGACTGGTCCGTTGCTGAGCCTTCCTGTTTAGATGTTGGCTTTTAACCCCTATTGAACCTTTTCTCATTTTGTCACATTACAGCAACAAACATGCATTAAATGAACAATCATTTTTCTTCATATGTAATGTATTTCTTTTTAATATAAATATAAATCAAACATTAATAAAAAAGAGAATAATTTAACAGAAAAATAACTTTTTTGTGTGCTAGTTGATTTAATTTTAGTTATTTTATTTAATGTAATTGTAATTTTTTTCTTTTTAATATAAATATAAATGATACATTAATAAAAAAAGAGAATAATTTCACAGAAAAATAACTTTTTTTGTGTGCTAGTTGATTTAATTTTAGTTATTTTATTTAATGTAATTGTAATTTTTTTCTTTTTAATATAAATATAAATGATACATTAATAAAAAAAGAGAATAATTTAACATAAAAATAACATTTTTTGTGTGCTAGTTGATTTAATTTTAGTTATTTTTGTGATTTTTTTCTTTTTAATATAAATATAAATGATACATTAATAAAAAAAAGAGAATAATTTAACAGAAAAATAACTTTTTTGTGTGCTAGTTGATTTATTTTAGTTATTTTATTTAATGTAATTGTCATTGAGTAGAAAAAAATATTTATTTAGATTCTTTGTTTAATTTTGAATTTTGTGTACCGGTATTTATTTTATTCCTTTGATATAAATTCAAATGATAAATATAGACAAGGAAAATAATATATAAATAAAAAAAAGACAAAGTTTTTGTTTTTAACTGGGTTTTATCGACAGGTATCCGAGTAAAGTGGGGCAAATAATATGAACCATACTTTTTTTTTATTAATCCCACCTTGTGTTCTGAAGATTACATCTAAAAAAAAAAAAAATGAAAATAAGCATATAATTCTTCTTCCACTTCAGGATTACACATCGCCTTGGATTGGTCACAAAATTAACTGAAGAGTGACAATATGGAGAAAAAATAGAAAGGTTTCGGATTCTTTAAAATTGCTTCAAGAAATTGAATGTTTTTGGGTTTGCTCAAAGCTTTATGGTTGTATTTAAATATTATAATGAAGCACTAAAAGTCAAACAGGAAGGTGAACCAAAGGACTAGCTTCTCCACCGGTAGAATTCTCCATTAAGATGGATGAGCCATGAGCTTCCTCAGCTGTAGCGTCACCCAGTTTGTTCGACCTTCGCTGTTTGCTTCATGCTGTGTGTAGAGATCTCCTGCCTTTTTCGTCTCCACACGGATGAGGTCATCATGCTTAAAAGGCTCATCCGATAATCTGTGTGTTTCTCTCTGCTAGACGTTTCCAGTAGATGAGTGTCATGTTGACAGCTTTAGTTCCATGGCATGCTCCAGCCTCATCTGCTCTGTCTCTCTCTCTCCACGATTCAGTTGGTAGTTAAACAGCTTAGTGAGACCCTTTCCTGCTTCTCCGAACCCTCTGTCTTTTCCAGGTTGAATGCTACGACTATAACAACAGCGGATCGCATGATTTTATCGGCTCCTTTACCACGACGCTCAGCCACATACAGCAGGCATCCCAGTCATACGCAGTGAGTTCAGTGAAATGCTCTTATTTATTTTCTTTTATGAGAAGCTGAATAACTACAGCAGGAGCGTCTCGAAGTCGCTCTCTAACTGGTTTGTTTCTCATCTCCTCAGGCAGAGTATGAATGCATCAACCGCAAGAAGAAGGAGAAGAAGAAGGCTTACAAAAACTCAGGAGTTGTTGTCATAAAACAATGCAAGGTACTTTCTATGTATCTTCCTTCATAAGGAAAGAAACAAGATTATTTTACTAATTCTAGGAAAGACATCACATTCATAAGACCACGCCCCCCAGTTTGCTCTTGGAGGGCAAAAGCACTAGCAGCACATTGTTTTTAGCGATCATGTTACCAAGCCAACGCATTAAATCTCAAATTTAGACGTGATTTAAAACTTTTCGAAGTCGACCCATTTGGACTGAAGATTTATTTTACTGAAAAATCGAAAATATACGGCTTGCATGTATTGTTATCACATAGATTTATATAAATATCAAATCATCTCTGCTTTGCATTTGCAATGGCAGACACCACATAGCTTTTTACTTTGTCCAAGCAGACCCACACCTGCTGACTCCCTTTCTTGTCGGTCATCTTCTGCGATGGCATCACTGCACACTTCAAGAAGCAGACTGCGTTGACCCGATCAGCTCTGTGATAAAATATTTGCCCCACATGTCCAGTCAAGAAGAAGTTATATTCTTCTAATGACTTGTATGCCTTCATTGCCTCTGCAGTATAAAGTCCGGTTGTGTTCACTGCTGCACTTTAAAAATGGAAATGTCTTAATAGCTGTACTAAATGAAATTTCAATGACAATAAAGTCTAAGTGTTATTGAGATCATGGTAAATATTCCCAGGGGTTGACGTTAAGGATTTTTACCACTTGCCCAGTATAATGTTTGATAAATATAGTTCCTAATATTCATTTTTGTATATATATTAATGAAACATTTTCGTTTTTTGAATGTTTTTTTGTAATTTAGTAACTTCCTCTTCATCATTATGCAGCATTATAACGGCCCCTACTTTCAGTAGTTGTTGAGATTTAGATTTTCAGGGATCCTTATCGAACAGTTTAAAAGATGAGTTCCGTATTTTTCAGGTCTGTAAATAAAAAAAAAAATGCAAATTATGTGTCTGTTTTGCGACTTTATTCCCTTATTTATAGCTAAAAATCTGACCTTTTTTTTATTTTATCCTTTCTTGTCTCCCACATCGTGTCCTTTCCTCTCTTCCTCCAGGTTTCCCTCCTTTCCCATGGCTCTTTCTTGCTTTCTTTCCTTTTCTTCTCTTCCTGGAAATGTGAGCATGGAAAAGAATGGACGTAAAAATAGTCTCTCCTTATTTTCTATAGATTTTGAAGGAGTACACATTTCTGGATTACATCATGGGCGGCTGTCAGATCAACTTCACAGTAAGTGCTTCTCTATTGAAATCTATCCAGACAGAAATGTCTCAAGTGTTTTTCCTGGTTTGTTGAAGGTCCTTGTAACGATGACGTTTTCTGTGTTTGGGGCAGATTGCTATCGATTTCACGGGCTCTAATGGGGATCCCAAGTCACCCCAGTCCCTACACTACATCAACCCTCAGGGCTACAATGAGTATCTGGCAGCCATCTGGGCTGTTGGTAACGTCATCCAGGACTATGATAGGTAGGTTAAAGATGTTAAATATGGCTTCTATTTAGGAAAACCTACTCAGATTTGACATAAAAAGACACAACAGGTACAGTAATCTCATAAGGAGCAAACTGTCAATTGAATTAATTTAACAAACCCTAAGCTATTATGATAGCTATGGCAGAAAACCTCACCTCTCCCTCGGGTTTGAAAGCTTGTAGAAGCGCATAACTTGCTGCTACGACTCCCTTGTTTATCCAAGCTTGAATTGAGCGGTCTTATGTGATCCATGTTAAAGTCGTAGGGAAATCGTATTTAAATGTCAAATCATTCTGGCTTAAACATTTATATAAATGTACCCTTTATCAGACGACATTGTCCCAAAATTTTCTAAAATCTATGACTGAAAATCTGTGTTTTTTTCCCGTTATCTTATGCAGGCCAGTTAGTTATAGGTCAGCCTGTACACCTAAATTTGGCCAATCTTATATCAGCTGTCATCTTGTCATATGTTGCAGCTAATATAAGCAACGGTTGAAATAAGAAAGAGCTAACAGAACTGCAGCGTTGCGAGGCATGGGCTCAAACATGTACGGCTGTAAGCCTTCTACACCAAACCAAGTTTCTGCCGCCCTGGCATCCTCTTCCAGAGCAACTTCGTCCCCACTTTTCTCCTCTAAATAAAAAATGTATGACGGAGGAGAAATCAGTGAGAGTTAGTGGGTTAGAGCAACGGTCCCCAACCTTTTTTGCACCACGGATCGCTATATGTCAGACAATATAAACAGCATAAAAATAAAACAACAAGCCGGTCCCATCTAGGCGCAATCGGAGAAAATGACAGACGAAGTGTGCTCCTGATGTCCAGTCTGCTCCGTAGCTTTGTTTTGGTCGCTGTAACCACAGAAAATCCCTCTTCACAAAGATAGAATGTTATAGATAGGATGCGTCTTGAACTGAATTAACCTGTGTCAAGAGGCACAGATGCACCGACTGATGTAACTGGGAGAGAATACCGCAATTTTTTATATTTTTCAAAATAAAACATCACTCAGACTCTGATCGTCAATAAATTATATAAATATATATATATATATATATATATATATATATATATATACTTTTTTCTGTGCGGCCCGGTATCAAATGCCGGGTGGTTGGGGACGGCTGGGTTAGAGGAAAGTTTCACCTTTAATAGTTTATTCCATTAGCATTCTGCTATTTTTTCCAAATCAGTGACATCATTCAGAGAGATTTTGAGAGGTGATTTTTGTTTTAGAGCTAGGGAACAAATCATAGGGCAAAATCTTGGGTGGTGAGCATTAAAAAAAAACACTATTACTGGAACCAACAGTTGAACATCCGCTGCTTTTGCAGCATAATTCAGTAGTGTTTGTGCAGACCACAAAAACGCAATATTTCACTATGTTAATGATCAATGAAGGCAATCTCAAACTTACACTAAACGGAATTACACATCCGCTGTACCTGATAACTGCCTACTTTCCACACAGAGCTGAAGCTGTGCCAACTGTTTGACTTCCAGAATTATGTCACTTTTATTGGTAAATTCACTTTGTTGTGGTGCTATAACACTTCCTACACTTTTCAAATAGTATCCGTTAGACATTACTCTCTCCTTTGTCAAGCGCTTGTTTTGGTTATAACAGGTTCATAACGATTTATGTGATTGAACATTATAAATTTGTAATATACCTGCATTTTACTTTATTTTAAAAAGGAATAGAAAGTTTAGAAATGTCAGTTTAGCAAAAAAAATAAAACAGATCTGGTTGAATTGACTCAACCAGAGTGCGTTGAGACGTGAATTGGCGCTATATAAATAGACAGAATTTCATTAATTGACTGGATTCACTTCAAGGATATCCAGCAAACATTAACTGCGGCATGATGCTGTTATGCCGGTTTGGTCCATCACATCTGAGGAAACCTTTCCTCCATCTTGTTTAGCATGTGCTACAGGGAAATGAGGCATTCCCGAAGGCAAAAACACGGTCAGTCCTGGTCCTAACATTATGGATGTAACTGCATTGATAATCTAACTTCCTTCCCACAGTGACAAGATGTTCCCTGCCTTTGGTTTTGGTGCCCAGCTCCCTCCAAGTTGGCAGGTAACTCTTCAAGTTGTTCTTTACCAGATGATTTGATGATGACATAAAACTCGCCCTGGATCGACGTTTCCTATTCCCATGCATTCCTTTCACATTTGAATGATCCAATGTTGGTGTCTGCAGGTCAGCCACGAGTTTCCAATCAACTTCAACCCTTCAAATCCATTCTGTGCAGGTAATGCTAGCATCTTGTCCTTTTTTAGCAACATTAAGAGAGGCTGGAGAAGTCTTCATAGAGTCACTGCGATATCATTTGATGACCAGTTTATAGAAATAAGAAAGAAAAGATAGAAACATGTCTTAAAATCTGACTGGTAGTTAAAGTTCTGTGTAAAATGTCCCTTACATGTTTTGGTCAATATGTTCCAGTATCCAGATTGTTTATGGGAGTCATTGTGTTTGTGTTGTATCTATTTTTGTAGGCATAGAGGGGGTGGTCTATGCCTATCAGCAGTGTCTGCCTCAGGTGAAGCTTTATGGTCCAACCAACTTCTCTCCAATCATCAACCATGTCGCCCAATTTGGCCGAGAAGCCTTACAGCAGCAAACCGCCTCTGTGAGTTGCAAACAAGATACCCGCCATTGTTATAGCATAAAAGCTGGAACTTTAGATTTCATGTTTGGGAGATTTTAGGCGATAGCTCAACAGATTCATGGTTTTTGGGTTATTTTCTAACTAAATAAAAAAAATTTCTTGGAAAACTTAGAAATTTGATGTACATTAATGCTCTCTACTGATAGCCAAACCAGACAGGTAAATTTATGCCATGTACATGGTATATTATTTCTGGAAAGAGCAATTAGAGCCTGATTTCAAAGGCGGGACCAACAGAGTCAGAGGAAACAGTTTAGAACCAGATCAGTACAGATGTGACACAAAAACCCTTTTACAGTAGCCGGATGTTGAACTTATAATGATATAAAACTCTCTTTTTGGACATAATAAGGGGCATCAATAACACATCTTTGAACAGTTGTATTATTGGCTCGCCACCTACGCTGTGATTGGTCGGTTTATAGAGGCTTACCAGACTGACTTACGTTCTGTGTAAGTCGGTCTAACTGACCAGGCTACTCTATGGATCCCGGTAATTTGAGGAAATAAACTCCCTGGATCCTCTGTGACATCTCCTTCATCCTGCAGCAATACTTCGTCCTATTGATCATCACCGACGGAGTCATCACCGACATGGACGAGACGCGGAACGCCATCGTCAACGCCTCCCGGCTGCCAATGTCTATCATCATCGTCGGAGTGGGAGGGGCTGACTTCACCGCCATGGAGTTCCTGGACGGAGACGATGGGAACCTCCGCTCGGCTACGGGCGAAGCCGCCATGAGGGACATCGTGCAGTTTGTGCCGTTCAGGCAGTTCCAGAATGTAAGCTTTTACACGTGGTGACAAAGGTTGCAGACGTGCTCGCTCGGCGTCATGTTCATGTTTAAGTGTTGCACATCTTATTTCAGGCAGGCACTGCAGCACTCGCACAAAGCGTTCTGGCAGAGTTGCCTGACCAAGTGGCCTCCTTCTTCAGTATGTTTGAGCTGAAGCCCCCCAGCGAGCCCTGTCCTCCCTAGACATGTACGACTTTCCCAACCTCTTCTCCTCCTCTCTCCTCTGAATTTCTCCACAGCAGCATGCTTCTAGGCAGCCATTTTTTTCATATGTCCACCTCATGCCTGATCATGCGACAGTCCTTATGCCTGCCTGTCTTCATTAGCATAGATCATTTTAAATAAGCTGGTTTATTAATCGCAGACTTTCCAGCTCTCTGAATCCATGTTTGATATTTTATAATATCGATTAAGGTTGAAACCAGACATTCTCCCACGGCGTGTAAAAAGACAAATTTTTTTTTGTCCGATATTAAATTTGAATTTTTGTCAGTTATGGTGTCTAGATTTTTTTGCCTTCGCCAAAATAAAGAAAATTTTCTTAGATATAACTTTTTTTAAATGTGGCTATCTCAAACGAGAACTGTTCACTAGTTGTTGCCATCTTCCTTGTTGTGCTTTCTCCAGTGTTGCGCAGCTTTGTCGTCACACCCTCAAAACCCGCCCGCCTGCTTTGAACCCAGAAATTCAGAACACATCTCTACATTGTGATTGGCCCGCCAGTTCTAGGGCCTGGGGCATTGATCGAGGCTAGACCACTCGCAGCCAAGAATAATTTTTGCAGCTGGCGGTTTGGGCTAATTTACTAGGCTATTTTAAATCAGTCCTGTCTTTATCCATTCTGGGTCAGATCTTGACGTTTGAAAAAGGAGGCAGGGAAAGCAGAATAAAGTGTTAGCCTCGCTACATGCCAGTTAGCCGAGCCTTCTTGCTAAACCAGGTCCTTGAAAGGGACGTTTCTTGTGCCATTTATCTCTCTCTCTCTCCAATGCGTCTCCAACTCCCGCAACTCGACCTTTCAATCACATGCAAAAAGTCTGCACTGTGGCGGAAGGTTATGAGCAAATAAACTTCCTGTCACCTCGAGGCACAGCTCTCCTGCACCCAGAGCTGTCCTATGCCTTTGTATTGCAGAGGAGCACTGCGCATGTACAACTTTTAACGAGAGTCAATGGGCACCTATTGTTGCACCCTAAGGCAGAAATATGTCACCAACCCGGCAAAAAATGGACTTACACTTTACTAGTCATTAAAGATTAAATATTTATCTTGCACAGCTAACAAATTTATATTAAAGATTTAATTTAAAATTAAATTATAACAATTTTTTTTATTCTCTTATGTCTTAATGAGGGTCCTTGGGTGGGTGGGTGGGGCAGCGCCCTAACGCACTCTATTGGCCGGCCGCCACTGATATTAAGTTTGCATATTTATTCACCCTGCAATGTAACCATACCTTTTTCCTCTCTTTTCAGTCTCCTCGGGAAGCTCTTGCTCAGAGTGTCTTGGCAGAAGTCCCAGGTCAGGTGGCAGGCTTCTTGAAAACGATGAGTCTGAGCCCGCCTTGCGGCGACCTTCCTCCTACCTATAACGACGTGGCATCAGCGCCCCCAGCTGATGCACACTGAGCACCAACCTTTTCCTTCTACAAACGCCATGACCCTTGAACTTTAAAACCCCTTTGTAAGATGTTCCAGTCTTTCTAGCATGTGCTGCGCAGATCGAAGGACAAGTTAGTTTAGTTATTTTAATACTAAACAGCACGTTTTATACAATGCTCACATTTACCAGGTTAAGTTTTATTAATATGATATTTTACACATTACATATTATATGTGAGGTCTAAATGAAAATTATAAGACAGTCTTTCAGTAATTCCGATCTGGTAAATTAACAGCGTATACAGCTTTTTTCTATGTTGCCTGTGTCAGATCATCAATCCATGTCGTTTTATGTCTTTCCTACACATTGAGGTTGTTTTCTAATATTTCTACCTCGCATACATCAAATTTCCATAGTTACCACCAAAGATCCATATACAATCTAAATGTAGCACAATTACCCAAGGTGCTGTGTAAAAATACAATTTTAAAAAGTAGAGATGCACCGGTCCGATACCTGGATCAAATATCTAATCTGATATTGACTAACTAGCTGAAATAGATAACGCCTCTTATATTGACTGGTTAGATCGATCCGGTATTCGCTCCGATATCGACTAATTAGATCCATCGGATATCGGCTCCGATATTGAATAGCTAGATGGATAGGAAATTGGCTCTGCTGTCGACTGATTAGCTGGACTAGATGTTGTTGATTTGATATCAGCTTTCCGTGATCCAATCAAGTGCACTTTACATGGAACTGACCTTTCTGTTTGCTGCTTATTTGTTAACAAATAATATAATTTAATTCAACAATTGAATTGGATCGTTATTGGATATTGGCCGATATGGTCCAGGTATTGGTATTGGATCAGTTCAGGATAAAAAAAAATATATATATATTTATATAGAACCCAGATATTAAATAAATGTTAGAATACTGAATACATATGAAAAAGAACAGAGACAATAAAAAGAGCATGGCAACTGCTTTTAATAGAGACTGAAAAACGGAGCAAAGCTGCATGTCTAATATATAAAAGGAATCTTTGGGAGCCTCGACTGAAAAAGCCCAATTTCTTCCAAGTTTGTTTGATAAAAGACTATTTAGGGATGTATAAGCCACCATATTGAAATGAATGATGTCATGCACAGGGAGAAAAGATTTTCTTACATAATTCTTTAAAGTTAACTCAAGGCAACCAGGCAGGTTGTGTGACACACTGTTAAACCTAAAGAAAATTACAATTTTGCTTACACTTAAATGTAGAGCCTTCCCATTCTTAACCTCTTCACAGCAGCTTTATATTGCTTGGATGGAGCATGTGGATGTCAGAGGCAGGGCAAGGTGGCACTCTTTTATACTAAAAGTTACATTTTGATGAAAATACACTCCAAAAGATAGCAAGTACAACGATAAAGGACAAGGACAGAAAACTGCTCAGAGGAACCTCACAAGAAAGATGGGCTGAAGGTGGACAGCAGATTTTTATTAACGTTAACACAAAGTTCCTTCTCTCAGATAGGAACAAAGCCAATCAACTTCTGCACCTTCTATCCCAGCCTTATTGTCCATATGACACATATAAATAGAGAAAAGTGTGGTTCACCAACTCAAACTCTACGTTAAGAATCCCAGCGCTTCCAGAGTCATTTGCTAAATGCTTAAAACCAACCTGGAAAACCTCCACAGAACCACCAGTGCCCAACCAAGGATTCAACTGTTTAACATTAGTTTTCTCCATTGTTTTTTGGAAAACAATTGGAGCTTTGAGAAAGTTTAAAATGCCAAACAGGTTTACATCAAAAGTAAGCAGACTATCACTCCATTTTTTTTTAAGATGTTTCTATACCTGTTCAGGAGTCTTCGCCAATTCTTTTAGCGTTAAAATTTCAGCAAACCAACAGGTCATGGAAGGGACTGTTTTTACTTAATGATTTACAACATAAGTTAACAACATCAGGGATCATACTGGAAGTAGCAGGGACAGAGATTTAACTCCTTAAAAATATGTTTTAGCCATTTCAGGAAGTAAACAGTGATGTCTGAAAGCTCATCATATCGCACACAAGTGAAGGTAAAACCAACCAACTTAATATTTTTATAGAATATGCTAAATTATTGTAGTTTACATTAAAAAACCATCAAACTAAACTAACTTTAAAAAAGAATGTCTATAGTTTATTAAAGACACCACTACCTTTAGGTTTGTAACCCATAAGTTTCTGGGTTGTAACCACTGAATATGCTAGTCAAAAAAAATACACCGCTGCCAAACCCTGAAAATACAACAGGATTTATTTAGGAGTTTATGTGATGCTTGTTTGTTTAATTGTTAAATAGTGCTACTCTGCTGATAGGGAGGTCATTAACAAACTGATAAATAACATTTATAACTTCGATCAGGAAGTGTTGGACAAAATTGACTGCCCATTTTTTTTTTTTATCATGTCACCAGTTTTTAAATACAAAGATCTTTAAATTGTGTTTTTTAAATCTCATTCTGGTGCAGTCTTTTTTTCTCTATAAAGATGAAATAGATAAATCAGTGACCTGTTTTAGTACGTTTCCGCTGAGCCAGACTTGTCAAAGAAATGTAAACGGATTATTATGCTCTGCGTCAGTCATGACTTTTAACTTTATATCTGAGTGAAATATTTTAAACCTAAATAGCCCGAAAATAGAATTTGGACACCAAAATAATTGGTACTGAACACTAAAATCAACATTATGGCCCCACTGAGGCCTATAGGTTATGATATTTTAGGCAAAACTATAGGGCTTACCTTCATCTTACTCAAGTGCCAGATTCATTATTATTTTTTTTTAAATAAATGTTTTAGTACATTTATATTCTAAGAACTGAGGCAGCTAAAAACAGCCCTCTGATTAGTCTGTCACGTCTAAAGCCAGATGTACATATAAACTCCTTAAAGTGTTTCACTTGTGTCTTTTTTTGTATTTCCTCCAGATGCCCTTTTTACTGCAGTCACCTCTTTGTTGGCTTTTATATGTTGTGTTGTCCCAGAAAATGTAAATAGATTTGAAGCTGAAAGCGAGCAGCTTGGTCAAATGTTTACAGAATGAACCGATGCATATGTAACAGTTAATGATCATTTGTACTGAAATCGAGTTGTTTTATTTAGCTGACCCTGTGGTGCTTCCATTGGACGGCTGATTCACCGTTCGCTTAATGAGACCTGATCCATATGTTTGTTTACACACTAAAAACAAATTTGTTCACTTTGTCTTAAATGTTTAAGTTTGCTTCGAGTAATCCTTGCATGTAATTTTGTATGTTAAAATTTATTTTTGACTCATTAAGTTGTTTACATGTATTGCCTTATGTCATCTATGGCTACGTTCACACTGCAGCCTGAAGTGACCCAATTCCGATTTTTTTGCCCATATGTGACCTGTATCTGATCTTTTTATGACAGTCTGAACGACACAGATCGGATTTTTTCAAATGCGACCCAGGCCACTTGGATATGTGGTCCTGAATCCGATACGTATCTGATCTTTTCAAATGCGACCTGTGTCTGTACGGCCAGGTCGCATTCATCCGACCTACACGTCATTGATACTTGACAAATGTTACTAAACGTTACTAATCTGCGTCCTACTAAGCGGAGGTGGGAAAAACTAACAACCATGGCGGAAGATAACACAGAGAGCAGTCAATAGAGAGCTCAGTGAGAGCTCTGTACGGACGTTGCTATTACTGCCCCACAAAACGCCATTGCAAGAAATCTGGCTCTCTTTCTTTTTGATCTTCTTAAAAAGATTTCATTCGTAATGTGCCTGCTCCTGTTGGAGAAGAACTTAAAGAACGCAATATACGCTGCGGTATTACGAGTCATGTTTACTTCCGCAAACACTGAGGACGCTTGCTACATGTGACGTCATCGCGTCCTCGAGTGCGCATGCGGGACACTTCGGTTGAACGCTTTCAGTTCACACAGTAGATCACATACAAGTCGCATATACTTGGAAGTGTGAACGGACATGCAAAAAAATCCGATTTCACAAAAAAATCGGAATTGAGCATTAAGGCCTGCAGTGTGAACGTAGCCTATGTTATATGTTTTTATTTTGTCTGGATTTTGTTGCTCTATGCTATGAAAAGATTAATGAAATCAACATGATCAGATAAATAGATTATAATATAATGTTACTTTAATTATTTTAAAGATAGATTATATATGGGAAAGGCTTAAAAAGATTTAGATTATGGAAACATTAACTACATGTAGTTATGTTTCAATTCTTAGTTAATTCTTATTCTGTTTTCTTTTGGAAAAAGAACTAAAATAATTTAAAAACTTTTTGTAACACAAATAATACAGCATTTAGCTTTCTTTATCACCTATTTCCTGCTCTTTTAACATTGATTATAAGACAGGCAATGAGAAAAACAAAGTTAACAGTCTTATAATAAACTCTTATATTGCAGAAGTATAGACATACATTGAATAATGTGGAAAAATCTAGTATTTAATGTCTATGCTGAACGTCAATACAGAAATTAACGTTTTGACAAGGGGGGTAATTCACATCTAGAAAATATCGATTTTAAAGATTGCTTTAAAAAAGGTGATGAAAACTTAAATGTCCTCATATAGTAACTGAAGCATGTTTGTAACATTAAGTAAACCTCTTAAGTAACTAACTCTTCCTGGTGGGATAACCTGACCTGACAGATTTTTCTGAGTCACTATGTTAAGTCATTATGTTGTATTTTTTCTATACATTTTCTTTGTTTTGTTTTTAACAATCTTTTTTTCATGAAATCCATAATAAAATTTAATCTTCAGTGTTAGCTCGACTTGGACATTTCTCTACATTGTCATTCTCCGGACAGAATGTTTTTTGAATGGGATTAAGCCTTGAATTAGTAATTCATTTAAAGTTTTATCTCAGGCAACTCATTTGTGGTTACAGAGTTTTACAGTTGTTTACAGTTTCTTTTTGTATCTCTGCTTCTGTCTCCTTGAACCCCAGTCGGCCTCAGCAGATGGCCGCTCACGCTGAGCCTGGTTCTGCTGGAGGTTTCTTCCTGTTAAAAGGGAGTTTTTCCTCTCCACTGTCGCTACAAGCATGCTTAGTGTGAGGGATTGCATTTGAGTAAATTATTTGAGGCAATCAACTGGTTTTCCTTAGATATAAAACTTTGAATCAATATGACTGTATGATCTGGTTGAACTATAAAGTGCCGTGAGATGACATGTGGTGAATTGGTGCTATATAAATAAACTGATTTCAATTGAATTACATAAAATTATAGAGATTATTAAGAAAAAAATACTTTAAATCTTTATTGCAATATGCAGGTAATGAGATCATGAAGGGTTAAGTCCAAGCTGACTTAAGTCATCACTGCTCATTTCTATGCTGATGATACAGCACTGTTCAGTATTAACACCCAGCTTTGGTCTCATTGAGCAGCCTTTAGCTGTTAAAACAATCAAAAATGTTGTTTAAAAGTTATGTTTTCTTAAAGCATCCCCACAGCATGATGCTACCATCCCCATGTTTCACAATGGGGACTGTATGTTCAAAGCCATAGTTTTACCCTTCCCAAGGGTTTGAACAGAGCAGTTTTTTCCACCATTCTTTATATGACTCTTCCATGATACAATGGAAAGGTTCAATTTGTGCGAATCCCTATTGAGAAAGATATTTGTAATCGCAACAAACATTTTCCAAGTCATATAAAGTTTTATTGAAAACGGGAGATTACTCATTCAAATTGAACATGGACTCCTTTCCCCTGCTTGTTATTGCAGTGCTGTAAAAAATACAGATCAGAGTGCAGCCCAGCCTTCACGCATGGGCGGTTCTAGACAAGGGCCAACAGGGGCCCCTATAGAGCAGATCCTGGCCCCTGTTCTGAAAACAAACACTGCAAAAAAAAATATTTTCTCCTTAAATTAGGTGTAATTTCAATTGATTCAAATAGGTAAAGACAATTTAACGATGAATAAAACGAAACCCTCAATTATCTTATTTCAAGTGCATTATATCGAGCTGTCTTATAATTCCTTTGATAAATCATCCCATTTAAGGGGGGAGTGATGGCCTAGTACAATGGTGTAACGACACAACAATAGGCCTGTAAGCAATATTATCTGGGTGGGCCCCATATGAAGTACAACACGTGATAAAGGCTCAGGATACGGCGACAGTTCCATAATCGCCAAGAAGATACAATTATGCAATTCTCAGTAGTTTATGATCACACATGGAAAAATGGAACCATCATCACATGTTACAGACATCCCAAGTTCCAAAAACTGATTTCAGGGAGATGCTTGTTGAACGGAATTTTTTGCTCCACTTTATCTGCAAAGAGTCGTCCTAGTCTACAATTGTGTAGGGGGCCAACCAGGTGTCAGTGATGGGGCCCCTAAGAAGTTGTGGGCTCCTAAGCAACTGCAGTCTCTGCCTACCGATAATTAGGCCATTGGCTTAGTGGTTAGAGCCGTGTGCTTGTCCTCCTGAGCGAGACCCTTAACCCCCACAATGCTACCTGGGCGCCGCACAATGGCAGCCCACTGCTCCCGAAGGGAATGGATTAAGTGCAGAGAGTGAATTTCTCCACTGTGAGATCAATACATTTCAATTATTATTACCTGCTCGAGTTAATTGCAAATAGATTTATTTTATGGATGTTTTTCTTAATCGGATAATTTTTTCAGTGTATCGTAATTTCTTAGGATGATATATACACCATCGGCATAGGCAGACCCTTTTCACAGGGGCACATGCCCCGTTGTGGATCTGCGGTGCCTGGGGCACAGATTTTTTAATTGATTAATTTTCCGCCCTCAGAGCGGAGTTGAGAGAGGAGAACTCTAGCTTGGCAAAAATGAAGCCGGGACGCTAACGTTTGCCGTTAAAAAAATAAACATACAGCTCTCCCATCTTTCTGGCCATGATATACACACCTCAATGGATCATCACCATCACAGGATGGGCCTCAAATAGAAATGAGAAACACAGACATGTATGTATGTAGAGGTGTTTTTCTGTTTTTCCTTTTAAAGTTGCACATTTAAGTTTTCAGTTTTCAAGTTCACGTTTGCTGACAGATATTTAATGAAGATAAATTGTGCCTTCATCAGTAGTGGATTAGAGATATACTGTTAAGTTCACAAGTGGGCCAGTTCCATTTGGTTTATTTAATCATTATTTAATAATTCAGAAAATAACAATCAGATTGTACAATTTAATTACAATGCTTTCTAATAATATGTTTTTTTTTGTTGTTGTTTTTTACAGAGTGGCGGAAACGGGCTTCCATAATTATCTGAGCCCATGCTTTTCTAAAATAAATAATTGCCCAAAAAAATTTTGCTCCCGCGCTTTGCCTGCTCGCATTTTTTTATTTTTTGGTGCCTTATTGTGCCCCTGTATTGCATTGGGTCAGATGACGCCCCTGATATACATTTTGATTTCACCTTGGGTTTGTATGGCTCTCTTATTAACCTAAATAATGCGCTCTTTCTCTGTTTCTTTTTGTTTCTGCATGAAAAAAAAAGAAAAACCGTGGCCCCACCCTTTCTTTCCCTCTAGTAAATTTAGTCTAAACCCGCCTCAGCCTCCACGCCTCTACCTATGGAAAGTGTGCAGCCATGACTGAAAGCTATCGATAAGTGACGTTGTTCCGCGTGACAGCTCCGCCTCCCCGACTCTTTCAAGAACGAGGCAGATCACCTCCAGACACCAGGAAACCCACTGGATCAAATCTGGGCGAAGACAATCCCTCCGCACCACTTTGAGCGCGGATTAATCTAAAGACAACTAGTTCTACTCCGTCTACTACAGTAAGCTCGTGTTTAAATCTGCTTTAAAACACACGGAAGTCGACGTGATATATAAAGTTATTTGTTATTAGATCTAATTGTCACGTTTACCTGCTAGCTCTCAATTAACTTGTTTACTTTGTTTTTTTTTATACGTACGCTTCCATATGTTTTTCATCCGCCATCGTTAACAGCTATATTATTACGCTACTACAACGCTTACGTCAAAGCTGTTTTTCTTAAACTTACGCATTATTAGCTGCGTTAGCTTATAGTTTTATCTACGCTGTGTTTGGATGGTGGGTGTAACGGACTGGGTGTGTGTCGCATCTGCAGGGGCGACTCCCAAAGTTAAAGTAGACGAAAGAACATACAGTCCTCCTTCATGTGGACAGTTTTATTGACTACGCTTTTTTTTCTGGTGCAATTTTGTGGCAGTTTGCTGACAGGAAGACATGGCTGCTCAGTGTGTGACCAAGGTGGAGCTCACGGTGTCCTGCGACAATCTCCTGGACAGAGACATCGGCTCCAAATCTGACCCCCTGTGCGTCCTTTTGATGAGCAGCTCTGACTCCCAGTGGTATGAGGTCAGTAATGTGAAGAGAACTCACTGTAATATAATATATTTTGGATGTAAAATCGTAAATTGTGAATAATTGTTGTAGAGAGTACAGAGAAAACGAATCAGTGATAGCAAACAGTAAGTTTTCATAACTTTCTTCAGGAAATTCTTAAAACTAACATTAGATTTAAATATTAAATTAGGTTTTTCTTTCTCTTAAAGTGTAAACTGATGCTGAAATCACTGTCTGTATATCAATTATGGGTTTCTACTGCAAAGTTTCAGAAAAATAAAGCACACCAAGTATTTCCACATGGTTAGTATTTGATAGTGGTGTCAAAAGAAAAAATCATGTTATTTAAGTGGAAGTATAGATACTGTAGTTTTAAAAACACTGAAGTAAAGAGGTCAAGTTGAAATGAGCTCAAACATCTATTTATTGAATGCTGTCCTTTTTTGCACTGATATTTATATTTGTAGATGTTAAAGAGATGCCTTTTAGTGCATTACATATGTAGGGCCAAAAAAACATCAATGCATGAAAAAAGTTAAGAATAAAAGCCGATTCCGATGCCAAAAATAATATGTTATGCATCCCTAGAAGTACAATTTCCAGAAAATAATGAATATGCTGCATTTTAAATATAGCATAGCGTATTTTTTTCTTGTAACTTTTTTGATAACCTTGGAGATATATTTTATTGCATGTAGCATATCCCAGTAAATCTGTTTCAACTTTAAATCTGCAGCTCTCCCAACTTCTCTATGTGCTCTGCACTGAAAAAAAGTGTAACATGTAACTGTTCCTTCAAACTAATGCTTTTCACTCTAAACTAGATGAAACTATTGATTGATTTGTTACTCATTCTTTTTGAACTAAATACACGTACAAGGAACTCAAAACAAAGTTTTTGATTTCTCTCAATATGTATATCTGTATTTATGGCCTGCAGGTAATTTTTTCTGTTTGAGTCAAATGTGAACTGCGCTTTGCATGCACTCAGAGCACGTGATCAAGTCTAAGTCCCAGACTATGACAGAGTGGCTCAGTTGTGCAGTGGCTAGCACTGCTGCATTGAAGCAAGAAGGACGTGGGTTCAGTTCCAGGCCTGGGATCTTTCTACATGTAATTTGTCTGTTCTCCTCATGCTTGTGTGGATTCTCTCTGGGTACTCCTGCTTCCCCCCACAGTCTGAAAACATTGTTAGTCTAAATTCCCCTTAGGTGTGTGTGAATGGTTGTGTTGCCCTGCGATGGACTGGCAACCTGTCTGGGGTGTATAGAGTTTGTAAGATGGGAAATGGAACTTATTTCTGAAGTAAAGTCAAATGATATGTGAAAAATCTAATTTCGTTATATTTAAATTAACTGGTTTCTATACAAACATTAATTCTTGTTTTAACAATTTAGTTAAAAGTAAGTATATTAGGTTTAGGGCTGGGTACCGAACTTCGGTACTTTTATGGTACCGACCGAAATGCTTCGGTTCTACAGAGTATCGAAACATGCCTCGTCTTTCGGTACCAAGTTTCGGTGATTGGCTGGAACACTTAAGGTGATTGCGTCATCCAGGAAAAATACACAGGTGGTCACGCCTACAGCCAGGGTTCATGTGTATCTTTTGTGAACTGGTTGCAGCGTCGCGGAACCCCTTTAAAATGCCCCCCAGGTCAAAAGTGCGGCTTCACCAGGGGCGTTGCTAGGCACAAAGCTTTACTGGGGCACTGACCCCCTACCGCATATGCCCCTCCTTCCATACACAAATACAGACAAGCACACTGCCCAACCCTGATACATTCCAACCAAAATTACCAGTTGAGATATTAATAAGTGTAAGAGCATATTTGTTTTAACAAACATGAACATTTTCAACATTGCAGCTATAAAAAATAAGACATTACCAACTTTAAAAATAAAACGTTTCCTTATACACATTCTGAAGTAATCATTAATTTCTAGGTTTCAGAGTTTTAGTTCGGGGGAAATGTTAACTAATTTTTTGAGCATTAAAGTGTACCTCCTATTTTTCATTTTTGCAAAGCGGTCAATCACTTGACTGTGACTCAGCTTAGAAAGTTCTTCCTTTTCAACTGATAAAATAGCAAGATGATGGAGCCTATCTTGTCCCATTGTGCACCTCAGCCAAGTGTGGAACCTTCTCAACACACTGAATGACCTTTCATAACTACAGCTTTTGACTGGGATTGTGAGGGAGATCTGGATGACCTGTGTTAGTCTTGGGAATATGATGTTATCAAGCAAGTTGAAAACACACTGCATATCCTTGATGACAAGGCTTTCTTTTTCAATCATAAAAAGCTTTCAAACCATTTTGAATTAAACAAACGTTTTTTTCTACTCCAAATTTGTGCTGGGGATAGTGGGATAACTTCACTTGTTTAGGACCATCATGCTTTCCCCCTAAGTCACTAATGTCCCCTTCTTATTTTTGGAGGCTGGTTGTTGCATCCTCATCACCTTCATGGTCCTGTATCTCCTGTCTCTCACCTGTCCCTTGCCTGTCAGTCTCGCCTCATCCTCCCTTTCCTACTCCAGCACCTTCATTCTCATCCTCTACAGCAAACATTAAAAAAACGTAAATCTATAATTATGTAAATATCTATCATATTGCTTATAACGTCCCTAATGTAACTGCTTAGCTTAAATCACTAATTCATCACGGGACCTTACCTCCCTCTCTCTCATCTTGTTTTACTGCTTCCCTGTCTCTGCTTCGTGTGAGGAATTTCCTCATATCCATCTACAAACCAATGCAGTCATTTTCAGTTAATAGCCTATAAATCATGTGGTTTCACTGGGAAAATATTAAAATTGACAGGTAAGAAACATTACCAGAACTAAAAATGCGCCGCACAGTGTCCCATCCAAAACAGTTGAGAGCAGTGTGTTAGTTTACCTGCAGTTCATGCAGTGACATGCGCTGACGTGGGGGCGCTAATTCATCCTCAATTTGGAGTTAACAACACACTTGCTGCACGTTGGAATTATCTAAATTGATGCGTTAAAAAATGTAATACTGTTGCAAATATTCATGAGATTTATACTGGGGCACAGCTCATTTATACTGGGGCACGTGCCCCAGTAAATGGGGTCTGGCGACGCCGATGGGCTTCACTTTATTAAGACTGATGCTAATAGTGCACAATGCAATACATCGTGCACGGAAATAATTTAAGAGCAGAAAGTCGCTCTGTGTTTGACTGCAAGAAGAGCGGACCGCAGCCAGCGCGACCATCCTCCTCTCAGCAGCCCGTGGGCAGAGCAAAGCCAGAGCGGAGTGAATCATGCTGCTTTCAAACTGGACGCAGCAAGAGCAGCAAAACTCGTCTGCTGCTTCATTTTTGCTGCTTGTACCAGCTTCTGACGCGCTGCTGAAGAAGCTTTGCTGCTCTGGCTGCGCGGTCGCAAAGTGGGTCAGACGCGCGTTGGGCGGAGCTACTCTATCCTTTATTTGCCTTGCAGCTATATTTGCTGTGATCAGTGGGAATAAAGTAGTTTTATTATGTTTTTAAGTGGGAAAATCCACCTGAAAACGTAATCAGTGCAGTCAGTTCATCCTGCCTTCAATATTTCTGTCGGAGCCGCTCAGACCCCCCCCATACCAGCGGTGCGCTGTCAGTAGGATCCCATTCAACGGGCTTGTTTGTCAGACATGGTAATTTTTCTAAAGGAAAACTGCTAAGTAAAAAGGTCCTCACAATGTAACAGTGAATATTAGACACTGAATTATTTATTTTTTTATGTAAGAGGAAAAATGTAAATGGAAAAACAGAGCTTAAAATAAAACTCAAGATTTGTACTTTTTTATGTTGTGTAATTTTCTTTTTTTTCGAATTGATATTATAAAACTGGTATCGAAAAAAGTATCGTTCAGGAACCGGTATCGAAGTGAAGGTATCGGTATTGGTACCGGAACCGAAATTTTTTTAACAATACCCAGCCCTAATTAGGTTGGTCCAATGTCAATATATTAGTTTGGTTCATCAGCTAAAATGTTCAGAAAATCATTTGAAACAGGGCAAAGATTTTAAGTTGTGTCAAGTGCAATATTATTGTTTACATCAACATAATATAATCAGGTCATAACAAGTGATTAAATTCAGATTCTGTGAAGTCAAATATTTTAGATGTGATATCTGGACATCATTTTTTTTTAGTTTGAGCAAGGTTATACTTTTTCCAGTGTGTTTAAAAAGATTTGTGAACCTATTTACTAATATTATGATGCCAGAAGCAAAATTTTAAGATATGTAGAGGCTCTACAGTCTGATTCTGTCTGTCTACACAATAAGAAAACATGTTAATTTTAACCTGTAATTGGGAGTCATGGTCCTCCTATTTTTTCTCAAGCTTCTTGCATTATAATACTAACTTGTTTAAACTTACAACATGTTGCCTTTTTTAGCTAAAAAAGCCCTGTATGTCTAACAAACAGATTTTTCGGTAGCATCTCTAATTTTTTTTAACCAACCTGTTTCCTAACTTTTCCATAAGCATCTATCGAAGTAGCTGCTGGTTAATATTCACTGAGTGCTGCTGTGTGTCTCTTCTCCAACCACGTAGCTGCTTTCTAAGTAGTGTAATGTGACTGCATATTAGGGCTACAAAAACGAATCGATAAAAATCGACTTTTAAAAGCGTTGGCAACGAATTTCATCATCGATTAGTTTTGTCGCACGATTAATGCTTCCGCCGCCGCCGTCATCACTGCCACTTGACTGAAACAGGGTAAGAAAAAAAATTACGGCAGAGCGAACCAGCGCTGCAGTTGCGCAGTGTTGCCAACTCAGCGACTTTTCCATGTCGCTATATTTAGTGACTTTTCAGACCCCTCTAGCGACTATTTTTTAAAAAAAGCGACTAGCGACAAATCTGGCGACTTTTTACGGTGTTACTGGCGGCTTTTGGAGACTCTTACTTGAAAGCATGTATCGTTCCTACTCTTGTCCTGCAGCAGCAGCTGCTGCCGTGAGGCTCCTCCCCCATCCCAACCCCGTTCTCCCGCAGGAATCCCTCTCAGCGCTGCAGTCAGAGCCGCATGATGTTTCAGCGTCCAGACTGCAAATGAAGCGCGCATGCGCCGGGATTGACGGCGCAAATTGATCACAATAATTAAAATAGCCTTTAGAAATAAATTAGCTTGCAAATTATAAGGGCAAGGCTTTTAAAGTTTAAATCTTCTGGCAAAGATAAAGTAAAGAAGATCCTGCAATTTATGGAAGTAAAGCATAAAATCCAGCAAGATCAGTAATATGTCAATTAATTATATGCCACATTCCCATGTAAATATCTGTCTTTGGAGGATGTGTTTTTTACCACCCCTTTTTCTCTCATTTTTATTCCAAATACAATTTCTAATTTGAATCACAGGGCTATTTTTATCTCTATGGTTCAGTATTTTCTCAAGTAGCAACTTTAACTGCTATACTTTCCTGTCTTTAAAGGCTCTTCTAGTCTAAAAAACACTCATTTGTTGAAATGGGGGGACCTATTGTTTGAACCCCTTAGGGGCTTTAAAAAACAAAAATGCCTGTCTTTTTTGTGCTTTATGAAACAAAGCACCCTATATTTTGTGGATATACAGCTACATTTCTCATGTAAGTTTGCGTAGTTTTAACACAAACATTTATTTTTCATATTGCACCAGTACAGTTAATGAGCAACCTGTACTCGTGTGCTTGTTTGTTCTGTCTAAAATGTTTATTTTGGAATAAAGAGGTTAATATAAAAAATATTTTTTGTCCGATTCATCGATTAATCGAAAAAATAATCGGCCGATTCATCGATTTTTAAAATAATCGTTAGTTGCAGCCCTACTGCAGATATCATGTCTCAAAGCGACAGATCCAATGAGGGAAAGAGGGGAAAAAAACACTGAATCAAAACACACTGAACACAGATAACTGCACCCAACCTCTGTTACCTCCGCTGGCTCCCTGCCCCCCTCCGCCGGGGTTCCACTATATTACCTAATCTCTTTCTGTCACAGTCTTGGTTCTGTTATGTTTTCTTTTGAGTATTCAGTTTTACTTTACTTTGTTTTCTAGATTTCTAGTTTTAATTCTTATTTTGTTGTGTTTTCTGGTTATATTTCCGTATTCAGGTATTTATTTGTTGCCCTCTTGTGTTCTCCTTTTTCCCTAGCTCCTTTCCAGTCTGCTCTGTTCACACCTGCTCCCAATCTGCTCGTTATTCTTCTCTTTGTTCAGTCTCCCATAAATACACTCTTTGTGCAGTTCCTCAGTGCTGGTTCCTCGTCTAACTTCCTCCAACTCCGTCTCACTGTGTCTCTCTTGTCGTGATTGTTCTCCTCTGAAGTCTCCATGATTTCTGGTTTGTTTTACTTTTTGCATGCTTGATTTTTGGATTCCTGCCTCAGTTGTCTATTTACATTTCATTAAATTAACAAGAAACTCACCTCTGCCTCCCTGCCTCCTGGGTCTTCAAACCACAACCTAATCCTTACAATTTTCTTGCATCAAGTTTCCCATGAACCAATTTGGTGGTATAATAATCTGGACAATCTATCCACATTTAGATCTTCAGAAGATCACAAACAGAGCAGCAGATACGCAACAGAATAGCAAGATGGTCTAGTCCAAGTCCAGACCTCAGCCCTGATTAAAATGGGTGCAAACCTCAATGAACTGGTGCTAATTCTACAGCTATGTCACAATCTAAGCAGCTCATTGTTGCTGCAGGGGTTTCTACAACACTTGAATAAATGAGTCTGGCTCGTTTTTTCCTCCTTTCCAGTGACTTATTTGTGCGTTCAATTGTGTTACCTGGTAATATCATTGTGTTAATTATTACAGCCCACTTGGTGAAGTTTCCCATGTGCTATTTCATCGCCGTATGTCTCCATTCACATGTTCCTTATAGCTTTGTTTAAGCCTAACAACGCTTCCCCTTCGTCACCCGGCTATGTCCGATCTTTCCCAACAGATGGGACGCACAGAAAGAGTGCAGAACTGCCTCAATCCAAAGTTTGCCAAAAAGTTTGTCATCGACTACTACTTTGAAATAGTCCAGAAGCTGAAGTTTGGGATTTACGACATCGATAACAAGACAGTTGACCTGAGTGATGACGACTTCCTTGGGGAGCTGGAGTGCACCCTGGGTCAGGTGAGACGGCCTCTTCTGGGACAAAACAACCACACGAAATCTTAGATTTGATAGTGATTCTTTTTGTTAAGTTGCTAAAATGTAAAAAAGCTCTTTTCTATCTGCTATGTTTAGGTTGTTTCCAGTAATAAACTGACCCGACCGCTGGTGCTGAAGAACAACAAGCCAGCTGGAAAGGGGACGATCACTGTGAGGTTCAAAGAGAGTAACAGAGAAAACGTTCATTTTTAAATTCCTTTATTTTAACGCATTTATGCAACGTTTGTGTCGTAGATCATTGCAGAGGAAATAAAAGACAACCGGGTGGCAAAGCTTGAGGTGGAGGCAAGAAAGCTGGATAACAAAGTAAGGTTTTAAATGTTTTTAATCCCTTCTTTTTGGTCCTTATTTCACTGCTATTCATTTTGTTTTGTAGGATTTCTTCGGGAAGTCAGATCCCTATTTAGAGTTTTACAGACAAACAGGAACCGGGTGGCAGCTGGCCCACAGGACAGAGGTAGAACTCATCCCCAACGTCTGAGCGAACCTCTTTCACTTCTTGTCTTGTTGACATTTATCTTACTGTGTGGTGTGTAGGAGCTTTGCACGTTTGATTACAGCAGTCGTATTTCTGTTCTCATTGCTGCTGTAATATGTTAGTACTAAACCAGATATGTCTGATAGTTTTCAAAGCTTCACAGTCTGAACCATCATTACCTGATTGCTCTGCTACACCTCACATCTACAGCAGCAGCAGTGCTCCATTGAGCGCCTTTGTTTAGGCTTCACTCTCTTGCAAAATACCATTGCTGTTGCCTTGACACCAAGGTTATAAATGAAGGTTTAGCAGAACAGCATTCTAATGTTCCCGAAAATTCACCAACTTATGGTCAAGGGTCGGGAACCCCTTTAAAAAACTGTAAAATTCACTGTTTGAGAAGGAGTTGTCAGACCCTGACGAGAGCTGTCAAGTCTGCACTACTTCACAAAGATGATGCAGCCGGCCCATCAAAATAAAAGCATTTATTCTGATATTTATTCCAAATTTTCAAAGTAAAATGTCAAACCACTTCATGTTTAGAAACTGTTACACCTTATTAAAGGAGAAAAACAACAGACTGCTAAAATTAGCCATAAACATACAGGGTTGAAACACTTTGTAAATGGCATATTTACTGACGCATTGAAAGTGTTTTAGGAGGGACATTCAGCAGAGCTTTCTGTGCCGATTGGGAGAAGCGACACCTTCTGCTCACCTACTAATATTTGGTTTTAGCCAAACAGGAGGGAAAAAGCACAAACAACTTTTCCAATCAGTCAGCGATTTTGCTGTTCTTCTTCTAAAGAAGAAATTGATTCTGCCTGATAAGATTTTACAGAGCTATGAAAGCTATGTCCCACCTTACAGTGTTGTTGACACGATATCACCATGATTGGTCGACCCAATCGTTAGGATAGTTTTTTTTCTTCCATATTCTCCTGGATTCCAATAACACTATTGGCTTGAAATTTGGCTTTTCAAAGTATTTCACTGAGTGCCCTTCAAAGGGTCAAGAGCAACATAGTGAAGTTATTGTGAAACTAGGGAGTTAAATATGTCTTCTTTCATACGAGTGACAAACGTGTTGATGATTTTTTCCGAAATTTGTTTTCAGGTGGTGAAGAATAACTTGAACCCAACATGGAAGCCGTTTAAAATCCCGCTGCAGTCGCTGTGTGGAGGAGACCTGGAGAAACCCATTAAAGTAAATATCTAAGCACAGCAGTCACAGTGTTGGTGTTGCAACATCTCAGAGCAAACAAAGAGCCTAACGCTTTGTGTTCAGTGCTTTCTCGATGATGTGTATTTCTTTAACCTCTGAAGCGAGCAAGAAGGAGGCAGGACAAGTGAGTTATTTCATGTGCTGCAGGATTTCTATCTGTTCTCATCTTCCTGTTAGGTCCTGGTTGACGTGTGGTGTGAGAGTGATTGAACTAACCTGGAGTGCTAACAGATCAGGACTTGGTGTCATCAAGAAAAAGCCTTAAAGGAATAGTACACCCAAAACATGATTAGCCTTCATTTTCTACTCACCCCCATGCTGAACAACACTCTGGAGTACTTTTTTGATATCTCAAATGCATCTGGAGATCTGGGAGGCTTCTTGCTGTCTGCTGACATTCAAATAATGGAGGTCCATGGCGCCCGAGGCAGAAAGGTCCACAAAAGTCCACAAAAAACGTGTCAAAATTCCTCCATACTGCTCGTCCAATGTATCCCAAGTGTCCTGAGTGGGTAGCGTCCATAATTTACTCGAAACAAAGTCATTTAGAATGTTTTTAGAGCATAAACAGTAGTGTATAGGATTTCCTAAAAGTGCGTTCACGAGTCTACGGAAACCGCGGCAGACCAAACCAGATGAAAGTGCGCATTCAGCGTCTGCTCTGCAGATAATGCAAGCGTAGAAGAAGAAATGTGCTGTTTACCTGTGCAAAGAAAGAAACAACGAAAGAAAAATGTCTGAGGACTTCAGTGTTGAGGAAGAGCATGAGTTCTTTGCCGAGCTGAATGCTAATCATGTTTTGGGTGTACTATTCCTTTAAATGTCTGTAATGCCTTCCTGTCCTGTTTCTAAAAGGAGGAAAACTCCTTTGTTCTCTGAATTTCATTCTTGCATGCTTGTTTCCTCTGTTTTTTTTCATGAGCCGCCTCATTTAAACACGTTGTCCTGTAAACAGAAACCGAAAGAATCCAGATGCTGGTTTTGGAGTTTTGGAGACAAAGACCAACACAAAGGCTTGCCAACCTGTAAAAGCCAAAAATACTGATAAGCATTCCCATGGCATGATGCGGCCACCGCCGTGTTTCATGTAGGCCGATGTACTGTTTTGCTTCCAGGCCAACAGGTTTGATTTGTTCTGTGTGATGAGAGCAAATTCCCTAACGCGCTTGAAGTTCATCCCATTTGTACGGAAGAGCATTAGGGCCACTGAAAAAAAAAAGTTAACTGATTTTTAAATTGTATTTCAGTTTAATATGGGGAAAAAAGTCAGAATTCTGACTTTAATCTCAGAATTCTGACTTTGATCTCAGAATTCTGACATTTTTCTGAGAATTCTGACTGAATTCTTACAGCTAACAAACATGTTAGCATCAAACCGTAGCCATGTCTGTTTTAGAGACTAAACTAGCTCTCATGTTTTAATAACCTTCTGCTCCTCCATTAATGAAATAGCATCACCGCGTACCCCTTAGGCACATAAAAAGTCACCTAATTCCATAATTTTCCACCATTGTGTTACTGTCCCTCCCAAGCAACTCACATCTTTGTCAGTGAAGCTTAGTGCTCCCACATCTCTTCCTTCATGGTGCCCATCTACATTAAGATCTAAAAGTCTGAGAAAAAAGTCAGAATTATGGGAAAAAAGTCAGAATTCTGACTTTTTTTTCTCCATATTAAACTAAAATAAAAATAAAATTTAAAAATCAGTAAACTTTTTTTTTTTCAGTGGCCCTAATCTTCTTCCATACATTTGGGAAATTTCAGACATATTTCATTTAAGTAAAGACTTTCTTATCCCTAATGTTTCACAAAAGCCAAGACTTTTAGAGAGCACAACTAAGGGCTTCCCTTTAAATATTTTATCCCACCTGAGCTGTGGATGCTGCTGCTCTCATCGTCTTTGGTTAATAGTATCTTTACCCAGCCTTTTAGTTTAGTCAATCTAGCAATACTCTTTCCATTTATAGATGGTTGGAATATTTAGGAAATTGAAAGTAAAGGTAAAAAAAAAGCCACAAGTTTTAGATTTTTGTTTGTCGAAACATTTTAAATACCAATAATTGTTCTTTTGTTTATTATTATGTACTGCTTTATGTTGGTCTGTCACATAAAAACTCTAAAAATCTGGAAATACTTTGAACTAGAGATTCTGTTTGGCGTATTGACTGGATTTCCAGCAGCCATACAATAAATTAGTTCACTATTTTTAGGTGGAGTGCTACGACTACGACGACGACGGCTCGCACGATTTGATTGGATCCTTCGAGACGACGATGAAACGACTCCAGGATGCCACTCGAACCTCTCCGGTATGACTTTTAATTTTTAGGAACGTTCTAAATTACCGCTGTGATGGTTAGGAATGCTTTGTAGAACAAGTCTGACTGATGTTATCGAAGCGATAATGAAAGCCTAAACAGGTAGAGTCGGATGTTTCAGGATTCCATCTGATGAATCTCCATCCGCTGCTTCAAAGAAATAATTTCGTTCATTTTTCATTTTCAAGTTTTACAAAATACCACCCCAAGTGTAATATAGAAGCAAACCTTTCCAGCAGCCTCTGTTGCTTTGCTGCTCTTGTGCTAAATTCACTACCGTCATCTCGTTCCACAGGCAGAGTTTGAATGCATCAACAGCAAAAAGAAACAGAAGAAGAAAGGCTACCGTAACTCTGGTATTGTGAGCGTGAAGTTTTGCCAGGTGGGGTACCAGCTTCTTTTTTAATTGCTCTGCTGTATGGAAGCTGGAATTTCAGATGTTTATAAGACGCATTCACTTTTTCCTTGTAGGTTTTGAAGGAGTATACATTCCTGGATTATATAATGGGAGGCTGTCAGATCAACTTCACTGTGAGTTTGAACTCCTTTGCCAAAAATCACATCTTTATTTCTCTGTTGTTCCCTCTCTGACAGAAGTTTGTATTTTTGTAAGTTTGTAAGTTCATCTTTGAGTTATTTCAGGCTGTAAGCATTTTTTAACAGTTCTTTTTCCAAGCTGATTGTTACAAAAACAAAACAACTTCTTAAAAACAAAATTTGGAGATACATTGTTGTAGCTGGATGTTTAACTGCTCATCAAAATGCCAGCATCAGTAGAGTTTAGTTTCTATCATATTTGATCAATTCCTAAAGGGTTTTGAATGTTTAGCTGTGAAATTGAGGTGAAGAATTTGGAATTGCTCCTTAAACAGACCCTCAGCATAATGCTGCCACCACCATGACTGGAAATTGTTTCATTGGAAGACACACCCTGATTCTTACAGATATATATATATATATATATTTATCATGATGGCCCAATAAGGTCACCTTTTTTCCCTCGGCCCATAAAACTTTTTCAGACGAGCTTTGAGGAGATGATCCCAGAGAGAGCAGCTCCTTCTGATGTTTAACTTACTTCACTGTAGGTGACGCTGAGCTGCTAGTTAATTATTGAGCTGGCTGAACCTTGGAGTGGGTTGTTTCTTAACAACTTAACCGAATATTCCTCATCTTAGGTGGAAAGTCTGGGTCAAAGAGGGAAAAAGTGGTTGAAACTGGATGTTTTACCAGCTCAACAATCCCAAAAACTTAAAAACTTTTTTTTTTTTTTTTTTTATGAGTCAAACAGATTAACATTTGCCTTCTGCAGTGCCCCTAACCTCCACCAGGTTAAAAAATGATGGACTGTTCCTTTATTTTAATGTTTATCTATTTATTGTTATTTATAACAAACAAGATAAATAGATAATCATAATAAATGAATAGATACAACTAAATAAAATACAGAAAAATTGAAGGATTGCTCCTTTACTTTTTAATAAAAAAGTAAAGTACTTTTTTAATGAAAAAGCTAGATGAATTGATAGATATAATAAACAACATATATATTTTTTTTACATTTATTTATCAAATTGAATTAAATAGAATAGCTAAATATGTAAATAAATAAAAAAGAAAAAGCCTATAGTTAGTTTTTATTTTTCTGTACCTGAATACAAATATTAAAGACATTAAAATAAATAAAAACATAAAATACAGCTAAAGACTGTTCCATTATTTATATGTATGAAATAAAATAGAAAAATAATTAAATAGATAAAATAGATTTAAAATGAGACTGTACTTAGTTTAAATGAGCTCTACCATTTCTGATAAACCAGATGTTCCAGTTTTGATCCAGAAAGATTTTTTAATGACCTAAAAAAAGTCCAAATTGCAAAGGGACATTCAGCCATGCAGATGTGAGTTAAGTCTCTGTTAAGTTGTTTATTTACAGCTTAAATAAAATAGAAATAAATACGCTATTTAACCCTGACCCTGCCTATAAGCAGACATGAACTCTTTTCATGCCTCCATCTTTTTCCCACAGGTGGCTGTCGACTTCACCGGCTCTAACGGAGATCCTCGATCTCCTCAGTCCCTGCATTACATCAGCCCTCAGGGCGTTAACGAGTACCTCTCTGCCATTTGGTCTGTGGGCAACGTCATTCAGGACTACGATGCGTAAGAACATCTTTCTACATTAAGATTAGTTCCTTTCTTCATTAAAAATAAATATGATTTTCCATCCCTTTAAACCTCAGAGAGAAACAGACAGAAAAATCCATCCAGTTCGATGTGTTGCAGCAGCTTGCAGGTTATCCCAGGTTTTACCAAAGTTTGTCTCCTTTTTTCCAGTGATAAGATGTTTCCTGCATTCGGATTTGGAGCCCAGATTCCACCGTCCTGGCAGGTAAAGCTCACCTTGAAACATGATACGACAAACATGTTGAAAACGTCTGACTCTGTTGTCTTATCAGATAAAAATGTGCTTGTCCACGGACACTTAACGTTGGAAACTGATGATATCCTTTTACAGGTTTCCCACGAGTTTCCGCTCAACTTCAACCCAAGCAATCCGTTTTGTGCAGGTGTGTAACTTACCTTTGAAGCTTAATTTATACAGCAGGCGTTGGGTTTCCTTGTAGTCATGCTGGATGTGGCGTTGTGACGCAGGTGTTCAAGGGGTGGTGGAGGCCTACAGGGCGTGTCTCCCACAGGTCAAACTTTACGGTCCCACCAACTTTTCCCCAATCATCAACCATGTAGCCTGTTTTGCTAAACAAGCCCTTCAACAGACCACCGCATCGGTGAGTAGGCCAAACATTACGTCACACACATATTCCTCGTATGAATCAGTTTACCTTCCAGCATGAGGGTTGACTTTGGTTGTAAAGGTAGCTTTTATATGGCAGGGGTTGACATTAAAGGAATAGTACACCCAAAACATGATTAGCCTTCATTTTCTACTCACCCCCATGCTGAACAACACTCTGGAGTACTTTTTTGATATCTCAAATGCATCTGGAGATCTGGGAGCCTTCTTGCTGTCTGCTGACATTCAAATAATGGAGGTCTATGGTGCCTGAGACAGAAAGGTCCATAAAAGTCCACAAAAAACGTGTCAATATTCCTCCATACTGCTCGTCCAATGTATTCCAAGTGTCCTGAGTGGGTAGCATCCAGAATTTACTCGAAACGAAGTCATTTAGAATGTTTTTAGAGCATAAACAGTAGTGTATAGGATTTCCTAAAAGCGCGTTCACGAGTCTACGGAAACCGCGGCAGACCAAACCAGACGAAAGTGTGCATTCAGCGTCTGCTCTGCCGATAATGCAAGCGTAGCAGAAGAAATGTGCTGTTTACCTGTGCAAAGAAAGAAACAACGAAAGAAAAATGTCTGAGGACTTCAGTGTTGAGGAAGAGCATGAGTTCTTTGCCGAGCTGAATGCGCACTTTCGTCTGGTTTGGTCTGCCGCGGTTTCCACAACAAATGTGTGGGGAGGGTGGGGGGAGATGGGAAGCCTGTGTAATGAATAGAGAAAGGGGGTTATGTTCTCATGTTTCTGCACTCTCATCAGGATCCTAGCTGCAGAGTTTTGAATGTACAGAAGCCTCTGCAGACTCTTTCCCAATGAGAAGTGCGTTGCAATAGTCCAGTCTGCAGGAGACAAAGAGATGAACCAGCTTCTGGGAAGGAGAGAATGAGTTTGGAAATGTTACGGAGGTGGTAGAAAGAGGTCTTGCATAGGTGATTTCTATAGCTCAAGACAAACACACCTTTGTGTCTTCTTCTGATTGTGTTGTCCTTCCATTAACTTCCATTAAGTATCTTAATTCTGGTAGATTGAAGATTGGCCGATACTACCTCTGCAAAAGTCAACAATCAATGCTCTAAAATTTGACTTCGATTTGCGACCGGTTATTTGAGAAGTTTTTATAGTTTCACGGGTGGTGATCAATGTTTTTTAGTAAGATAAGATTGATTTATTAAAGGTGTCTTGTGATCATATAACAACTGACAGTTCTAAAAAATAAATCCTTAATGGTCAAAATTTGGAATCGCCATGTCAGGCTTTTTAAAGATTAGGAATCAGTGGTTGGAGAGAAACCTGCAATCGATGGAACCGTAGTTTTAACCCTTTCTATGGCCTAAATGGCAGATTAGACTTCTGCAACCGCACACATCAAATGTCGCTTTTTATTTAGTTACATTTCAGAAAATCTACAATACATTTAAACTTTTTGTCTAATTCCTGGATGTTAAAGTAGGTCTGGTTCTGCTAGAGGTTTCTTCCTGTTAAAAGGGAGTTTTTCCTCTCCACTGTCGCTACAGGCGTGCTTAATGAGACGGATTGCATTTGAGTCAATGAGTCGATGCAATCAACTGGTTTTCCTTATTTAGAAAACTTTGAATCAATTTGACTGTATGATCTGGTGAACTGTGATAAAATAAAAAAATAAATAAAAAGGACATTTAAGTCTATGATGAATGTTTTCAAACTTGCTTAATTATAACTTCCTATGGAGTAAGGATTTATGAATGGCTTCATCCAAACCAACACAACTTTATCCATTCTGCAGCAATACTTCGTCCTGCTCATCATCACCGACGGAGTCATCACCGACATGGACCAGACGCGCAACGCCATCGTCAACGCCTCCCGCCTGCCCATGTCCATCATCATCGTTGGAGTGGGAGCGGCGGACTTCAAGGCCATGGAGTTCCTGGACGGAGACGATGGCCGTCTACGTTCCCTGTCCGGCGAGGCCGCCATGAGGGATATCGTCCAGTTTGTCCCCTTCAGGAATTTCCAGAACGTGAGTCAGCCATACTCATCACATCTCGCCTCTTCTTTCCATTCCTCTCTGCTTTTCAGTAGATAAAATACGGAAAGGTGTTTGATATGGTTTCAGCTGACGCAACTTGTTTTGTTCCGTTGGAAGAAGCTAACCCATTTCCATAAAAACTGCATGGATTTCACTCGGATCATTGTTGATTGAACTGACCTCTAAATAAGAGCTTTGTCATGGCAGAGCAAAGTCTCCACTCCGCCTTGTTATACCTCAAACTGATGGATGCCATGCCCTTCAGGACAGAGCTCCATTAGTTTCTGTTTACGTTTCTCCATCTGTTTTTCAGGCGCCCAGCCAGGCTCTTGCCCAAAGCGTTTTAGCCGAGTTGCCTCAGCAAGTAACCTCTTTCTTCGCCTTACTCAAACTGAAGCCTCCCCGAGATCCAAGTCCTTCTTAGGGGTACACCTAACTATAATAACTCATTAAGCCCTAATTCTCTGCCTCTATGAATAACCACCTCCCGTGCTTTTCAGACCTGTTATCAATGTTTGTTTCGGCTGATCTGATCGCATCTCTTCATATCAGGCACTAAACTTATGTTTTACATGCTTCTAATTTCGAACTATTATTAATCTTTGTTACCTGCCTTGGAGTACTTCATGAACTTTGCATTTTTTTGATTCAGTTCAACTCATTTCAGTTCATATAGCACCAATTCACAACACGTTGGCTCAAGGCACTTTTTAAAGAATGAATTCAAATCATCCAGAGAAATCGGTTGAAAGTTATTTTATTAAAGTTAATTGGGTGAGTCATTGGCTGCTGGATTTGCTCCTCCTGGATGAACATGTAGTGACAGTAGATATTCGCTTGAATTTTGTCGTTAACTCTACAGCAACCCCTTTTACTGAGCATGCACGCTGCGACATGCAAATCTCCCTTTCAACAGGAAGAAACCCCCGGCAAAACGATGGTACAAAAACAAAAGGAACATAGAAGCACTGATGCATAAATATTTGTATATGTATATGTCAGAAACGGTAACAGTAAAATAGCTCCATAGGTGGGCCTGTCTAGGACAGAAACCGTTGAGCACATGAGCTCTGAGCTATTTTTCATGCCAAAGTGTTAACAGAGCAGAGTTAGTCAGAGTAGAAGTTGAGCCATTAGCTGTCTAGTAGAGAAAAAGTACTAAACACTGAAAAACAGACCCAACCTTATTATCAATTAGCTACTCTGATGAGAAAAAGCAGAGAGAACATAAAGTTAGAAATTGAGCTAACAGATAACACAGAATTGGAGAGTGGAAGCAGAATGAAGCACAATTATGAAAAGTGGTCTCTATGTCCTCCAGCAGTCTAAGCCTATATCAGCATAACTAGGATAACCAGAGCCACTCTTAACTTTTCACATTTTATTATTTCAAAACAAAGGTTGGTAGTTTTATTTATTTATTTTTAGAAAACTTTTATAATTGCAGGGAAAGTAAAAAAAAAAAGGTTAGAAAAGTGTCCCAAGTGTAAAGCGTAGCAAGTATTTAACTTCAGGCCCTATATTCAGTTAACCTGGCAAAACCCAGATTTAAACTGTACCTTGTAGAATTCAAAGTGACATACACAGAGCGATCTGGGAAGGGTCCTACAGAAATTGTTCTCAAAAGGGAATCAGTAAAATTCTTTGAGCTAATTGGATACCTGCATCACATGTCAATTTTCTAACCAATCACAGCAGCAGCTTCATTTGTTTGACAGTTAACATATATCTGATTAACCAAACTCTAACCAAATCTGTTTAGGGGAAATGCGCAAATATCTTTCCATCAACAAAGACAGAAGTCGCTTCCTTTTGCTCGTTCAAAAAGAAATGGAGGGTATTTCCCCTAAAACCGGCGCAGCCATGTTTGTTTTGCTTCCGCCTTCCGCTTCTGTTTGACATCATTTGCATTTTATCGGTCTGAAACATTTCTGTATCAAGGCTAAAGCTTCTGCTGGTTCCTGGCGAGATGCATTCTCTGTAGTTTGAGAATTCACAAATTTTGTGATATTTCATCTTGCTTGCAAGGTAATTGCTATAGCTGTTAATAAAACCCAGTGCAACCATTTGCTTTCAGAACCCATTGGTGTTTAATTAGTGTGTAAAACTGTTCTGCGAATGCCTTTGAGGTTATTTATGTATCAATTTGCATTTAGATTTATTTTTACAGGGAGAGTACAATTAATTGCCATTTGTAGGTTAAAGTATGCAGCGCACATAGGGCTTCTAACCAAAGGATAATCCATAGCCCACGTCCATAGTTATGCTATTAAATATTAGTGACCAAACGGATCTTAAAAACAAAGGATCTCAGTTTATCAGAAAATTTCTCCAAAGAACTCAGCACCTGGAGGCCAGACAAAGAGAGATCCACATCTCAGGTTGGAAATCTATTGATAATGGGCCATATACTCTACAAACCTGTCCTCTATGGAAGAAGGCAAAGTAAAAAATTAAAGAAAGAATTTACAGTTCCTGGTTGTTTGAGCTACTTCCTAGAATTTCTTGGTGGTAAATTGTTTATTACCCCGAAACACCAGCAGCTGTACCTTCAGCAAATAGGTCTTCTACAAAGTACCGACTAAGGACCGAATTTGGATTCGTCCTTCTCCTAGATCTTAGTTTCAACTCTCAAGAACACGTGTCTTTCTTTATCATCTCCATCCACTTTTGATCTGATCAGCCGGAATAAATATGAGCTCAGGATCTGAAAGCGTTCTCACTTGAAACTTCAAACAGGAATTTCCTATCTATGATCACTTTGCTGTTCTTGAACATCTTCATTCAGATATTTAGTGTCTGTTGCAGAAGATGGGGTTTGAAATTGACACCTCATCCCTTCTAATGAGATGTTATAGAATATCAAGAAAATCTTCCTTTCAGCTGCTTTCCTCTGCATGGCCTCCTGCTTGTCTCTCATTCATCTTTGCAGTTTCATTATGTCCTAATGACTCAAGTTACATCATCATGGTGTTTGGTTTTACCTTAAAAAATAAAAATCTCCCCTTTCATTTAGGCTCCTCCTGAGGTCTTGGCAAAGAGCGTGTTGGCTGAAATCCCGGCTCAGCTAGTAGACTTTTTCTCCACCATGAAGCTAAATCCACCAAACCCGACAGGGACCAAGTGATGCCGTAAAGAAACCCGACTGACTCCTCTCTCTCATCTCCTGCAGACCTTTATAAGGTTCCAGCTTCATCTTATCCTAGATTTACACAGAACTTTCCTAAAATCTCCGCCTTCCTTTCTCATCATCTCAAGCCGCAGCATTATCATGTTTTTATGAAGGCAGCTGTTGGTAACATTTGTTTCTGCTCATTTATTTCACAAGTTGAACAAAGAGAACCATCCCATTATTTTGTGCATAACGTTACACTTTTTTTTCAGCTCAGTTAGGGATGTAATCATTGCAACAGAAGCTCAGTTTCAAAGCTGTAGTTATAATAATCCTGTTATGATGCAGGATCTCTGTTTGCTTGTCGATTAACTATATTGCTGCTTTAAAGGAGGTCAGACACTGATGTTTGACAAACAGTCTGGTTCAGAAGCCTCCGCTACTAATTGATGCCAAACGTGCTTTATTAAGTTGAGGACCAGATCCTGTGCAGATGTAGGTACCGGATCTGCTCATGGCCCTGCCCCTTCTTGCGACGTCATCATATGCCAACTCCGCTCTGACAAATGTATTGAACCCGTTTCTTAAGGATCTACCGTAAATTCCGGACTATAAGCCGCTACTTTTTTCTCGCTGTTTGAAAACTGCGGCCTATAATACAGTGCGGCTAATACATGTTTTTTTTTCATGGCGCGAAAAACAGACCAATAAAATTGATGAGTATTCACAGAGGTCCAATGAAAAAGTGCGATACATAATTCTCACTTTCACAGTTATTTACAGTCTTGTAAATCAGTCATTTTCGGAAGGCTTCGGTACGCAGGAGGAAGAAGAAAGTGATTAATGACTTTTCCTGGTCGGCTGCAATGTTAAAAGTATTAAAAGTACCGGTATATGCAGCGTTATTTGCATGTTACCGACACATACGTATATTTAAATGTGTTACAGGTAGTTTGAAAAAAAAAAAGCATTCATAATATGTACCGTATTTATTTTTTTATCATACGGATTAATCAAACGTTAAGAAAAATGCTCACGTGTAATACCTTTATTTGTAAATATGTCATACAACGTGGGAAACCTGCGGCTTAAAATCCGGTGCGGCTTATTAAAGTACAAAATTGATTTTCTTTCTAAAATTAGAGCGTGCGGCTTGTAATCAGGTGCGCTCTATAGTCCGGAATTTACGGTAATCTCTTTTGGAGTTTCAACATATTATTACCTATATTTGCTATTATTTTACATTTCGTCTGCGATCTAAAGAGACTTAGACTTAGACAGTACTTTATTGATCCCTTGGGAAGACTCCCTCCGAAAATTAAGGTTACCAGCAGCTTACAGGGCAAAAAAGTATTACCGGTAAGTTAAATTAAGTTAAAAGGTTAAGTTAAAGTAACTGAACGTAGAAATTAATCATTGTCAGTCTTGAAGGAAAACACTGCCTTCTAAGACAGACTGAGCTCTGCCATTTAACAAGGTGACGCAAAAAGTCGCAGTTTATTCTTTATTTATTCTTTTTATTAAGATCTGAGGGCATGAAGGGCAAATGGAACATCTCAAAAATGACTTTTGTAGAGATTTTAGAGAAAGAAAACAGTTATTCTACTTGTAGAAAACGAATGGTTGCTGTTTATACAAATTCAAAAGTAGTGTAGCTTAATATGGCTAACTGACCGAGCTAAAAGAGGCTAACCTGTTAGCTACTGAACAAAGCTCGCTAAAGCGCTACCCAGCTCTCCCCCTTTATACCACGCTGTCGTAGTTACTTTGTTCACCATAAACAGATTTTTTTTCAGTTGTGTTATCGATCAAGTAAACTTAATCGGTCATTAGACACGCTAACGGACGCTGCATGATGTTATTATTGTTGTCCTGGCAACCACTATGTTTTACATCATGTGGCAATGTTCAGCCAATCATTTCGCGTAACGTTAGCTGCATGCGCAGGGCCCGAGCAGATCTGGTACCTACACCGCCACTTCAGACTCTTCCTCCTCTCCATCTGTGTGGACGTGCCGAACTGCTTCCATGTAGTCGGGAACATGAGAAGGCTTATTTTTTATCCAAATAATAACAAAAAACACCCACTCCATTACCGGTATGCTTCCCACACACGGTTCCTGACTTGTGGATGTTTGTTGCTGTTGATTCTCCTCTTTAGCTTGTTTTGACCCCACTCTGTGAATTTCACTGCAATTGTCCCAATTGATTCTTTGTTGTTAGGAATGCATTTAATCTGGAGGTAATTCATCTAAATTCAAATAAGATTTTAGTCTCAATTTTAAAGTAGCAAAAACTAGAGGGATATCAATTAAACAAGGGCCTATTTTCTTACATTCAGATACCTTCCACAATGAATCTGGTGTAGCGCAGTATTTTTGTCACCATGTGACATTGCAGCCCATTTATGGAAGTATACATCTAGCTCACCACACCATAAATAAAAGTCCACCTAAAAAAAAAAATCTAAATACGTATCAGTGTAAAAACTCAAAATGGTCATTGTTTATTTTAAATGTAGATATATATATTTTTTATGGGACAAAAAAAATGAATGGGAAAACTCCTCATGACTCTCCAGACCTCCTACAGTCTAAGATTTTATACAATAAAATAAATACTTTAAGTAATAGACTTGGGTTTAAAAACAGAAATGATATAATCTATTAACAGAATAGAAAATAAGCCAGTTTTTCAATGCATTTCTTGGATTTACAGAACCTCAGATAAACCACTGTTTAATACATAACATAAATGCATTTTATATGTTTATTTTTACTTTATCCTCCCCATTAACAGTTTCCATCACCCTTCTGGTCCTTTAGCACACTGAAAACCAGTTTAACCAATAACAGATGTTCCTCAGATATTACCAGCTCTCTCATTGGTCATTATGTCAACCAAGTGTGGATGACTAGCCAATGAGAGAGCTGGTTAGAAATCGCAACTGCAAAAAAGGATTCGAAAAAGCAACCTGAAAAAGAAAATTAATTTAAAATAAGGAATTCCATTTTCATATGTTAGAAAAGTTATTTATAATCAGAATTATAAACTTTGGTGTATAAATCTTCATTTAGAAATAGGATTTGGAAATGCATTTTCAAACTGCAATAATGGAATAAGAAAAGCAATTTACAGTTCCTTGTTAATAATTCAATAAAAAAAAAAAAAAATTGGATTTCTAATTGTATGATTTAAATGTTTAATTTGCAATGCTTTGTTTTTATTTTTCAGTGACTATGTCCTCCATTCTGCACTAGTAAACTCCAAAATTGTAAATACAGGTGCTGGTCATAAAATTAGAATATCATGAAAAAGTAGATTGATTTCAGTAATTCCATTTAAAAAGTGAAACTTGTATATTATATTCATACATTACATACAAACTCATATATTTCAGATGTTTATTTTGTTTAATTTTGATGATTACAAATGACAACAAATGAAAATCTCAAATTCATCATATCAGAAAATTAGAATATTGTGAAAAGGTTCAAAATTGATGGCCCCTGGTGCCACACTCTAATCAGCTAATTAACTCAAACCACCTGCAAAAGCCTTTAAATGGTCTTTCAGTCTAGTTCTATAGGCTACACAATCATGGGGAAGACTGCTGACTTGACAGTTGTCCAAAAGACGACCATCGACACCTTGCACAAGGAGGGCAAGACACAAAAGGTCATCGCTAAAGAGGCTGGCTGTTCACAGAGCTCAGTGTCCAAGCACATTAATAGAGAGGCGAAGGGAAGGAAAAGATGTGGTCGAAAAAAGTGTACAAGCAAGAGAGATAACCGCACCCTGGAGAGGATTGTGAAACAAAACCCATTCAAAAATGTGGGGGAGATTCACAAAGAGTGGACTGCAGCTGGAGTGAGTGCTTCAAGAACCACCACACACAGACGTATGAAAGACATGGGTTTCTGCTGTCGTATTCCTTGTGTCAAGCCACTCTTGAACCACAGACAGCGTCAGAAGCGTCTTGCCTAAGCTAAAGAGAAACAGGACTGGACTGCTGGTGAGTGGTCCAAAGTCATGTTCTCTGATGAAAGTAAATTTTGCATTTCCTTTGGAAATCAAGGTCCCAGAGTCTGGAGGAAAAGAAGAGAGGCACTTCATCCACGTTGCTTGAAGTCCAGTGTAAAGTTTCCACAGTCAGTGATGGTTTGGGGTGCCATGTCATCTGCTGGTGTTGGTCCATTGTGTTTTCTGAGGTCCAGGGTCAACGCAGCCACATACCAGGAAGTTTTAGAGCACTTCATGCATCCTGCAGCTGACCAACTTTTTGGAGATGCAGATTTCATTTTCCAACAGGACTTGGCACCTGCACACAGTGCCAAAGCTACCAGTACCTGGTTGAAGGACCATGGTATCCCTGTTCTTAATTAGCCAGCAAACTCTCCTGACCTTAACCCCATAGAAAATCTATGGGGTATTGTGAAGAAGAAGATGCAATACACCAGACCCAACAATTCAGAAGAGCTAAAAGCCACTATTAGAGCAACCTGGGCTATCATAACACCTGAGCAGTGCCACAGACTGATCGACTCCATGCCACGCCGCATTGCTGCAGTAATACAGGCCAAAGGAGGCCCAACTAAATACTGAGTGCTGTACATGCTCATACTTTTCATGTTCATACTTTTCAGTTGGCCAACATTTCTATAAATCCTTTGTTTTTATTGGTCTTCAGTAATATTCTAATTTTCTGATATGATGAATTTGAGATTTTCATTTGTTGTCATTTGTAATCATCAAAATTAAACAAAATAAACATCTGAAATATATGAGTTTGTATGTAATGTATGAATATAATATACAAGTTTCACTTTTTAAATGGAATTACTGAAATCAATCTACTTTTTCATGATATTCTAATTTTATGACCAGCACCTGTATATTAAAAAAAAAGATAATTTTTTCCCCATTGTATTCCTATGCATCTATCATATATTAAATTAACATTGTTTAGGTCTGTTATATATTGGGTTATTATACCACTTTTTAATATTTTGCTTTTTCTCATCCCTAAACTAACAGTATTATAAAAGCCATTACTCTTATAACCAGTTACAGTAGCGATTATGGAAACACATATTTGTAAGAAATGTTTTGTATTTTGTTATTTTTTTATGTTACCTTTGATCATCAGATCTGTTTGATGACTTCGGTTTTAATTCCAACTGTTTTGCACTTAAATGAGTCATGGATGATGTGCTAATAAAACATGTAAAGTTCTGACCAGTGGCTTTTATTACAGGCTGGATTTAGAGATAAGCTGCTGCCCCCTACTGGAGGGAAGGTAGTATGAAAGCCTCTTCAAATAAGGTCATACAGGAAGAAAAACTTTTCACATTTTCTATACACAGAGTTAATTCATAAAGAAATTTCGTTTAGTGCAGCTTTTCAGAGAGTAAATAAACATTTCCATTCCATAAAATGTAGCATGGATCATCTGTCATTTTAATGCCATAAGCCATCTTAATAGAGATGTGGTTGTTGTGCAACATCTAACTTTTTATATATTTTTTTCCAGGTAAAACTTTAAGTAAAAAAGAAATTAGATGCACATTAGAGATTTATTTAGCAATGCGACTTCAGTGCAGTGTAAGTTGCCAGATTAAAAATGTAGAATTGATCCATATAGCTTCATACCTGACAAATATACTTTTTATTTCTGCTGATTTTAGATGCGACTTACTGCTTATTAAAATCCAATGATATTTAAATCACCATTCTATAGTGGAAAGGTTTTAGAATAATAACGGAAGATTGCAGACTCTACATTTGTCCATTATTACTAAACGCTCAATATAAGATCTGCCCAAAGTTTGGATTGTTTTAAATCGCTTATTAAAATTCATTTTAGTGTAAATAAGGTCTGACCACAACCTACCTGTACCATTTGTTTTGTTCCAACTGTCTGTATTCCTTCATAGTTTTATGAAGACTGTACAAGACTTTGGTGCAGCTGCAAGCTATTTGTAAAGTTCTTTATAAATAGAAACAAGGCATAAAAAAGCATAACTACAGAATTTAATTTAAAGGTTGATATTTTAAGTGCTTTGCAACGCACGACTGTTGATCAAGAATTAAACACTGCATCGTACTTAGCTTTTTGGAGGCCGTCTTCTCTGCTTTTTTTTTCATTATTATTTAATATACATTAACTTATTGACCATATTCTAATTTAATTGAGATGCACCTATATATTCTACCCCATGAAACACAAACACTTTAATGGTCAAGTTTTGGATTTGAAAATAAAAGAAATTTTAGGACACCGGCCGTGAGCCGACCGACTACCCAAAACCAAGTATCTCATATTTAAGAAATCGTATTAGTTAAAACACTTGTCAACCATTGCAAACTACAATAAAGTTATCAGATTTTATACAGAGATGCTAGTGACAGTTCTGCTTTGAGGCAGCTCAATGTTTTTGATATAATACAGTTAACTTACAGCAGAATGCTAATATGGTAGAACAGCAGAAAAGAGGGGTTAAATACAGTAGTAGCCAAAAATGGACAGCAATGTTAAACAATTTAAGCAACAGTCAGCTCCTACTGGTAAAATAAATCCACTGGTTATAGGTGTTCATTCATTTTATTAAATTAAATGTACAAAGACATCTTGTTGACTGATATTACTGTTAACTTTGTAGCCCAGGACAGATTTATCTGCACCATTGACCTGTTATCAGGCACTTGAACTTCTTTTATACAAAATAGTCCATTTCTGATGCCTTCCTCCACCTAATGAACGTCAGAGGTTTTGAACTCCGAGTGCAGCTCCTGGGTCAGTGTGCAGAAACTACTTCTATGCTCTCTAGACGGACTGAAATCCTCGACACTAGGAGCCTTTAAAGTCCAGATATCTCCTGTAGCTAAATGCATCCAGGACGTGGAGGTAGGCTACATGCGGTGGATGCTGCTGTGATCCATGAACTGTTTCAGGTTGTGCAGGTTGTCCCACCAATTGAAGAGGAAGGTGTCGGCGATGAGGGCGAACCAAGGAGTCACCTCCAGCTCCTTGCGCTTGGACTTTTCCAGCATCGCTTTCAGCTCCTCTTTACTCACGTAGCAGTGGCTTTTTATCTCGTTGGGATCTGGATTCAGCTCCACGTCCTAAAAAAATGGCAAAAGAAGGTCTTCGATACTTTGCCAGAGAACAAAGGCAACATCAACCTCTTCTAGTCACGTTACAGCAAACAAACCTAAGAATATTTTATGAGTTTTCCATGATGGAGCTCCATGAGACCTCTTTTTCAGATATGCTCTCACATGTATTCGCTTTGTTTGCTCTCATCAACACTGTTGAACACTGTGAAATATTTCTTTTCAAAAAGCATCCAGTGATGTATATATATCATTAAATAAATAAATAATATATATATATATATATATATATATATCATTAAATGAGAAGTAGATGAAACAGAACCATCGATCAAACATATCTTTGCTAAGGTCTTGGTTTCTACGACGACGGCATAAGGGCCATTTAAAGACAAGAAAAAAAGTTGGAATTAAAAGTTTTGAGTTTGGAGTGGCACATTTATGGGAATACAAACACAGATTGAAGACTAAACATACCCAAACTTTAAAATTATAAACATGTAAAATTAGAAGAAAACAAGAAGCAAATGTATGAGAATAAATGAGCAAATTTACAAGAAAAAAACATGAAAATTTATAAGATTCTAAGCATATACACTTAGAAGAAAAATTTAGCAAATTTACAAGAAAAAAACATAAAATTACAAGAAAAACATGCTAATTTACAAGATTATAAACATGCAGATGAATTATTTTTACTTTAAAACTTGCATGAGGAGGCCACTGTACCATCTTATTCCATCGCTAAAATCTCCCAATTAATAATGCATTTGCATCTGCTTTATGTCGCATATTTTATCATGTATTATAATCTTGCATTTTTTCTCAAATTTACGTTTAAATTTTGCAAATTTTCTACCTTTTTCTCTTAAATTATTTTTTTTGCCAATTAATTTTCAACCTTTTCTCATATATATTTTTGTTTTAATTTCATAAGTTTGTGTGTTTATTCTCATAAAAATGCCACTTTAAACTCAAAAATGTAAATACATTTGTCTTTGAATGTCCCTAAAACGCCGTCGTAGTTTTCAACGCATGTGCAGAACAACATTAGATCCAAAGTCCTCATTTAATGGGTGTTGTGGAACAAACTTTAGGTGTTCCGCAACACCGCCACTTGCAGGTAAGGAGTGTAACAGCTTCAGGGTAGAGATTCATACTTGTAACTTTGTGATTCCTTTTTGTAACATTTTAATTTTTTTTTACCACTTAATTTATTAACTGTACTCTTTGTAACTTTTTTCCACAGATAAATACAAATCTTAAAATAATTCACGTTTATTGACTTACATTTACAGACAGCTATGCATATGTTCTTAATGAGTTTTCTCACCCTATAAACATGACTAATTAAAGTTTGTGAATACCAGAGCGCTCAGGTTGAGCGGACCCACCTTCTGCATGAAGAGTATATAATCGATCTCATGTTCTCCCCACACCCCATCGGACTGGGCTTTGTAGTGGATCCGTGTTAAATATGTCATATCCTCTGGTGGCACCTGAGGAACAAGAGGACAGCTGAGGAGATCAGACTTGCAGCAGAGACATGCGGCTCAATCCTCCATAGTCCTTTTCTGGGGAGTGCCGCCAGTCTACCTGCTCCATGGGGATACCCAGTTCAGCCTGCAGTCTTCTCTGGGCAGCTTTCCTCACGCCTAACGCATCCTTCTCCTCCAGCTCGCTGTCTGTGTGCAGAGGGTGGCTGCAGCATGTGTTTGTGAAGCAGCCTGCACAAATACGATGAGAAAGAAAAAGGAAACTGATGCGTAAGATTCACTAATAAGGCGTTCTTTTGAGTAGGATCTTGTGCAGACAGAAGCAGACCTGGGAAAGTGATTTTGGCGTCAGATCTCTGCTGCAGGAGAAGCTTCTCCTCACCGTTGAAGATGAAGACGCTGAAAGCTCTGTGCAGCAAACCTGGACGGATTTAATGCGGCGAGATCAGAGCTGCAGGAGCAGTGGGAACGCATCTGACGGCGGCGCAGGTACCTTTATCGATGTTAGAGTTAAGGTGGCAGTTTTTCTTGGTGTCCGCTCCGATCCGCCGGTCGTTTTCGTCGATCAGGATGCACATCTCAGAGAGCAGCTGGACCTGCTTCTCATCCAGGTGATCCGTGGTGATCTCAGGCATCCTGGCTGCAGTCTGCAGGTGTCTCACCTCACTAATGGGAAAAATGGGACCATATGATATAAAAAACCCAAACCAGGCACCAGCAAAGTCTTCTTGTTGGATTTATTGGCAGTTGGAAACAAATTTAGTAGCATTACCGCCACTTACTGGTATGGAGTGTGGTTCATGATGGACCATCTACTAATAAGCATATAAATGTGTATTCTACAAATCTATATCATACACACATTAATCCTCTCCATAATCAAATTCTATGAAATAATTTAGTTTTCTTTACAAATCGAATAATTATTTGTATACGTTTACTCCCCAAATTCTTCCTCAAAATATCTAATAAATTAATCTTTTCCTAAATACATTCAAACTCTCTCCTCATGTATCTTCTCCCGCTTTCATATTTATGACATTCCAGTTTAAAATGTTCTGTTTCATATTTTCCACAGGAATCACATATCCCAGTAGTTTGCTTTTGAATTTTGAAAATTGTAGAATTAAGTCCTGTTTGCTCAAATCTTAACCCTGTTATAACTCCCTCCTCCTTTCTATTTCATCTTCCATTTCTTCTTTTTCCTACTATCTTCTAAATTTTATAAAACCACCTTCCAATTTTTTCTTCATTCCACCTTTTTTTGCCATTTTTCCATCATTTTTTTCCCTTTTCTTTCCCTCCGGTTTACTTGTTTTGCCATTTTATCTGCCTTCGTTTCCTTCTACTCCAAATATGTGCTGGAACCCACACAAATACAACTATCAAACCCATATTTTTTATTCTGAATAATGCATGAAATATTTCTACTATCTGATTGATTATATTTTAAACTTAATAATGCAGAGTCAATGCAGAGTGAATCATTTTACTGTTTTAATGGTTTTATATCTTCTACCCATTGTAAAGCTAACATCGCCAACATTTCCCCTGTGTATGCTGATAATTAGTGATGTTATGAGATGAGCCGAGGCTTTGAGGCGTGTGTGGAGTACTGGAGGGGGCGTTTTCAGGGAGGAGCCAAGATAGATGAGGTCCGAAGCCTCGCTACCCGCCATACTAAATGACAGCTTCAGGAAGTGATTCAGCTCACCCCAAACTTCGGCAGGCATTTACAAAGCCTCAGTATTCAGACAAGATGTGGGAGTTTGGATATATTCTAAGTATAGATTGATGTTTTTTTTTTTCTCCAACCAATCTAGTTGGTAAAAACTAGTTTGGTTAGATCAAACAATGTAATGATCAAAATCTGAGCAAGCCACTGATCATAGATGTAATGGTTCTAACTGGTATTGCTTTATGTTAATGTGTCACCTACAGTACATAGTGGCATTAGCTGTGAGAGATGGACATCCAATCCATGGGATGTTGGCTCAAGACTCCCCTCAGATGTTTAAAAGTATTATCTTATCTTTAAATAAAAATGACTAACACCTTTCATTTTCTCATCATTTGCACAAACTTTCACGGTCTGCTTAATTAGCTTATTGCCCTAAAATGGCAAAAAAAAAAAACTGTTAACCTAAAAGTTATTGTTCTCTTCTAAGACATTTTACGAAAAAAAAAAACTTTCTAAAGATTTTATCATACAGACCAAACATTAACAATTTCAAATGAATTTATAACAAAAAATAAAGAAAGTTATATTACAAACGGTAGTTCTGCACTCCACCAGTAGGTGGTGACAATCACATGAGGCTTCGTTTTCCTATTTTTATATTGATATCAGCAAAGTCGGTCTGTCCTGCAGGTTTCAGAGGTTTTTCTGCTTTAGCACAGCTGATTCTGATGACTGCAGTTCAGCAAAAGCCTGTTAATCAGCTTTCAATAAAATCAGCTGTGCTGGAGCAGAAAAACCTCTAAAACCTACAGGACGGACTTTGGGGATGTTTGTCCTAAACTTTAAAAGCAAACTGAACCACTCAGACGTATTTGATACAAAACCGTGAATGCTATTTTTTATGAAAGCTTTCACTTTAACAGTTTGACATCAAAGCAATAAAATGTTTTTAAGACAGCAGACCTCAGCCTATACAGACTGATCTGATTGTCTCCATACAGCACATGAACAAAGCTATATATAAAACGAAAAAAAAAGAGTTAATTCCTTTCTACTAAGAAAATAATAATCATCTTTTATAGCAGCTCTGACTTACCTGGATATCAGTCTGTAGCAGCTTGTTACGGAAGGCCTCTGCTTCGGTAAAACCACTCGGCTGCTAGCAGGTGCGTTTGTTTTCAGCACGGCGACTCCCTGCCGGGTTAACCCCCGGAGCACCGCCCACACCGCTGGGGCCATGGCCTGACCAAAACACAAAACCAATCACGAGGAAGAAGCGAGCGACTGATACTAAAACACGGAAAGGAATCACTGGGAATGGATCTGCTGCCCGGGCCAACGCGGCTTTAAAGTAGAGAAAGTGCTACTTTATAGCTTAAAAATCTGATTATTTTTATCTCTCTTACCTAAATCTCATAATATAACATACAAATGGCATATACTGCTTTTAAAAACGAGCTTTTATTTCAATTATTCTCTCTAGGAAGTGACCTTAATTTAAATAGCAGTGAAAAAAAGCTGTAAAATAATCATTTTTGAGCCACTGGTGTTACCTATTTTATCAGTTATAAGTACACGTCTAAGAAGAAAAAGTGATGAACTGATGTCACTCTGATTTATGGAAGCCCAAAGGGTCCATATGGTGAAAAAAAATGAAATTTTCATAAACAAAACATTAATTCAAGCCAATTATGTTGTACCGGGTCCAGCCAAAGCTGACTGTTCTTTGGGTTAAATAACAACTTTACCTTTATTATTATAAAGGTTCTGCTTTCAGACAGATGTATTCAAATACTTAAAGGCCCAACTACCCAGGTTATGTAGCTATAAAACAAAGTATGGGAGTGATGGCCTGGTGGTTATAGCAGTGCTTGTGCTCCGAGAAGGTTGCAAGCTAGATGGGGGCCCAGGGGCTGCATTGGCCACCCCCAGCACCACAACCAGCATTGAGAACACCACATCATGTCCTCTGTATTTTCCCGTTTTTTTTTTTATTTTATTTCATTTGTTTCTCAATTGAGAGAAATGTCAAACTATATGATGACAATTGTTCTGACTTTGATTGGTGAAAAGATCAGCATGCATTCTCATTTGGTAAAAAAAATAAAGTCCACAATTTATTATTGCAAGTCATTTGAGAAAGATTTAGCAAATTTACAAGAAAAAAATAATTAAAATTACTAGAAAAACGTGCAAAGTTACAAGATTATGCTAAGGTCCTGGTTTCTGCCACGACCGCATATAAGTGCCATTTAAAGACGTGAAAAAAGTTGGAATTAAAAGTTTTGAGTTTAGAGTGGCATATTTACGGGAATACAAAGGCAGATCGAAGACTAAAGATATCCAAACTTTAAAATTATAAACATCGACATTTAGAAGAAAACAAGAAGCAAATGTATAAAAATAAATGAGCAAATTTACCAGAAAAAAATGAAAATTTATTAGATTCTAAGGATGCAAATGTACAAGATTGTAAGCATATACATTTAGAAGAAAAATTTGGCAAATTTACAAGAAAAAAAGAAAAGAAAAATGACTAGAAAAACATGCAAATTTACGAGATTATAAACATGCAAATGTATTATTTTTACTTCAAAACTTACATGAGGAGGCCATTGTACCATCTTATTCCATCGCTAAAGTCTCCCAATTAATAATGCATTTGCATCTGCTTTGTCGCATACTTTATCGTGTATTATAATTTTGCATTTTTCCTCAAATGTACGTTTAAATCTTGCAAATTTTCTACTTTTTTCTCTTAAATTATTATTTTTTGCCTATTAATTTTCAACCTTTTCTCTTATATTTGTATGTTTTAATTTAATAAGTTTGTGTGTTTATTCTCATAAAAATGCCACTTTAAACTCAAAAATTAAAAATTTTATTTTTTTTCCATCTTTGAATGGCCCTAAAAAGTTTTCAGTGCATGTGCAGGACAACATTAGATCCAAGGTCCTCATTTAATGGGTGTTGTGGAACAAACTTTGGGTTCAAAATGGTTGAAACATGAATCTCTACTTTCTGTGCATCAATGTTACTAATAAGGTACTTTGTGTTACGATGATAACAACCCGACACTTACAAACCTGGAGGGATCTTATCTTGATAAAGTTACACTGAGAACCTATTCAAGGACTTCTTGGTTATGGATTTAAGGTAGACTGAAACAAAGAATAACTATTGCACCTTTCATTTGCCACTGTGGGCTGATACTGTTATTCCATGCTGGTGTCTCAAGGACAGACATGTGCACAAACAGAACAATTATCTAGAACCTTCAGTACATAAATGTAGCTAAATGATTAAAAATATCTGCTCATCTCAGAATATTTCAGACTATATTCTGTTACAGCAATGTAAAAGTTATCAAACTCAATTATTCAGCTAGTGAACATATTTCATTTAAAGATCGTGTGCATCTTCCTCCCTATGGGGCATAATGATTTCAGGAAACAACATGATTCATGACTGAAAAAAAAATAAAATAAAAATAAAACATGCCCGTATGTTTTAGATGTGGTGTTCCCTTTTTTGCTAAAGCTTACACTCTTTTTTTTATTTTTTTTAAAGGTATAGTGGAGGATTTTTCCAGGTGGATCATCAACATAAGTGGTCCTCCTAACTGTCAATCATTCTGGTTACATGTTTATGTAAGGCTATCCTTTGTGCTCGTCCCCATTTTCACTTACCAGTGGTGAGTCTGATGTAGTGGAAAATTTGTAAGCAAAGTAAGCTTGTGAGCGATGAAAACAGCAACTTTTAAACAGTGTGACGAGAAGAAATGGGCTTATGCATGCTCTCGCACGCGTTCAATAGGTGTTCCCTCTAGGGAGCAGGTACAGGGTTGTGCACCTTTATTTTTAAAGGTGGAGAAGGTGGGTCTTTTCAAAAATTTGATAAAATCCTCCACTATACCTTTAATACATGATCCTATGCTTTTTGTTGAATGAATATGATCTTGGAGATTGGCCTGTTTTTCAAGTGTAGTCCTGTTTCTCTGACCGATGTGCTCTCTTCATCCTCTGACATGGGAGCTGGCTCAGAGCTCGTCTGCCTGGCTGTGTGTTTCCTGCACAGGGCCGCCTTTTACAGCTACTTTTTGTGTCTCTGCTTCTGTCTCCTTGAACCCCAGTCGGCCTCAGCAAATTGCAGCTCACACTGAGCCTGGTTCTGCTGGAGGTTTCTTCCTGTTAAAAGGGAGTTTTTCCTCTCCACTGTCGCTACAAGCATGTTTAGTGTGAGGGATTGCATTCGAGTCAATGAGTCGATGCAATCAACTGGTTTTCCTTAGATAGAAAACTTTGAATCAAATTGACTGTATGATCTGGTTGAACTGTAAAGTGCCTTGAGATGACTTGTGTTGTGAATTGGCGCTATATAAATAAACTGAATTGAACTTGATTTCAATAAAAGATACTGACTGTACATTGTCAAATCAAGGGCTTTCTATTGGTTAAAATACAAGAAACTCCATCAAAGCAGTGGGTTTTAAAAAATGCAGGGATTTTCTGCATTTTAAATTTTGTTCTTTTATACACATCCAGTAACATTTTGTCTTTCTCTTCATAAAGCTCGCATTAAGGTCATACGTCCAAAATAGGCTAGAAATTTTGAAGTGATGCGACATTAAAACTTCACTTTAGTAAAAATTCTGATTTGTTGGTTTGGGAGAACAAGGATAATAGCTAGTCAGGAGACAAATGGAAATCAATTATGCAGTTTTATTCTAACCTTTACTTTTACATTAATTATTTGATGGGAAAATCTTCCCTTGTCGTTGAGTGGTTCATCACTATTTGGCAGTGCACCATTTTTTAACACATAACTAAGTCTGTGTGAACACCTATTCCTTCCACAGGTAACCAAAATAACTTTTATTTGCACTGCTAAGATGTTTTTGAGATCAGAGTTAAAAGCCTACTTTGATGTTGGCCCATTAAAGGAATAGTACACCCAAAACATGATTAGCCTTCATTTTCTACTCACCCCCATGCTGAACAACACTCTGGAGTACTTTTTTGATATCTCAAATGCATCTGGAGATATGGGAGGCTTCTTGCTGTCTGCTGACATTCAAATAATGGAGGTCTATGGCGCCCGAGGCAGAAAGGTCCATAAAAGTCCACAAAAAACGTGTCAATATTCCTCCATACTGCTCGTCCAATGTATTCCAAGTGTCCTGAGTGGGTAGCATCCAGAACTTACTCGAAACTAAGTCATTTAGAATGTTTTTAGAGCATAAACAGTAGTGTATAGGATTTCCTGAAAGCGCGCACCTGCGCGTTCACGACGCTACGGAAGCCGGCAGACCAAACCAGATGAAAGTGCGCATTCAGCGTCTGCTCTGCCAATAATGCAAGCGTAGAAGAAGAAATGTGCTGTTTACCTGTGCAAAGAAAGAAACAATGAAAGAAAAATGTCTGAGGACTTCAGTGTTGAGGAAGAGAATGAGTTCTTTGCGGAGCTGAATGCGCTGGTTTGGTCTGCCAGCTTCCGTAGCTTTGTGAACGCGCATGTGCGCGCTTTCAGGAAATCCTATACACTACTGTTTATGCTCTAAAAACATTCTAAATGACTTTGTTTCGAGTAAATTCTGGATGCTACCCACTCAGGACACTTGGAATACATTGGACGAGCAGTATGGAGGAATATTGACACGTTTTTGTGGACTTTTATGGACCTTTCTGTCTCGGGCACCATAGACCTCCATTATTTGAATGTCAGCAGACAGCAAGAAGCCTCCCAGATCTCCAGATGCATTTGAGATATCAAAAAAGTACTCCAGAGTGTTGTTCAGCATGGGGGTGAGTAGAAAATGAAGGCTAATCATGTTTTGGGTGTACTATTCCTTTAAACCATTGATTCCGAAAACTGGGGTCCCAGATCAACAAGGATGGGCTTCTAAAATCCACTATAGAAGTTAAACTAAACAATAAAAATAGTGAAGTAGGGTGTTTGTGTTTAAATATATTAATCCAACACATCATCAAATAAATTGTTTTATATTTTTATCACCTTGTTACCAATGGTTAATATTTTTCTTTTATTTTTGCATTCGATACAATATTTTGCATCATGAGACTATTCCAGTACCATTTTATGGGTCTGAGACCAAAAGGTTTGAGAACCACTGCTCCAGCTAATCTAATCTGGATTAAGACTGAATGAAGACACTAAAAGAGTCATTGTCTACCATCTACTGCAGGTAAAATGCAGTATGCCCTATCTATGACATATTAAAAAGAACCATCATTAAAAAAAAAAAATGATTCTTTATTGGAACAATGGAGGCAGTGTTTTTATTTGTACTTTTTTGCTGTAATCTGCAAATCTACCCGTAGATGCTACTAAAACCTACATTGTAAACAAACCACTACTTCAATCTTAAAAAAAAAAAAAAATATATATATATATATATATATATATATATATATCCGTGCAGTGACATGCATTAGAGGCTTAAATGATGCTGATCCATTTCACATTTTCCTGTCAACGCAACCTGTACCCACGCCATCAGTCCACTGCACCACCCATGTCACCAGCAACCGAATATAAGAACGCATTGTCCGGGCTCATGTATTCCACGCTAAAAAGCACAGACAAAATGATAACTACTTACTGAGCACATTCTTTACAGTAGCAGAACAGCTACTAACAGGCCCAACGAGCCTGTTTAAATGTACTGGTCTCGCTTATTCCAGACAGGCAACGCACACTCGCGTATTCGCTCCCAGCTTCTGACGTCAGCTTTTGATTCGCTGTGTAAACGGCGGTGCGACCGCTCATTGGTTCAGAGCGCAAACATAAACCACGTGATGCGGAAGCACTTCCTAATATGTTGGGTCGAATTTTATATCTTATATATGACATAAAAGAGAATATAACGTGCCTCTATTGTGCCTTTACTAGGAAAAAAAAAACAATAATTATTGCGCATTTTAAGACCAAATCAGCCGTCCGTCTCGAACTTCCAGTAATGACATTATGTGGCAGCGGCTAAATCTGCCAGCTTGTTCAGGTGTAGCTGTTAGAAGATGCCTCTGAAATTAAGGAAGGAGCACATTTGGTGAGTGGCAGTCTTAATTTTGCATAAAAAACACCTTTAGGGGTCGTTTGATAGATACTTGACAATTTAACGCTTAGGTTAGCCGTACAGCATTGGATAAATCGTATAAAATAAATAGCGCGCATCATACTCCGACTTTTAGCTAATATTCATTTTCGGTCATGTTTAAATGTACTGGTCTCGCTTATTCCAGACACAACACACACTCGCGCATTCGCTCCCAGCTTCTGATGTCACGGCTTTTGATTCGCTGTGCAAACGGCGGCGCGACCGCTCATTGGTTTAGAGGGCAAACGCAAACCACGTGATGCGGAAGCATTTCCCAATATGTTGTCAATTTTTATACCTTATATATGATATAAAAGAGAATATAACGCGCCTCGACTGTGCCTTTACTAAAAATATATATATATGTATAATTGTGCCAATTTAAAATAATTGTTGCGCATTATAAGACCAAACCAGCCGTCACGAACGTCCGGAATTAACGGGTAGTATGTGGCAGCGGCTAATTCTGCTAGCTTGTTCAGGTGTAGCTGTTAGAAGATGCCTCTGAAAATAAGGAAGGAACACATTTGGTGAGTGGCAGTCTTAATTTTACATAAAAAACACCTTTAGGGATCGGGTAATAGATACTTGACATTTTTAACGCATAGGTTGTCCGTACAGCGTTGGATAAATTGTATAAAATAAATAGCGCGCGCCATACTCCCACTTTTAGCTAGTAGTCGTTTTGCTTCTCTGTCAGTTTCCTCTTACAATGACTCTCAATTTTTGACCGTAATGGTTTAGTGAAATGTCAAAGAAAATGTGATAATGTCCTTGAGGCCACGAGATATTGTTCGTTTTGTAAATAAGAGGGTTAAAGTTTCCCGGTGTGACATTGAATTCTGTCCCTCATCATAAGTAAATCTCAATGACTTGGCCATTTTCCCCACCGTTATTTCAAAGCTGCTTTAATTAAATTACAGTATTTGACGGAAGATTAGATTATTGTATAAATGGATGTAAAGGGACGAGAATGAGACTGAAGAAGCTATGGTCTCAAATCTTTTTCTAAAATTTGGTTACAGTAAAAAACAAAACACTTGTCAATATTTATTCAAAGACAAAAGGTGTTTTAATTTTTTAAAACGGTTTTCTTAAATTGCATCTACAGAATTACATTTTGTCATTTGACTAAACCCATTGATTTCTTACTCAGCTGTTTGTTGCATATTTGCTGTTGTGTTGTAATGTTGTACCTCAGTATCAGGAAGTTATTCTGCTTTCAGACAGATGTACTCATAAATACTTAAAGGCACAACTACATAGGTTATGTAGCTATAAAACAAAGTATGGGAGTGATGGCCTGGTGGTTAGTGCAGTGCTTGTGCTCTGAGAAGGTTGCAAGTACAGGGGCGGAGCTAGATGGGGGCCCAGGGGTGGCCTTGGCCACCCTAAGCCAATCACTGGCCACCCCCAACCCCGTAATCAGCATTGAGAACACCAAGGTCACGTCCTCTGTATTTTCCCGTTTAAAAAAAAAAAATTCTTAATTCAGAGAAATGTCAAACTATATGATGACAATTGTTCTGACTTTGATTGGTGTAAGGATCAGCCTGCATTCTCATTTGTTTAAAAAAAAAAGTCCACAATATATTATTGCAAGTCATTTGATTCATTTAGTGGGCCATGCACATGCATGGTGATGATGGCGACAATAATAATAGTAGTAATAATAATTCAATATTAGGGCTGGGCGATATAGAAAAAAAGCTTATCGATAAAAAAAAATGCATATTGATCGATATCGATAATTATTGAAAAGATTTGAAACCATATTTTATGTGCAGCTCTGCCTGGACTTTTTATAACATTGCTAAATGATTTAATTTTAATAAAAAACACAAACACAGACTTCGAATTAAATCTTTATTTAACCAATTTTTTTAACCATAACAGAATTGTTTTAAAGAAAAATAACTTAAGAGACCTGAGTTATGTTATTAAATACTGACAAAGAATAAACTAAAGTGACCAAAATAAATATAACAAATAAATAAATGCCCCCCCACCGCCGCCTCCGCCCCCGTTTCCTGCTTTAACCTGATTTATTACTTTGAAGTTTCTGGCCCCTCAGCATTTTTCTCTCAATTGTTAGAACTACGTGGGAAACTGCCCAGAACTGAAAATATATATATATTTTCCGAAGATTCCTCGGAGGAGAGCCGCGTCGGGGCCTACACAGCTCGTACTCCTGCGGCTGTGAGCGGCTGAGAGAGACGATAATAAAAAGAAAAGAAAAAAAAAGTTGGTTGTGTTATCAGACTTCGTTTTTACTGGTTCCCGACTCATTTTCCAGATGACTGTGGTTTGTTTTTGGTCCGACTTGCCATGACCGAAATACTGCCAGACTGCCGAACTACAAAAACCCTTTTTTGAAACAATTTCCTCCACCTCTCCTTGCTGCATCTTCATGTGCTCTGTGTTGTGGTTTGAGAGGGCGGCGCTTGGTGACGGCATGCCTGGGTTCGCGATTGTGATTGGTTGGGAGGAAGTAGTGACTAGCATAAACCTACATGCTAGGCTACAATGAGAAGGAAGGAAAACTGCGTTTCTTTTTTATCGAACTTTTATCGACCCTCTTTTTTTCTATTGCGCCACACGTCTATCGATCGATATATATCGTTATTGAATTATCGCCCAGCCCTATTCAATATTAATAATAACAAAAACAACAATAATATAGTATAATGATGATAATGATAATAATCATAATAACACTCACTCAAATACTCTACTTTTGTGAGTTTTGGAATTTTTATAATCTATTTAACACTCTTTATTCACTATTCCAATAATGTATTTTAAAAAGTCACCATATTAGGATTTTTTTTTGTCAAGTAAGATTTATCGCAATATTTGACCTTGGTATTTCAAAAATTCTGGTTACGTCCCTGGCCACCCCTAGCCTGACGTAGTCCGACTCAATTCTAGTCAGAATATGAGTCTGATACTGCTCCATAGAGCTGTGATTATGGGGCGTGTTTCGAACGAACCAGGAAAAAAAATGCCTCTGCACTCAATTGGACAGACCTACAACCAATAAGAGCAACGGAGTGCGTGACGTATGTTAAGCGAGGCATAGTTGTTGTCAACAAAAATCAAAGCGTGCAGTTGCACGCCTAGAATAAGAAGATGAGACTTGATCGCGTTTCTCTGTTCCTCTTTTAAAATTAATTTGCTGTCGATATCTTCTAGAACAGACCTAATAGCAGAATCTACTCACCCAAACTCTCCAGCGGCAGCCATTATTGTTGTCACCCAAGCGCGCTTTGGTCACGTGGTTGATTACGTTACTGTTGATCATCTGTTCATCATCGTATAAAGCCCGCCCTGACAATTTGATTGGATCGCCTGACAGTGGGCGATAATACTCGCGCTACTATGGAGCAGAGCCAGACCGAACTTCCCCGAACTCAAACCTTGTGGGCGGGGCTAAGTTCTGACTGGCACCCAGGCTAGGCCACCCCTACCACTTTTTCATATATTAACATTTACTTGCCACTAAAGACAGTGTGGTTAATTATGTACATAAATATACTGATTATTGATCAAAAACAAGTAATGACAATGGAAAAGATGTTTGCCCCAGAAATTAAACCTGAAAGAATTGTATCCACTATATATACAGGTGCTGGTCATAAAATTAGAATATCATGAAAAAGTAGATTGATTTCAGTAATTCCATTTAAAAAGTGAAACTTGTATATTATATTCATACATTACATACAAACTCATATATTTCAGATGTTTATTTTGTTTAATTTTGATGATTACAAATGACAACAAATGAAAACCTCAAATTCATCATATCAGAAAATTAGAATATTGTGAAAAGGTTCAAAATTGATGGCCCCTGGTGCCACACTCTAATCAGCTAATTAACTCAAACCACCTGCAAAAGCCTTTAAATGGTCTTTCAGTCTAGTTCTATAGGCTACACAATCATGGGGAAGACTGATGACTTGACAGTTGTCCAAAAGACGACCATCGACACCTTGCACAAGGAGGGCAAGACACAAAAGGTCATCGCTAAAGAGGCTGGCTGTTCACAGAGCTCAGTGTCCAAGCACATTAATAGAGAGGCGAAGGGAAGGAAAAGATGTGGTCGAAAAAAGTGTACAAGCAAGAGAGATAACCGCACCCTGGAGAGGATTGTGAAACAAAACCCATTCAAAAATGTGGGGGAGATTCACAAAGAGTGGACTGCAGCTGGAGTGAGTGCTTCAAGAACCACCACACACAGACGTATGAAAGACATGGGTTTCTGCTGTCGCATTCCTTGTGTCAAGCCACTCTTGAACCACAGACAGCGTCAGAAGCGTCTTGGCTGGGCTAAAGAGAAACAGGACTGGACTGCTGGTGAGTGGTCCAAAGTCATGTTCTCTGATGAAAGTAAATTTTGCATTTCCTTTGGAAATCAAGGTCCCAGAGTCTGGAGGAAAAGAAGAGAGGCACTTCATCCACGTTGCTTGAAGTCCAGTGTAAAGTTTCCACAGTCAGTGATGGTTTGGGGTGCCATGTCATCTGCTGGTGTTGGTCCATTGTGTTTTCTGAGGTCCAGGGTCAACGCAGCCACATACCAGGAAGTTTTAGAGCACTTCATGCTTCCTGCAGCTGACCAACTTTTTGGAGATGCAGATTTCATTTTCCAACAGGACTTGGCACCTGCACACAGTGCCAAAGCTACCAGTACCTGGTTGAAGGACCATGGTATCCCTGTTCTTAATTGGCCAGCAAACTCTCCTGACCTTAACCCCATAGAAAATCTATGGGGTATTGTGAAGAAGAAGATGCAATACACCAGACCCAACAATTCAGAAGAGCTAAAAGCCACTATTAGAGCAACCTGGGCTATCATAACACCTGAGCAGTGCCACAGACTGATCGACTCCATGCCACGCCGCATTGCTGCAGTAATACAGGCCAAAGGAGGCCCAACTAAATACTGAGTGCTGTACATGCTCATACTTTTCATGTTCATACTTTTCAGTTGGCCAACATTTCTATAAATCCTTTGTTTTTATTGGTCTTCAGTAATATTCTAATTTTCTGATATGATGAATTTGAGATTTTCATTTGTTGTCATTTGTAATCATCAAAATTAAACAAAATAAACATCTGAAATATATGAGTTTGTATGTAATGTATGAATATAATATACAAGTTTCACTTTTTAAATGGAATTACTGAAATCAATCTACTTTTTCATGATATTCTAATTTTATGACCAGCACCTGTATGTATATATATATATATATATATATATATATATTTATATATATATATATATATATATATGTATGTGTCTATTAGTTAGCAAAGGCTGTAGGAAAGGATAGTTTGTCTTCATTTAGAATATATGGATGTTGGATGTTGTGCTCATAAACTTTCCTGTTGGAACAGTGTAGCTTCACACTGAGGGTCTGTAGCCTATCCACTTCCAGCCACCCTTCAACGTACATTTGTTATTGCCTGGCCACCCTTATAAAATTTTTCTTGCTACGCCTCTGTGCAAGTACCTGGCTTGATCCCCACAGCCTCCACTCTGGGTTCCTGAGCTAAACCCTTAACCCCACACTGCTCTCAGGGTGCTGCACAATGGCAGCCCACTGCTCCCCAAGGGGATGGGTCAAATGCAGAGATTGGATTTCCCCATTGTGGGGAAATAAAGGGATTTACATACAAGAAAAGTCCACATTATAATCCCTCTACTACTTCACTTCATAGGGCAAGTTACCATTTCTGATTACTTGCACATTCCTTACAAATAGAGTCCCCTACATCCCTCAGTTCTTTCTAGAAGCACAAGATCTATAACTAGGGATGCACGATATAATCGGCCCCCTATCGGTATCGGCCTGTATCGGCCTTAAAACTGAATATCGGACATCGGCCCCCCCACCGATATTTAACCCGATATTTGATCAGCTTCTGAGTTTCTAAAGTCTAAAAAAAAAATAAAAAATACTACTTCCTCTTCTTCCTCAAAAACTTCTTTTTTACAGACTTAAAAACTTCTAAAGACGAGGAAAAAATATTGATACATTAAAATATCACAATATCTTCATATGCTGATATATTGCCATTTAAAAACACCATATCAATCTCTTTTACTAATGAAATATTGCTATATGTCATCGTTATGCTACAAAATCCCCCGAAAATTCACAAAATTTTGCCATATTTTTATATGTTGATATATTGACGCGGTATCGATCTATTTTACTAACAAAATCTCACAAGAATTTGCAAAATACCACGAGAGTTTGTAACAGAACGATGAAATTTCAAGAGATTTTGAAAGTAAAATAGATCGATACCGTGTTTTTAAAAAATCAGTTGGATATCAGCATATGAAAATATATTTGAGTATATTATTTTTCAAAGTGTCAGAAATGGATAACAAAACTGCTATTTTCAATGACTACTTATTTTTGTCCAGCTTTAACATCGGTATCGATATCGGTTATCGGCTACATGAGTTTTAAAATATCGGCATATAGGATATCAGCCAAAATCCCAATATCGTGCATCCCTATCTATAACCAGCCATTCAGCAAAGATACAGCTACATGGCTGTACATCTTATTTTGGCATTTGACCAATTAGATGAGCATTGAATGATATATTACCTACTGCAAATTAAGTTGAATTAAAAAACAAAGTTTAAAAAGGTAAAAAGTTCATTAAAAAGTCAAGGAAAAAGGGTAAAAAGCTAATAAAAAAATTAAAAAGCTAACTGAAAGGTTAAAAGTAAAGTTAAAAAGCTAATAAGCCTAGTTAACAAATATATTTAGGTTTATAAACTAAAAAAAATTAAGCGCCATTATCAGCTTTAATGCCTCTAAGGTTATATTGTACCAAAAAAATTGATTTCTTTCACTCTCAGACTGTTTTTCACAAATTTCTTGTAGAATCACTTATTTTTTATTTTTCGTAATACATTCGGCCAAGTTGGCGTTTCTTGTTATTACATTGACATTCATATTTGCCGTCAAAATGTTTCAAAGGTAATAAGGTCTTGTCCTTGATTCCATTAACACTATTGGCTTGAAATGAGGATTTTCAAAGGATTTCAATGAGTGCCCTTTAAAGAGTTAATCGTTTTTTTGCAGAAAAGTTGTTCTTTTGTTATTGTTTTTTTTTTTTTTTTTTCGCACCTCTGATGCGTGGGAAAATGATGAATGAGTAATTCCTCATCAGCTGCAAACAAGCATTTTACTTCCTTTTTGTTATCTGCAGGTAGGTGTTGACAGCTGACAAACCCGACCTGCCAACCGGCGAGGGTGGCTTTTATTTACCTGCTGCTCAGGTAGTTTTTAAGCCGGAAAAAAGGGTGGGGGCGGAGTCAAGGCCTCACACAGGGGATAGGAGAGATGCCTTTGGAGGGCGGAAGCAGCAGTGGCTCAGCTTCAGCCGCACGTCACCCCAAGCAGAAGCGTAAGGCACACAGTTTGTCCATCCGGCGCACCAACAGCACAGAGGAGAGGCCACCTGGCATCCTGAGAGGAGAAATGCTGGAGGGACAGGTAAGAAAAAAAAAAAATCATTAAACATTTAATCATTATTCATCTGAAATATATCTATCAGAAAGTAGAGAGGCTGATCTTTTTTTTTTTTTTTTGTTAAGATAAGAGCGATTGTAATGGCATGCAGCAGTTGTCAGTCCTGACCCTGCAGCACCGGCCTGTTTAACAGCATTTTTTAAAAGTTTTTCTCGTAGATAGTTTTTTTCCCCCTTGGAAAAGGAAAAGGTTTTGACTGATACCTCTCGCAAGCAGGATCTCTTTGGGCGGTGGCAGAAAGTTTGCCGTTGTTGGTGTTGACGCCTCGGTTACTGATTCAAAGGCATCGACTGTAACATTTTAAGTCCAGCTGTGCCATAAAGTTGGTGATTAACCGACTCCAAACCAGAGTATTTGAATGAAGTCTACAGTTGATTTATCTTTCCCAGAAATGGAGGATGGACAGTTTTTTTGTTCATTTTGTTAAAAACAGGAGCCTCATCCTTATGCAGGCAATAAAAAGGAGTTTCTGTTTGATCAATGACACTGTCGTCAGTTGCTTTTGGGAGTTGGCTGCAGGTCGATAGGGCCGTCTCCCAGATAATCATGTTTATTTAAACAGGTGAAATCAGTATCAGCGGAAATAGTCCTGTAGCCTTCCCTTTCTCCTTTAAAGTTTCAGCTTGGCTCGCTTCCCTCTGTGTTACCTCATCAAGTTTTAATATGGGCTGCTTGTCCAGGTCTGATTAGTCTTTTCAGCGGTCCTTTCTACCCTGCCAGTGTTTGTGTACCTACGCTAACCTTCAGGCAGCATGCACAGACAGCTTTATGAGCCCATATGCAACACAGAGCGCATTTTATTCTGCTGGCATTATAGACCAAAGTGTGCTGCAGGTTTAACAGACTAAAAGTAAGCAGCTTTGACTTCATCAGAGCGGCTTATTATTTCCTAATAGTTCTTTCTCCCCCTGTCAAAACATCGAGACATGTGGCGCTAACGTCATTGGGACTGACTTGGGCTTTTGATAGGCAAACATTTCATGCACCCTTTCTGTCTTTTTATGGGAGTTTTTAACATCTCTGTGGTTATAACCAAGCAGCCGTAGGAGGGCGACATGGAGGTAAGACGTTTGGATGTGGTTCTGCTGTTTTTCTGTTCAGGTTTTTGATGAAACGGAAAGTCAAAAGATTTTATGCGATCGACAAGGAAGGGAAGGAAAACATTTGCTTTTTTTTTTTTGGGCCCACTGAGTGAAAACTAAACAGAAATCAGGGTTTCCAGGGGTCATAAAAAAAAATCTAAGTCATTAAATTATTATTTTTTTGAATTAAGGCCTTAATGAGCATTAAAAATCATTAAATGTGATTATCCTGGCATTTAAAATGCTTAATAAAAAAAAAGATATTTATAAAATCATTTAGTCAGACATATTAAATAGCAATATATTTGCGTGGAATTGCTTTCAGTTGATCATAAAGCTGTATGCTTGGAAAAGAAGCTTGGGGCGAAGAAAAAGCTAGAGAATGGGAAAATGCGCATATTCCAACAAATGTGGCTGGACAACGAGGAATGTGGGACTGTCGACGGTAAAGATGATGAAGGATCTTTCTGTGAGGGTGGGGCCCGACCGACCCTAGTCTGGGACCCAGCTCTCCCACCAAAGGCCTCTCTGGCCTCGAGGAGGATCTCTGGAGACGGTGCTGGACGACGCTTTGCGGTATTGGACGTACGCCGCCAAGTGGACGGTGACCCACGGCAATGGGCCCAACACTCTGAACCAAAACCCCAGCACGGTCTCGGTCAGCCTTTGCACGCCCTCCGTGCGCCACTGGGTTCCCTAACTCTTGCTGTGTTTTATATATATATATATATATATATATATGGAAATCCCACCCACCAGCAGTTGTACAGTGCTTCAAATGTTCTGCATGTTTTATTGCAAATTCACTCAAACTGAGTGAGCACGGATCTATAGTCTGTTTTCAAGCTGTGTGAAATTTGTCAGTTCAAAGTAGATCTGGACTTTGACTAGGCCACTCTAATAAATACATGAATGATCTTTGATCCAAACCTTTCTGCTCTTGCTCTGGCTGTTCAGGCTTTAAGGGTCATGACCTGCCGAAAGTTGAGTCTCCACCTAGTTTCAGTGTTTTGCTCCTGCAAACAGGTTGTGTTCTAGGATTTTCTTTGGTTATGTAGTAAACAGACATAGTAATTATTACCTTACATTTATTGAGGTCTTAAATGTGTTTCCAGGACTCCAAGCTGCCTCTTGCTGTGCGGAACAACCTCCTTGACCTGTTTGGCCAGATCGAACGGGAGTTTGAGAATCTGTACCTGGAGAACCTTGAATGTGAGTTTGCCTTCCTCCATCAGGCTCCAGTTGCTGATTTACCTTCCGGCGAGGTTCATTCAATCATTAATGCCATGTCAACCTTGCAGTGCGCCGGGAAATTGACTCCCTCAACGATCGGCTGACTGGAGATGGGCAGGCGATCGAGGGGGGAGACCCCACCAAGGGAGCCCTAAAAGCAAAAGGTGTAACGTTTTATTGTTTTTTTCTAGTAAATATGACCTTCCTGCTCCTCACGACTTTATTAGATAAGCTATTTAGTGGATGGTTATCAGGGGTCTCTTTGATTATTTAAAGCAGCTCTTAAAAATGGAGAATCAGCCCCCCCCCCCCAGCAGCTCTACTGGAGCCACAACGTTTTTGGTTCTGTTAGACATGTTTGAACCAAGATGAAAATACAAAGCTGCTGTAAAGTATCGTATAAAAGAGTGTTATAAAAAGGTTAAATAAAAGCTCCACCCCAGACAACATTTACAGTGTTTTTAAGAAGATGGCCCATAAAACAAATATGCTTCTACTGCAGCATATCTTCACCATTTATTCTTTTTATAAACTCAAAACTAAAATGGTAAACTGGATTATTAAATGATTTCAATATTGGGCAAATATTACAGACTCTAACATTTTATTTCTGTCTAATACAATCTCACAGTTCTATGCATCAAGTTTAGCTTTTAAGAGTTTGCCATATACAAATCCATTTAAAAAATATATACTGAATTTATATAAGGTACCTCTTTTTAAATTATTAGGAAAAATTAATGGTTAGATTAATGGGTTACTGAAACAATCGATCGCTTCAGCCCTAATACAACCAGTGATTCCTGACTGCACTTAAAACCAACATTATTGACAGTTTTTCAAAGCTTTCTTAAAACTTTCTGTCCATTTCTTATACCAGACTATTTGTTATCCATCACTTCCTTATTTTACACAGTAGAACTGCTAAAAAAGTTTTTTTTTTTAAATCATCATTCTTAAGCCAGGGGAGTGCTATGAAGATGACCCAGTGCATTAGAGATTACTGTAAGGTTCCTTCAGATTAGGGTTGATTACACTTCTTTAAGGGACAAGGCAGTGGCGGCTGGTTTTGTCCAGGGTGGGCTATAAATTCAAAATAGACGTATACCAGAAACCAATAAACACCAGTATATTTATATGAATGCCAACAAAACACATGAGAACACTAAAAAGAAAGCATAATTTCATGAGCAGGTTTATTTTTGTACATAAATTTTGCCTATCTGAGGCTTTGTAAAGGCAAATCTGTGTTTTGCATGGTCTTATATTGTGTCACAAACCTTAAAAACAAACAAACAATGTACCTGTTTAATAATGGAGAAGCTATTGGTCAGGTTTATACTTTTTTAATATATAAAAACTATTTTCTGAGAATGTTTTAATCTAAGAAACTATGCAAATTAACAAACATCAAGAAAAAGTACAGTATATTATATATTATTTTCCATGTGAACCATAGATTGTTCATGCTTCTTTGCCTTTTCTAAAAAGTGCTTTAAATCAGTCCTACCTGTCTCTCCTGTACCTTTGTATTGCAGAGAAGCTGCTGCGCGTGTACAACTTTTAACGAGAGTCATTGGGCAAAATGGAGTGACGCTTTGCTAGCCATAAAAGATTAAATATTTATCTTGCACATAAAAAAAAGATAGATAGATAGATGATAGATTGATTTTAAAATATTTTACATTTTAATTTAGGTCATTGGTTGTGGCCAGCCGCCAGTGGGACAAGGGACTAATAATCTTAACAGCGCTCACACACAAAAGGGGTGTAGATGGTTAGCAAAGCTGCAAAAAGAACAAGGTAAAAGTGCAGAAAATGTGATGTAACGATAGAATAAAGGTAACCAATGTACAATAAATAATGGAGGGGATTCAGCAGAAGTGACAGTGCTTGCAGCTATTTGCAAATAAAGAAGTTCTTGTAACTTATACAGTAGTATTGATGGCACCACAACATTAGGATGGTGCTAAAAAAAAGCGAGATTTTTAAAGTGAATGACCAACAACCATCATGGCTCATTTGGATTTCATTTTTAAATCCCATTAATATTATGTTTTGTTTTCTTTTTAGGTAATCTTAAATTCACATTAAAAGGAAAATGAAGTCTTTTTGATTTGATGTGAAAATATGTTTCCAATATAACTTTAAAAAAGTATTGCTTTATTTTATGCTTTTATGCTTTATTTTATTTGCACAAATCTCTTAAATCTATTTAGTGCATTGGAAGAAATAAAAATCTAGATAAGTAAATTTTTCTTAACATAAGTGCATTCGTTCTTGAATTGAGGAGTTAAAATATACATTTTACCAATGGAATGAGACAATTTATATTTAAAATAATAAAAAGCAATTGCATTGTCTTATTTCAAGTGCATTTTATCTAAATATCTTATTTTAAGAGTAAAGATACTCATTCCATAGGCAAACTATCTAATTTACCTACTCAAATTAAGGGTAAATACACTTGAATTAAGAAATTTTTACTTATTTTTAGATCTTTTTCCAGTGTGATGACACCCAGGGAGCCCGGCATCCAGGCTGTGTTTCTCGTTTTCCCTCTGCAGCAGATAAACGGAGCAAACAGCTCGTCGCTCAGCAGCGGGGCATTTTTATTCATTGTTTTCTTTCTGTGTCTCACAGCCAGCCACAGCACCAGTCAGCTGTCACAGAAGCTGAAGACGACCTACAAAGCCTCCACCAGCAAGGTACCGGCACCACCCGTGTTAGGCTGCTCGCTGGAGCACAGCACATCTCTCATGTGTGTCAATATTTGAGCGGCTGGGATTCAGCCTCTCTGGGGGGCAGAGAGGGGTGGGGGAGGGAGAGGCTGTTTCATTTCCTTAAAGGTCAGAATCTGCTGAGAATCGGACGTAAACTGAGACATATTTCCCATGCATGCTTGATGTATATTTTGTTCATCATGACATCTTCACTCATACGACATTTTCCTTTGAATCCTTCTACCGAGGCAGCGCTTGTACACTTTCCAGGACAAATTAGGCGGAGCTCGCAACTTCAGCGTGCCCACGTGGGAGTTGTGGAGCGGAGATTCATGGGTAACGTCCTGAATTCTCTGTTTGTCCGTTTGGGCACGCAGTTGTTGGCTGAGTGGCATCTTAACCACAGTCTCACCTTGACTCCTCACCTCTTCTCAGTTCTTCGTCCTGTCAGAAAAAAGACGTACAACCAAAACCTTACCCAAACCACCTTCCTATTTTCTCAAAGACAGTTTAATTAATAACAAAACAATAAATGTAATTCAGTTGTGCACAAAATGATTATATATGTGCTCTTCTATTTCAGAAAATCCTTCAAAATTAGCAGCAAATTCTGGGAAAATTGTTTCTTTAGATCAGGATGGAATAAAGATTATATATTTTTTTCCCCAATGTTAGCTAGCCTAGCCTCTAAACTCGGTCATAATCTTTCCAGAGGGTGTTTTTGTACCAGATCTTTCCTGCAGCAGAGCTTTATCATCTAGAAGTTTCCTGATTGGTTGCTTTGCAGCATCTGCAGAAAGTTTCGACAGAAACATTTACACACTAATTTTTAATTGACTTAGGCTTTTTTTTTTTTTTTTACAGAGGAAATAAATTTTGTCGAAATACATTTAACGCCGATGCGACACAGCCGAAATTTGTGATGTTGCGACAAATGCCGCAACTAGCATACGGAAACAGGAGGAGAGCCAGGATGTCTCCGATTAGGACTTATTTCCCCCTCAGATGTCGATTTGAAAAACGGCATCGAATTTAATTTCCAACCTGAAATCCAAGCATCCCCATCAGCATTCTGACCATTAGAAGAATATGACATAAAAGAAAACTGACACCCATCATACTCGCTCTGTCTGTGGCAGAGGTGTTTGAAAAGGCAAGCAAGTTTCCAAGTGATTCGCTCAAGGCAAAGGGCAAAACACAAACATGTCAGTGGTAAAGACATTTTTTTTTGTAATTTAATGAGGTCAGTTTAGGTGGAAAGCTCTGCGTTTACACCTTTAATCTTTATTTCCTGAGAAGAGATCACTCGAAACAAACACTTTGAATAACACTTCATAATGTATATGTATAAACTTGGCATACACTGTACGATTGTTTTCCCTTTGCAGCACAATTTTCCAGTCGTGCAAGAATTTTCAATCAGGCTGACTTTCCGTTTGATCGTGCATTGTAGTTGTGTAGTGTACAGGGGGTAACGAGGGGCGATTGGCCTCTGGAGACCACCTGCCGATCAGGAATCATAAGGTCGGGAGAAAATCAAACATCGGATGTTGTCGGCAAGTCGCTCAGTGGGCAAACACGGATTTTTCTTCTTCTTCCTCTCAGACAAAAACACAGAAGCATGGCGGAGATGCGAGTGAAATGGAGTGCTTTCTGTAAAATTGACAGACCGTAGTAGCCACGTTTGCTCAGCCACGTCTTTGTCCAAATACGTCGCCCTTCGTTTTTAGGGCTTTCAGCACAAAATTTCATAAATTGCCAAGACAGCGCTGTTCACTCTAGTGAGCTTCATATTCCTCTTCTGCTCATTTGGCTTCTGGATAGACGAGTACAAGTAGCTCCATCTCACTGTGGAGCTGAGTCTTCCTGGTTTTTAGTGTGAGCAGGTGGATCGCATCAGAGCGTCGTGCTGCAGCTTGAGAACATACATCGTGACCTGTGAACTTTTAAACCCTGCTGTTTGGTTGTACGGTGTGAGCTGTAGCTGCGTGCAACGATTGAAAAAAACCATACAGTGTATGCTCGGCTTTAAGTAACCATGAGACAGCAGATTTTACAGAAATTGTAACCTTCCTCTGACCGTAGAAAAGGCTGAAGTTACAGATTACCACCGGGCTCGCTTCTTCAGAAAATCAGCCCAGAATAGCAGTTAAAGAAGCATTTTCTACACAGAGCCACACGTTTGTAAAATGAGGAGACATCGCTGGCCCCGGCCATATTAAAATAACACAGTGTTCTAGATCAATGCCACTCTGAATGCACAGTGATATCATATCAAGTATCATCCACCCGGTCCGTATATTCCCATTTCATTTCCAAATCGTGTCCTAATTAGATAAACGGCTTGAGAAAACATGAGCCTAAAGATGTAACAGGCAGGTATTAGTAAGCTTTAGGAAGCACATACATGAATCATAAAAATAATCCCAACATTCTTATATTTGACATTATCATTTCTGGGAGGGCCCCGATCCCATATTAATATTAATATTAATCTGATATCAGACAAAAAACTAGTATTGAATTTTTATCTGGCTGCATTTGAAATCTCAGATATAAAGCTGATATAAAAACTCTTTCTATTTATAGCTTCTGAAACCTATTGGTCAATATTACACAATATTCTCGGACACTATTATTCTCTGTTTTAGCAATACCACTTGATAAAGCCTTAATTGCCATAATTATGCAGTACAAAATAAGTAATAAAAGCCTGTATGGATCGTAGTGATGTCATATCAGGTCAGTATCTGTGTCGGTCTGTTCTCAAAGCTGCAATATTAGGACACCCCCAAATAGTTTCTGTTGTTTTTGAACCTTGTGTTCCTCATTTATTGTTTTTGGTTTCAGTCAAGAATATTTAGGTGCAGATCTTGTCATTATGGATGCTTTTTATTCCATGGTTAGAAATAATGGTTTGATGTAGAACCTCTGATGAAAACTGGAGGTTCTAATCCTGTATGCTTAAGTTAAGTTAAATACAACTGGACTTCTTGCCTTTTTTTCTCACCCCAATCCTTCAGCTCTGATATGAATTTGGGAGCTAAAGGATTATACATTTTTCAGCTATAACTCCATTTATCACTCTAGAGCAGATCTGCACCCAAATGGACTTTTCTCTCCGCCTCATATTTTAAATGTAGGAAACCTCTTCATCAGAGCTTCGTATTAGAATCTGTCCTCTCATGTTTGAGTGTCACAATGGACCATTTCAGTGTCGCACTGTTTACCAGTTTACCATAAACTCTCCTTATTCTCCCTATTTGTTTCTGTTTTAACATCAAGATAATCACGTTTTGATGTTATTCAAACAGATTCAAAGATTTTTACCCACTCTACCCATTGGAATATAAACCGTCAGTTGAAAGCAGCCTACAGTTCTTAGTTGATCAGGTTTCTGGCAGACAGAGAGGAAGGACCCAAAAAAGCCCTCTGAACTGGTGGACACCTTAAATGGACTTATTTCAGAAATGCACAAAAGGAAGGAAGAGGTAAAAGAGGAATCAGCTAAAGATGGTTGGGGTTCCGTCTTTGGCTGCGGTATCTAAGAACCTGTGCAGGATGTCCTCCAGCATTACGTTCTGCTGCTTTTTAAAGAGAGACTGATTCACATCCAATAATGGCAGACCCAAACTTTGTATTGGCTGATATTATACATTTCTCAGCCAATTGCTTTCGTCAGGGAAAAGGGGGAGTGAATGCAGCCATCTTTAACATCTATAATGCAGTTATGACTCATTTTTTGAGACTGATTCAGAACTATTTACAGCCTAACGTCTTTAATACGCCTCTGATGTGGAAGAAAACCTCATGATTCTCTCAACCAATGGTCAGAACTGAAGAAGCCTAAAATAGCCAGTGTTATTGTTGGGATAAGTCTGGTAAAAAACCACCCGCAGGTTTCGTTTCATACAGGTTGAACCAATAAAAACTAAAAGTAGTAGATACCTTTCATATTTGTGTCTCAGCTCTTCTGATTAGACCAAAAGGTTTTTATAACTCCTGGTGAGGACCATAATGTGGAGAGCAGTCTTTTTATTTTTATTTATATATATATATATATGTTGAAAAGATTGAGTTTTTAATGTTGGGAAAGTTCGCTAGATGCGCTCCAGCACTACCATTGACGTTTACATCCGTAAACACAGAGCACGCCTGCCTGTGATGTCATTGCGTCCTCTACTGTGCATGCAGGACATTTGCAATGTATGAATGCAGTTCACACAGGTAATCACATACAAGTCGCATATATTTGGAAGTCTGAACGGCAACACAAAGAAAATCGGATTTCACAAAAAAAAAATCGAAATTGAGCATCAAGGCCTGCAATGTGAACGTAGCCCTCGTTTATAATAGAGTCAGATGCTTTAAATAGTAGATGTATTTTTTTATTTAAAAGAATGTAATATGATTTGACCACATTTGAAACTGTCCCCTAATGTTTCTGCATGAAATCATGCTGCTGTTTATCTTACCCACAACGTTTGTCGCTGGGCAGTTTTCTACCTAAATATCAGTAGTTTGGACAGAGAAGCAACCTTCGTTTTTTTCACATTTTTGATGTCCAGGATTCTCTTATTTAAGCCTCTTTTTGTTCTGGATGACCAAAATCCTTCATCAGCTCATGTTTTCTACATTAATTTAGTTAAAAGGGACAATGGTGCTGCAGACTGCAACAGGATTACCAGGCCCACAGTTCTGACTGACTTTAGAGGGGATTGCCATTTTCGTTTAGTTAGTTTCTGACATATGAAGATCAGTATCTCAGTCGTCTGTTTTCTTGTTTTCCATTTTAAGAAGTGGCCTGCTGTGAAATGTCATTTTACACCCCAAGGTTAAAAAGAAGTTGTGACTGGATTAAAGTTCCTGCCTACTCTAATTTAAAATGGTAGGGAAGTCATATTTAAATGTCTAATAATTCCAGCTTAAATATGTGTATAAATGTACTCTTCATCAGACATTATTGTCCCAAAATTGAGAAAAATCCTGTCTTAAAATTGGTGGGGGTTTTCTCGTTACCTTATGCAGGCCAGTTAGTTATACATCAGCTTGTACACCTAAATTCGGCCAATCATATGTCAACTGTCATCTTTCAATAAATTTTTTTCGGTCATAGCATCTTGATTCATATTTCCCAGCGAAATAAGAATAATTTACTTTCCCATTGTGCACATGGGGATGGACGTCTGTGTCATCGGCAGGCGTAGAGCTAACAGAACTGGCAGCGTTGCGAGGCAAGGGCTCAAACATGTACGGCTGTTTAAAAAATGTATGAAGGAGACTCCTCCATGACCTCTGACACAAAACTCTCCTCCTCTTGCATGTTTCCTCTGTCCATAGCGTTCCTTGACTGTAGCTACGTTTACATGGACACAAATAATCGGATTGAAGGCCTGATCAGATCACAAATGTTTCATGTAAACATGTCAGACTGAAGATTCTAATCCGATTCGGTCCGATCGGATCTAAATTTAATTCCGAAAGAGAGAGGTGGTTTTTGCCGATCGCCATTCCGATTGGCGTCCATGTAAACACCCATTCGGATCTTAAGAGTAAAATAATCTTCACTGCGCATGTGTGCGACGTCAGCGTGACGTTTTTCCGCCTTGTCAACAACAGGAAACCACCGGTCGCTCTCGCTCTTGTTGTGAACAACATGGCGAGAGGAGTCTAGGAACGCCGACTTATACACTCAAGTTCATTTAAAGCTGCAGGAAGCAGGAATTTATCCTCCTCCTCTTCCTCTTTTCTCTCTCCACAGCCCACTCGCTCTCCCACGCCGGTTCAATCGCTCATTCTCTACATTTTCTCTCGGACATTTCGCTGCCAAGCGCTTTTTTCCTCCTCTCTCCGTTTTTCTTTCCGCTCGCTCCGAGCGCATCGTTTGTCAGGCCTCCCAAAAACCAGACGCAGACAGAACTGCCAAGTTTGGCAGGAAGTTCTGCGCATGCTTAAAAGATTTAATCTGATCCAACGCTTGGTACATGTATACACACGTCATGATCGGATCATTTCATTTAGTGTCCATGTAAACGGAGATTTTGAATTTCCGATCAACCAAGGTTTGGATCGGATCGGGGAAATTTTGCGCATGTAAACGTAGCTAGTGTCGTTTCTAAGTCACTGATTTAATGCTACTAGGTCCCAATGTAATTTCCCATTAGGAACCTACTAGCACTAAGTTGCTAAGTGGTTAGCAAGATGCTTCTGATGCTTGCGAACCTTCCCCACAACAATCCCGCACCCTTGATAATCGACCAATCACACTCACTTTATTCACCCGGGCACCACTCGGGAGAATTCAGAAATGCAACGGTTGGAACAGCTGCTACGACTTTAAAGCATGAATGAAAACAAATTCTCATTCATATTTATTAAATTAAGTTATGATTGGATTTTTATATTTTTTTTTATTTTTTTTTTACGTTTCAGTTAAAATATTTTCAACAGCAAAAAAACATTTATTTTTACTACAAGGATTTTTTTCTACAAATCTTCACCTGTGTGGAAAATAAAAGTTATAGCTTCTGAAAGTAGTACTAGTCAGACTCTGTGGTTGAACCATTCATTAATTCTGGGACTTTTCAATCAACTATGATTACTTAGTTGTTGTTTTTGTTTTGTTTGTTTCTCTCCTCAATATAACAAAGAAAAAGCTAAATTGAATCCAGAGCTCGAAAGAGAAACAGATTCTAATTCTGCTCTGAAAGTAAAACAGAAGAGGACAAGAGGATCAAGGAGGACAGCATAGAGATTAACCTCCTGTTAGCCTCGTCTGCTAACAGCTAATGCATCAGAATCCATTGCTCTAATAAAGCGACCTGGGTTAAAACTAATAAAGTGAACTACCTCTGGCTTTGTTGACCTTTGTCTGGAATGACCCATGTTTCTTTACCACTGTAATCCTTCAATCCACATAATTAGTTCTTGCGCCTGCCATGGATCTAAGCCTGTCGCTATTGTCGCGTGCTTTGGCCTCTGCAGCATGTTCAGCCTCAGCTGTTCCAGCTCTGTTAAAATAGAAACCCAAACCTTACTGTTGTGATACTTTCTATGTGGGCACCTGCAGCAGCGAAAGGCTACTTGTAACCAGAGCACCCGATATTTTTAGACATGTGCCACTCATCTGTCTGCTCTATATACTCTTTTAGATCAGAGAAACCGTCGCTCACAATCAGTTTTTTTTACATTAAATCATTCTGGAATAAATCATCAGGTTCTTTGAATGTCTCATCATGTTATGTCTTTTTTTCAGCGTCACCAAATTGAGCAGGTTTTTGAAATATTTTCAATGCTCTCAAACTTTTGAGGATGAACGAGAGCAGCGGTCTCAGGTTTAGAGATAACCTGAAGCAGATCAGCTAAGGAGATGCAGTAATGCTTAGAAAACCAACTAGCATCTAATCTGTTATTCTGCTTGACCAGAAGCAAAAATTAGATTAGACCCATCCTAAAAGTAACATTGTGATGTTTACTATATAAACATGTTAAATCAGCAATGCCGGTTTTTAAAAGTGTGGAACTTGGGATACTAATCTAGTGTTTCTGTTGGTGCATGCGCTAGTAATGCTACCATACAGAGCCCTGCAAGAGTATTCATACTACCTTAACTCCTCCTTTTTCTTTTACTGGTTTTATATATTAGACCTGCTGAAACCAGAGTGTAACTCTACAGTGGAAGAAAGAAACTTCTTCATTTGCAAAAGTCTGAAAAGTGTGGTGTGCTTGTTTTATTGTGTTAGCCCTGTGCAGAGGTAGTTCATTGTATTTATTGGACGCCAGCTAGAATACACCATCCTCGCTGTGAGACATTGTGCTGTCAGTGATTATGCTCAATATGTTGTCATTATAAGAGCTGTACAGATCTCAAAGGACTGTTTGGAGTGCAAAAGGTGTTCTTCTAACTAAGTCTAATCTTCTATATAGTCAAAAAGCCGTTTTGGTGTTGTTTTAACTTAATCTAAAGCAGATTATGTTAGATTATCAATCAGTTTTAGAGAAATATCTGTAAAAATAACTGGGATAATCTGTCAGTGCAATAAGATACTTGCGCTAGGTTAGACTTCTTTTAGGTGTTTTATTTAATGCTGATGTGAGGACAGAGTTATCCAAAGTGCTGAAAGCCATAGAGTGATGGAGTCACCGATGAGAAGGAGAGGGAAGATGAAAGTTGGTAAATATCACACTTTAAGGATTGGTTATACTCCCCGCAGCAGTGTGTCGAAGTGAGCTTGTCGCAGATATTTTTGATTTGTGCCCAATAATGAAGCGTTGTTATTCCACGCCACAACGCAAGCGGGACAATCACGAACTAGCTGTGGGTCTAGATACGGTCGAGGCGGTGAGGAAGTGGGGGCGAGTTTGTGCGACAACGGAGGGACATGAGGGCGACAAAGAGTGGGGATCCAGGTGGAAAAAGGGTCCCAGCGTTCTTGCACACATCGCTCTTCTAGCTGGTCCAACTTCACGAGTTGTTTTCCACAATGGCGATCATAAAAACAAAACAAACCAGTAAGGTACCAAACAGGAAATATGCATAGTGTAGAACGGATGTAGATTTGACCAATCGGAGGCCTCCTGTCTGCGCCACTTTCTGCAGAAACCTACAATTTTGGAGAGGTGCAGCAGAGCGTCTGCGGAGGGGGCGGGGAATACTTGCGTTCACTTCGACACACGTGCAAACGACCGGGAGTATAAATCAGCCTTAAAGAGATCATCTCAGTATTAACCTGCATTATTATCATAGCAGGATAAAAAAAACAAACCAAAAAAAAAACATTTGGGTGCACCATCATGCTTTGGAAAGGCTTTTCTCCAGCAAGGCAATTAGAGGTAACTGGATATAAGGATAGAAAGAAAATGTGGGGTTCTTAAAAATAGAAATGCATGCCACACTTTTCAGATTTTTTTTTGTCCTAATTTTTTGTGAATGTATCCTTCCCTCTCTGGTTTAAACGGATGCTCTGCTTTGGGTTGGTCTGTTAAGTAATAAAATCCGCTGAAGCTGCTGGCTTAAATGTGATGAAGGTGTGAAGGGTTAGTTTTCATGGTAAACTGCTTCAGAACAATGTCAGTTCTCTCTCTCTCTTTTTTTTTAAAGCATATCACTACCATGTTTCTTCCTTCTCCCTGCAGATAGTCTCCAGTTTTAAGGCCACCTCAGGGTCCCGCGCTCTGTGCCAGCTGCTCAAGGAGTACATCGGCCATCGGGACGGCATCTGGGACCTCGGTGTCACCCGGACACAGCCGGTGGTGCTTGGCACCGCCTCTGCTGGTACACGGTTTAACCAGAATACATTTAATAACCATAATAGATTAAATGGTCCTACACTGCAAACAAATGGAAATCTAAATAAATCATTTTTTTTCTTAAAACCAGTGCATTTGTTCTTTAATTAAGGAGTTAGTGAGACACTTTGCCAATGGGACAAGACAATTTACATTTAAAATAAGAATAAACAATTGCATTGTCTTATTTCAAGTGCATATTATCTAATTATCTTTTTAGAGTAAAAATACTCATTCCGTTGGCAGATCATCTTATTTATCTACTCAAATTAAGGGTAAATACACTTAATTTAATACATTTTTTACTTATTTCTTGATAGTTTTTGCAGTGTAAATATAAAAACCAGAATAAGCTGATTGGTTTGAGGGTCAACAGGTTTCATGGTGTTTCCCTTCCTCCTCTGACAGATCACTCCGCTCTGCTGTGGAGTATAGAGACTGGGAAATGTCTGCTGAGGTACGCTGGCCATGCAGGATCAGGTATGCTGCTGGAAATGAGTCTTTACCGTCTTTTCTTCTGCATTTGGAAAGAAACTGACATTTTCTGATTATTTTTTTTGTTCCAGTCAACTCCATCAAATTTCACCCCACTGAGCAGATGGCGCTCACAGGTATGGATGCGAATACTTTCAGGGTTTAAACTTTTCGGCTGCATCTGCGTCAATAGGTTGGATGTTTCCTGAGACATCCGCAGTGTCTGGGTGGGAATCTGTGTTAATGACTGTTTTTTTTCTTCTGTTTTCCGCAGCCTCCGGAGACCAGACGGCTCACATCTGGCGCTACATGGTGCAGCTCCCGGCCCCGCAGCCTCCGCCAGATGTCAGCGTGAGTAGCTTTGTGCTCTGATTTCTACAGCAAGCTGAAACGGCTTCAAGGGTTGAAGCAGAGAGCTTCTCAGCTGAGGCTCACAGCTGGAACCAGTTATTTACATTAATGCTGGTGGAAAAAAGTGCAGAACTTTTTGTTTCTGTCTAAAAAAAACAAATCTGAGTAAACATTTCTGGTTTAGGTCATAATTTTAGCCCCTTGTCCTGGATGGTGTTGCTTCAATAATTCTGCATGTTGGTCTTTTACTTGTGTTGCTGTCTGTCTGGAGAATTGTTCCAACTGTAGAAACACACCGCAGAGACCTGGAGCCAGGCTTTTAGCTAGCAAGTATACAGCCATACATACCCTGTTTTTGCCCGGGAAACTTCACTCAGATGTTCAAATATATCACAAGCAGTAGAAGCTAAAGTTGGAAAATGTTTATTTTTCCTGCTCGTCGCGCCACATTAACCAATCAGAGAAGCTGATAGACATCACTGCTGATGCAGAATGTTCCCTCCACTGAAAGTTTACTAACTCCTAAATTAACTTAAAATGTCAAAGTCAAATGTTCGCTTTTATTATTATTCTGGTGCCTGCAGTTTTTATCACATACCTGGAAAAAAACCCTGAAATGACTGCACCGATGTTTTCAGGTTGACTTTCTTGCTTAAAAACATATTAAAACTACTTTTCCCCACTGATCACAGCAAGTATAGCAAAGCCGCTCTCTGCCATTGAACACAGGAGCAGCAGAAGCATCAGACGCATCTGGACACACTTTACTGGACGTACTTCAGGAGCATTAAAGATGCTATTGAGCTGCGTCTGATCTTAATGTGTATAAGCTTCAAAAATAAAGTAGCAGGCACTTTTTTGATGCTGAAAGCACGTGTGAAGGTAGTATTACACTTTCTGATTGTTATGATTTAGCTCTAAAACATCTCATGTCTTCATTATGAATTTTCCATCTCTAGTCAAGCACACATACTTCCCATAATCAAAGACAAAAGGTTTGCTGCATTCCACCTCAAAATGCAGGAAATTGTGTTTCAGAGTCTAAATTTCAGTTTTAGCAACAGGTTACTTGTGCTTCTTTTCACGCAGTGTTTTTTAACAGCCTCGTCCGTTTCTGCAGGCTCCGTGTGATGACGACCAGGACTCGTCCGACAGAGAGGAGGGGGAGGTGGATGGAGACGGCCCCTCTGAGGTCCCCACCGTCCGAGTTGCTACAGCAACCCTGAAAAGCCACCAAGGTGTGGTGATCGCAGCCGACTGGCTGGTTGGAGGCCGGCAGGTGGTGACCGCTTCCTGGGATCGAGCCGCCAACCTGTACGAGGTTGAGACGTCTGAGCTGGTTCACACTCTGACCGGTACGGCACTGGCTGATAGCATTGTAGGAAAATGTTACAATGTTTTCCTTTTGTTAAATGGAGGAGAAAACCTGCTGTTTTCTGAAATTGTTTCAGTCCAAGCTGAACTATCAACATGTCGCCAAATTACAGCCTTTAACCTCAATATAATCATCCTTCCACGAGTTTGAAGGAGGAAAAATATGTGGCCTTGGAGGGTTTTGTAGATTGAAACTCTGAAAGCAGCAGCATCCATTTGTCTTCATGGGTCGTCACCTCTAACCTGAATTCTGTAGTAAGGATCCCCGCAGCATGATGCAGCCACTACCATGATTCTGCATAAGGTTAAACCCTAGCTATTAATGTTTTTTTTTCATAAAATCCCAAAAGTCTCTTCTTAGTTGCTCCTATAAATAAAATTTCATGTGTTCAAACAACACCTGCTAACTGGTGCAGGACTCCTCAATGCATCATCCAGGAACAGAAGGTCTGAGTATGCCTAGATCTGCCAGACAGGAATCTGTTTTATTTTTTATTTTTATTGAGATCAAACTTTGACGCTGTGTGTGCAGGCCACGACCAGGAGCTGACCCACTGCTGCACCCACCCAACTCAGCGATTGGTGGTCACTTCATCCAGGGACACCACCTTCAGACTGTGGGACTTCAGGGATCCGTCCATTCACTCCGTCAACGTCTTCCAGGGACACACCGAGTGAGTCTCTGCTCTTCCATGTGTCTTCTTGCTGTCAGTTTTCCCCTGCTGGGATAATGCAGTCTTTCTTTCACCCACTGGGTGGTGCTGTTTGGTCTCCCAGTCCGGTGTTTCCCTCCAGTCACCTTCTTCCCTCTTTTTTCCTTTAGCATTAATCTGCAGACTTTATTGCTCTAAGCCAAATCCTCCACTTGCCTTTCATTCGTTACTGAGCACTTCTCCTCACTTGGACAGTTTTCGTCTCTGTCTCCTATCGCCGTCTCTTCCTACCTCTCTTTCTCCCTCGCTCTCCTGTTCATTCATCTGTCCGTTTCAGCGTTAATCCCCCACTCTGTGTAATTTGGCACTTCGCTCGCTGTTAACACTCAATTGCAGCCGCTCGTTTCAAAGCGACGGCTGTCAGGCTTGTCTGCGGCTTTCAATGCCGCTGCTCTTTAAAAGCCGTAAGAGAGGCAGCGCGTGTGTGTTTGTTTGCGTGTGCATGTTTACGCGCATGCCTACGTGTGTCTCGCTGGCTGCCGCTCTCTGGCAGCCTTTGATTGCAGGCGGGGGATTACGTCGAGCTCATTACGTACAATCCCAACATGAATAATTCCTGCAGATCCCACTCTAATTCCCTCCCATAGACAATTGTAGTAATGAGATTAGGCACCAGTGTTTCACAGTTAACAGCCCTCCTCTTTTCCTCTGTCCTTACGTCCTTCCCATGTGGCCTCTAGGCTTTTGCCCTTCCCGATGCTTTCAAAGCAGCAAACCTACCTATAAAATCCAGCCGCTTGTGAAAACGACACGCATTACCTTTTTTAAATAGAGAAAAAAAAACTTTCTTCCTGCTGCTTCTACATCAATGGTTAGGTTTGAACATTTTATATATGTTAGATCAAAGTTAGAATATCATAGAAAGGGTTTATTATTTTTTGGCAATTTTTAATAAGTTAAGTTAAATATTTATGCAGATTTGATTAAATAATGAGGAAAATATATGAAGCCTTTCTTGTTTTTTATCCTACGGAAGAGGATTAGGGCCACTGGAAAAAAAAAAAGTTAACTGATTTTTAACTTTTATTTCAGTTCAGTATGGGGGAAAAAAGGCAGAATTCTGACTTTTTTCTCAGAATTCTGACTGAATTCTGACCATAAAAAAAGTCAGAATTTTAAGATTAAAGTCAGAATTCTGACTTTTTTCCCATACTAAACTGAAATAAAATGTAAAAATCAGCTAACTTTTTTTTTTTCAGTGGCCCTAATCCTCTTCCGTATTATCCTGATTATGGCATGATTGTTTCAGAAGTTATATTTCCTAACATTATATAAAAAATATAACACTGAACAAAAATGTGGAGATTCTGATAACTTTGCTTGTTTCTGTGAAGACAGTATTCGTTTGGTTTAGTTAAGAGTTATGATTAATTTTCTTAACAATCAATCACGATTAATAAAGTTGAAAAACTCCCCAAAAAATACAATGAATTGCGAGAATTTTTATTTTAACTAATTTCTTCATCCTTTTTCTTCTATTGGAGCATTTAAATAAAATCAAGGAGTATGAATAAATACAGATCCCTTGGGATCGAAATATAGAAAATGTACTTCCTCAATCCCAATTTGACTGTGAAAGTCGGTTTTTGTTGCAAATTTTTTGAAGAGAAAATTGTTTATAATGATTAATAATAATCATTATATTTATTCAAAAACATATTTATTATTAGAAAAAATCAAAATGATTGTATCCTAATAAAAATGATTAGATTTCACTTTCTGTTTTCTGACATCTTTCTAGCGCCCCCTGGCCTCCACTACTTTTACATTTAAAAAAAAAATAAAATGTAGGCATTAAAATGACAAGAAAAGATTAAAATATTTCAAGCCTTTAATTTGTAATTAATTAAAACCAGTAATAAAACGTGAACTTTAAGGATGTCCCTTTAGGTTAAAGGTCTCTTTGTAGAGAGCTTTTATCTTTCCCCGTTCTCAACAACCCACCTAACTCAGAGGAACGGCTCTGCACAGCTGAATGTGTCTGATTTTCTTTGTGCATCTAAAAGCTTCAGGATGGTAGAGATGTAAGCCTAGAGTTTGGCATCTTAGTTTATCCACACTTGGATAAAGCATGGCTTAAATTATAAGGTAAAAACCTCTTGAAACAGTGGAGGGACTCAATCATGTTGCATTTAAACCTGAAATGCGTGTGATATATAAGAGGTTAGGGAAGAAGCTTAAAATATCTCTACTCTAAGTTTGGAGAAGGACCAGATGCTTCATCTTGAGTTGGAAAAAAAAAAGCCCAAACATCTGTTTTGATGTTTAAATTCCAAATATATTTTGAAAAAAGAAAAGATTCTGTTCTATTAAAGACGCCGACCTGTCGTTGAGGTTACTTGGTGACTGTCAAATGAAATTACAGTTAATTAATGTGCCTCTCTTTAGAAAATAAAGTAGATATTTTAGACTGGGCACAGGTGGATCCACAGTTTAATATTTGTCACTATTAGTTAGCAGTGAGCTCGAATCGTCTGCCTTTCTCACTCCTTTCCCTGGATCTTCCTCATGGCATAATGTTGGAGCTTGGATGACATAAACACGCCATCATTCCTGTAAAAGCTGCAGTCGCAGATAGAAACGATAACGGCCTAATAGAGGCAGAGCCTCTCGCTTCCACCGCCTTCACCGGCAATTACGGCTAACGCTCCCTGACAAGCGGAGCTCGGCAGCTCAGAGTGCAGAATCCACCCTCCGTCCCACCGCCCCGCCGTAATTGCAGTGTAATGACAGCCGCACGTGAGCTAAGAAAACGGCCGCGAGCAAACCAGAAACGACAGCGCGCTTGCTCTACAAACGGGATGCCATGTCAGGTTTGTCTCTCCTTCCATCGATGGCTTCCTCAGACGCTGTGATTGCGCTCCGTTGAAGCGTGCACGCATGCATGTGTGTGTTGCCTGCAGATTTGCTATCCCGTCTCCAGAGGAACACTCCAGCACTTATCTGGTTCTCAGAGGCTGTCAGGTTTAACACAGAGCAGCAGAACCACTTCTTCTACATCTCCTCTTTCATTTACATATCAAGCTTTAATGTGTTAAACACCAACATTTTAAGATGCTGTGAGGTTTTCCACATGCTTCAACGTCAACGCAGAACAGCTACATGTTTTACACACATCAGATCTGTGTGAGCTAAGACTTAAAAACAGACTTCTGAAGAAATGGAGTAAACGTTAATTTCTGCTTTCGTTTTTCTGACTGCATCTGTTCGGCAGACCGGCACACACACAGTTTGCACGTTGCCTTCCAAATGGAGTCCAGCTGTGGTTTAATGTCAGTATGAATCCAGCTGTTCTGTTTCTAGTGAGCAAACAGCTTCAGGAAAGCTGAAAAACATGAGAAAATGATGAGTTTACTCCAACGTTTTAGAGCTAAAAAGAGCATAAGACATAGACGTGTGCATAGTCTGAGCCGAGAAGCAGCAGAGGGGCTCATGGTCGCTCTGGAAGAGCTGCAAATCCCCCCCAACTCAGGTGGAAGCATCTATTAATAGTTGACACAGCACATGTGACCTTTAATTAAAGAACTGCTGGAAGAAACAATCAGAGGGTTCGTCTGCTGCAAGCAAACGTGCAGGGAATTGATCTCCAAATTAAAACACGTTGGTGGCAGCATCATGCTCTGGGGTTTGCTTTTCTTCCGTGCTGAAGATTTAAGAGCTGTATGTGTTACTTCTGGATCATTTATCCCCTGCTTTGTGTGGAATCCCAGTGAAACACTCTGCTTTCTGTCTGCAGACATATGTTAATGGGTGTGAAAACTTTTGGAATACTCATTTAGAAAATAATATAGGAAGAGATGCACTGGTATTTATTATGTGTTTCCTCCTTTATATATAATTACTCCACTGATGTCAGACTGTTGGCTTCGTTTTTTTGGCCCTTTAGTCTGAAGGTATCCTGACCTTGGCTGTCAGCAACCAGCCGAGCATTAAGTACCCTCCTCCCCTCCTCACCGTCGTCATGAAAAACCCTTTAACCTTAATCAACCTTTTAATCAATTACCTTGTCTGATTACGCAGCGTGCTCACCTCCCGTCGTCCGCTCCTCTTGTATCCCCAGCAGAGCCGTACCCTTCAAAGTCAGGAGGCGCCCGTATCCGTGCAGCTCTCTCCTCCTGCCCCAGCCTCTAATCGGGCCGGGCTTGGGTCGCTAATTAGCCCTTAATCCCACGTCGATTTGAATTAATGCAGGAGCTGGAAAAGAGCGTTTTGAATGTGTGGAGGGGAATAAAAATACTCTTTACTATACTTAATCCCATCTTTTTTGGAAGCTTCCCTCCATGAACAGACAGAAGCTAAAGGGAAACGGGGATGGGATGAAATATTACAGCTTTGCTGAATCCTGTCTTTAAAGGGTTCATGTGGAGGTTTTATTGGGAGTTGATATTCTAATTATTCCTCCAAGATGACACGGTGATGTCAGACGGCTTCTGATGGGGGCAGTACGGCCTGCTTCTGCTAATTATAGAAACCACAACTCAGATTTTAAAACATGCTGATCATTGTTTTTAGTTAACTGGTTCTACTTTACCTAACCTCACATTTACACATGATTTGAAATCTTCTTTTTAATCGATGAGCCAAATGACGGCTATTTATTTTTATTAATGAGGTAAAATCAAAGCCTTTTATCCGCTCAGTTTGTTGCTGTTCTCCATATAAGATATTAGATTCAATCATTTCCTCCTTATCGGAAATTTTTATGAATTTTTTATTTATTTTTCTAACTCATTGATCCACTTCTTAACACACCTTTTTCTTATCAATGTTTGCAGCCGATGCAGGTCGCTTTGCTTTTTAAAAAATCTTTTTTATTGAAGCATGTTTATCTACCTGTTAATTTTACAGTAGAGGAAAGATGGAAAAAAAAAAGACTGATAATTTATTCCGACTACCTTCTTTTTTTCTTACCCCCACTGTGTAAAACCATTAAAATCTGCACATATTTTTATTATATTCAAATGTTTCTTTAAAGGGTAGATCAGGGGTGACTGGTCTGTCAGCTGGAGCTTAATCTTGTCTTCTTAACTTCTTTAAACCTTTTATTTTCCTCATCATATTTTGTGAGGATGTGAGGCCGCTCTAGAAATTGAAGCAAAAATCCTCATTTAGAGAGACTTTAAATCTAGAAAACCTTTTGTCTTTCTTTTTTTTAAAACTGGGTGAAATTCTTACAAGCGCAGCATTCAGCATGTCACCTTCCAGAGAGTGAAACCTTGGTGATGTAATCAAATATGTTGCGTCTCTCAGCGCCTGTTCAGTGGATTCCAGTGAACATGAACCTGGATCACTTCCTGCAGCAACAGTAGGGCTGGAAGGGGAGGAGTCTGGCTGGAAACAAAAAAAAAAAAGTCCCTTTTTCATTTGGAAAGATAAAAACTGATGTTTGAAGCTTTAAAGATGGTATTTTAGTTTATTAATGTCTGGATGTGCTGCTTTTTGCTCTGCAGCACGGTGACGTCTGCCGTCTTCACTGTGGGGGACAACGTCGTCTCTGGAAGCGACGACCGGACGGTGAAGGTGTGGGATCTGAAGAACATGAGGTCGCCAATAACGACAATCCGCACCGACTCGGCTGTCAACAGGTGGGTGTTTGCTTCGTTTTAAATTCTTATACCCCATTTAAAGGTGGCGTAGGAGATCTTGAAAAATCGGTTCTATATATTTTTGAATATACACAACCATCCCTCTCCCTTGAGCACACCCCACAAAACCACGCCTTCAAAACGCATTAACGCGCATGCTGTCTGTCGAGGTGTTCGGATGTTTCCGAGATTGAGAACGAAACCAGCCGAGACGCAGTGCTCGTGACACGAGCTAACAACAACATATCAGTGGCTAAAGCATTACATTGACAGCATGGGATTTGATGGTCAAAGCTAGGGGTGGGTAAAATAATTGAAGGATCGATGCATCGCAATTACTACAAGCAAAATTCATAATCGATGCAGGAGCCCCTCAGAATCGATTCACCTCCTGACCGTTAGGGGCGCTGTCGGTTTGGTTACCATTCTCAGCTAGTGCAGAGGCTGAATTAGAGCACACAACAGTCATGGCGAGCACCAGCAGAAGACCAACTTTTAAGTCAGACGTTTAGGCTCATTCTTTTCCCCCTGTAGAAATCCGGAACTCAGGAAATCGACAAAAGCAAGGTAGTTTGTAAGCTGTGCCAGACTCCAGACAAAAATTGACAAATCATTTATCTCTAAACTGCCGCCAAGTTCTCGCGCAGAGAAAATCACCAAGTGTGGCCGTATTCATTTGCAAGGATCTACGACCGTACAGTGTTGTTAAAAACGAGGGTTTCAAGGACATGTTTAAGACACTCGGACCGCACTACGCATTTTCATTTCATATCAAATGAGTGGGAATTGGTTTCAAATGTGCTTCAGACCAGCCTGCTTCACTGAAGTCACACAGGGAGCAACATATCCAACATTTTGATGGAGGCAATAAACGAATGGGGCATAACTGGAAAAGTAGCCGCTGTTGTTACAGATAATGCTGCCAACATGCTAGTTGCTGTCGATATCACTGAGCTATTACGTGTTGGCTGTTTTGTGCTCAACTTGGCATCCCAGGCTGCTCTTAAAACTCCTGCAGTCACACAGCTTCAAAAATCAGCATCGAATCGAATCGAATTCAATCGGATCGAATCGCAACAGCAATATTTGAAATCGAATTGAATGGTGAGATTCCTAACAAAACCTAGCCTTAGTCAAAGCCGTGTTTACTTATCAGAGTGAAGCCTGAATAGCAGGTGTGGAGGTGGAGGTGGATAAAAAATTCCTTGCTTTGTGGGTGTGGATCTGGGTAGTTGCTGGCCGATCGCGTTGTCATAACAAAAAACACACATTTGTACCGTATAGATCTAATCTGACTAAATTTTTAGATGCACGACATACTTGGCTTTTAACTAGGTAACGTCATGTGTACGTGACGTCACTGGTCCTCGCGCTTGCATGAGAATCGGGGGGGTTTGATTCCCTCATGTGTCAGGGTGCACGCACAGGGGGGAGGGACAAGTAGACGACCCTGATTGACATGTCAGGAACCAATAGTGGACCACGGACCGTGTTTTGTGATTGGTGGACATTACTCATTGATTTCTAACTGTAGCAGGGTCCATTTTTTTTTGTCTCACTTCCAGACCTTCTATTTCACTGCTTGCTACGCGGCTTTTGGTCAGATATTCAAGCCACATGGTTAAAAAATGCGTCACAAAAGATCTCCTACTGGACCTTTAACTAGATAAGGATTCTGAAAAGTTTTCTCTGAGTTTGATTGGTGGCTGATAAATCTGCTGGGTGGTGTCTCTTAGAGTCTCTTAGAAAAACGATCTAGGCATAAGTAAAAATTTCTTAAATTAAGTGCATTTATCCTTAATTTTATTGCAAATGGAATGAGTATTTTTCCTCTTGAAATAAGATAATTAGATAATATGCACTTGAAATAAGACAATGCAATCATGTTTACTTATTTTAAGCTTAAATAATCTTGTTACTTTGGCAAAATATCTCTTATCTCCTCAATCCAAGAACAAATGCACTTATAAAAAAAAAAAGACTTATCTAGATTTAGATTTTCTTTCAGTGTGGATAGCGTTGGATAGCAGTGTGGATAGCCTTTTTTTTTTTCTCTCTGATGTTCCAGGATAAGCGTCTCGGCCAACCAGAGGATCATCGCTCTGCCGCACGACAACCGCCAAGTCCGCCTCTTTGACATGAGTGGATTGAGGCTGGTCAGACTTCCGCGCAGCAACCGGATGGTAAGGAGAGAACGACGCAGACCAGAACCGACCTGCAACCCGTCTTTATTTTATTTTTATTTACCCGTTTGCTTTCCTGCAGGGCCACAGGCGGATGGTGTGCTGCACGGCGTGGAACGAGGAGAACCAGGCGTGCAACCTGTTCACCTGCGGCTTCGACCGGCAGGCCATCGGCTGGAACATCAACATCCCCGCCCTGCTGCAGGAGAAGTGATCGGACCCATCCGCACGTTCTAAACCCTGCGGCCTCAGACACACCAACACAGTCGTCCTGCGACCCACATTTCAAGGGGGTTAAAACTCACCGTTACTGCAGCTGGTGCGCGTGAGGCCGTAAATCCGACCTTGTCATCCGGACTCCCTCTATGTTAGCATGGACTGTGATTTGTGCCAATTTTTGTGTGGAAATACACGTTTGACCCCGCTGCATCCTTCACTGTTGTTCAGTTACTGCCAAACCGCTCCTCCTGCATGCAGATAACCTCAGTTTGCGAACGTCGCTCCAAAAGCAGGTGGAGAAATCCTTCACAGTGCAGCACAGTGTGTATGACGTGTGTGTATATGATGACGTGGCCTGATGGATCCGGCGTCTTATCCGCCCTGTTGGTCGTTTAGGTCGCACCTGCAGCGTTTCTAAACCATTTGTCTTAAAGATGACAGACGCCCCGTGGATGCTTTTCACAGTTAGCCTTTTACGTCTCTGTTACCCTGTTACTTGCCTTGTCCTTGTTTACATTGGATCTTTTTTTTTTTTTATGTACGGAAACGGATTTATTCTGCCGGGATGAAGAGGCGTTCAAGAGCGAAGCAATAATGGGGAAATGATCGCAATTAAATCCCCACAGTAGTCTGTGAATGGGCCGTTGTTCGCCGTCTCTAGAAAACCCAACATGTTGCTGCTTTAGCCGTCCACGCTCTGCCTGGGGTGTCGGTGACCTTTACGGTGCAGCTGAGCCGTTTGCTTACAGTCGTCATGCGTTAACTACTAAAGTAGAGAGAGTTTTTCTCTCTGGCTAGATGTCTGAACGCTCCTCTGGGAGGTGTTGGCAGAGCTTGTTTAGACTGTTTGGTTTTCTTGCACAAACCTTGAGAGAAATGTAACATTAGCCTGCTTTATCCGCCTGTTTGGGATGATCGTCCTGTCGGGATGCTTAGATTTTGTCACCCGTCTGGACCCAAACCCAAACCTGCAGGGTTCTGAACATGAAAGATAGCACAAATTATGTAGGGGGATGAACTCTTTAAGGTGGACCCAGCTAATTTACTGACAGGGAAATGATCCCAAACCAGGGGAAGCTGGTTTATAGGAACCAGAATCCATTTTTAAAAGTAATGAAATTCTTCAAAGCTGGGTTTGTGCCAGAAAACCAACCAGTTAACGAGTCCTTTATTGTTTTTAATAAGGGAGGAAGCTCATCCAACAGGAATTATGCCAGAATGTTGTTGAGATGCCGTGTAAAAAAACAAAACCTTAGAGAAAATCTACAGTAAGGTCAGACAATAGTTTTAGAAATTCCTTTTACTTTGGACGTATCTTTTCATGCTGGATAAGGAAAAGCAATGGTTGCAGTAGGTAAACTTCCGACTGCCGTTGGCCTCCATCCTGTTTCTGTCGCCTCACTGGCTGTTTGTTGCTGTAAATCATGAGCCCAGGATAAAGCTATTGGTTACTGTTAGTGTGTGCTTCAGTGACCCGCCGTCTCCCTCTGCAGTGACCCTTAGCTCGGTACTATGGTACCTTTTTTTTTTTTTCTTTCTTTAAAAGATGGAAGCAAAACTGAGCTTTCACTGTTACTCATTCTCAGAGTGAGGATTTATTTTTTTTAATAGGTGACTGCGTCTTTAAAAGATGCTAAATCTGAGTCGTCGTCGGGTTCTGCGCTCGACCCGGTTCTTCCTAATGCTGTTTGTTACATGTGCAATGTGCTGAACTGAAGTTACGCTGTTATCTTTGACCTCCTCCAGGTGTTTAACTTATTCCAGTGCTGTAAACCCAATAAAAGCGCCTGTGTGTGACATCACTGCTGTTTCCTCCAACAATAGAAACCAGGAGATATTTAAAAGTAGCATGAGCCTGGACGTGTGGGAATTTAATAATAATAAAAAAAAAGCCTTACTACTTCATGGAGGACGGAGTCTGAGGATGGGGGGAGACGCTCCTCCACATGTTCAATAACTTATTGTGCTTCACAGCTCAGCAGATAGGTTTGCTTTTACTGTTTCATCAGGAGAACTCGTGCCCGGCGGTATCGGTGTCCCGTTACCCCGCCGTTGGAACGGCGAGTCCGAAGCGCTCGCCTCTTCTGAATATAAACCTGAAGTAAATCAGATTTTTGGATTGATACATTAAATTACAGACTGCAGGAGGATAATCTAGGTTTATAAGGCGGATCAGCCGTGGCTCACTGTAGTGAATTTATATTCACCTCCATTATGTGATCTACTTTGCATACTTTATTGTGATGGCTTTGTGCTCTCTGACTCTTTCCAATAAAAAGATGTGATTTCTTTTTCCACTCTCACATCTGTCTCATCTTATTCATTGCACTTTTTTGATTCAGTTCAGCCAGGCGCTTATCTCTCTGAAAGTTACATTTTATTCAGTCTGGAACCTCAGAATGTCTGCTCTTAATGAGAATGAAACCATATGAACAAAACTTATACGGTTCTTATTAAATTTGGGTTAAAAAAAAATGAAAGGAGGAGAAATAGTTTTGTATTATAGTTCAGTAACTTGTAGAACCACAGTGACCCGATTCTGTTGTTTTCCAGCCCTGACGGCTGTGTTTGGGATCTGCTTTTATAAACCATCAGCCAATGAATAAATCACTTCTAGAACACCCTAAAGCAGTTGCTATAAGTAGCCTAATGGATGCCGGATAAACCCGTAACATTAGCCGCCACCACTGTGCTTAGCAGCTGCAACATCTACTGTAATTCCAAACTATGTTTTGTCCTGCTAGACATGCTGTTTTTGTTATTTCACATAATTTTGGTATTCTAATGTGTCAAGTTTTAATAAAAATACCCCAATATTAAGCTAGATGCACAGTTTTACTCCATTTGGGACCTCAGATCAGTTTCAAACTAAACTGACTTGTGTTTTGATTTAATGTTTCGCTTATTTATTACAGGTTGATTTATTTTTCCCTACAGTTTAACTTTTTTTTTTATTGAGGCATAGCTGGTCATTTAAGGTGCTATTATAGTTTAAAGCTTTACATACTGTATTATATATTATAATACAGAACATTTTATTCTGTGAAGTCGTCAGTTATTATCTGATATCTGACTTTGCTATCAGTGTTTACTTAAAATAAGTGATTCTCTTTGTTGAATCTCATCATGAGAGAAACTGGTAAAAACATCCAAAATGTTACAAATAAATTGGTGGCTAATGATAAGACTTTAAGCAAATTTTAAGGTATTTCAAAATTTTTTGTTAAGGGCTCTTCCTGTAAGTAGTTCAAGCTAATAGCAACAAATTTCTCTTTCCTCTATGCTTTCAAATAGTAGAGAAAATGTTCCCAGAAGGAATTAATCCAGTGGATCTAGGAACAGCATTGCGCCGATGTTGATAAGTTACTGATTTTAAATCAAGAATTTTGGTTATTTCGGCTAGCTTGAATCTCGCCTTTTAGTACGTGTGGTTTTAATGAGATACAATAAATCAATATATTTACCTTATGTGTTATGTTTTGTTTAGGTATAACGGATGCTAGACTCTGGGCTGCTTGCTGGACTTCATGGATCCTTCTTGTTGTTTTAGAAAAATCTAACCCTTGAATAAAAACATCAAACATCGGGGATAGTTTATATCTATGGTGCCTTTGCAAGGGCTTTACAAGACATAAGAAAATAAAGCCTAAAAGTGAGATTAAAATGAGTAAAAGAAAACGTAAAAAAAAACAAACATCCATTATAGGCAAATGTAAATCTGATTTTAGATCGAGTTGTGTTTTATTTTAATATATGGTATAAAGATCTAGTCTTTAACGTCACGGTTATATCAGGAAAACAGGTAATTTGTGAGATTCTTTAAATAAAGCTGCTGTTAAAAGAAATAACAGAACAAATCCCTGATTTACAGGATGTTTCTGCAAATCTCAAGTTACTTTTAGAGCTGAGGAGGAAGAATAAAAACTGAAATTTATTAACTTCACATGGAGAAATGTACCTCTGCATTTAACCCATCCCTTTGGGGAGCAGTGGGCTGCCATTGTGCGGCACCCGGGAAGCAATGTGGGTCTGGTTCAGGCTGTGGGGATTGAACCAGGTGCTTTCAACCTTCTCAGAGCACAAGCGCACTGCTCTAACCCACTAGGCCATCACTCCCCAAAAAAGTATATGAATGCTGCCAATCCTTGTTTACCTTTAAGGTGCACTAAGTTAGTTGACCTCTGAAGATCCAAAGGACTACTCAGTTCATTCATTTTAAGAAGGATTTTAGTCCAGCACCATTTATCTTTTCTTTACTGACAAATTAGCATTTTAATAGATTCTTTGACAAACAGGGAGCCAGAGCAGTGCTTTATGAATTGTTGCAATGATCAATTACGACTGTTCCAGCAACATGGTGAAAAACAAAGCATACATTCTGAAAAATCTTTGTTATGACACTGACTTAAAAATAAAGTAGAAATAGTTAGGATTTAGATCCAAGTCCAACATAAAACCAACTTCTGCCTCTTTCAGTTTTTTTTTAAATCTAGATAAGCAAAGGTATTGGTCACTGCATTTTTGGGACAAAATCAATAACTTCTCATAATCATTATAGCATGGTCACCCCCATAGTGCACACAGATAGAAATGAGTGTCGTCATTTAGGAGAGGTCGCATTTGGAGTTAAATCGAAGTGGCTTGAATGTGGATCCTTGAGGAACCCAGTTCAGTTTTACTCGCCCAGAATCAGAAATACCAAATGAAACAAAGCAATCCCCATCTGTCAAATACCATCTGAGTTAGTTTGCCACATCAAATACAATACTCACCAGTGCTGTGGTGTGGTTCAGAAATAAACTGAGGAGAGTAGGTTAATAAATGGGCTTTTTATTGATCTTATTGAGGAGTGTTAGATTGGATACCAGCAAGTGATCATTTGTTATTGATGATTCCAAGTTTAGTTTCTTGAAAAGAGATTTTCATGCTTCATTTCTTCATGGATGCATAACTAGGGTCACCATACTTACCAAGACGACGCAATGATGATCCAGGCAGCTCAGACATCAGTTTATCTGAGGAGAAGCCCCGTTCTGCTCGTCTTCAATTCAGTTTATTTATATAGCGCCAATTCCCAAAACGTCATCTCAATGCATTTTACAGTTCACCAGATCATATGTCTTGTTCTCTGAATTTAGTCGAGAAGTCTCTGACATTTGATTTAATTTAATGATCATGTTTAATTAAATTTATCCAACTTGGCAGTACTGTAACCATTAATATGGATTTGGATTTATAGCTATATATATATATATATATATATATATATATATATATATATATATATATATATATATATATATATATATATATATATAAGAAGAGTTATATGTGTATATATTTAAATCATCTTGT